ATTCAATCGTCACATACATCAAGCATTTGAGATTATAACAACACGCAAGCAAGCAACAACATAATCGAACATGTACATGACTGAAACGGTCGTCTACGGCACTACGGCTGAGTTCACAACTCACATGCGGCAGATGCATGGCACACAGCGCCAACGAATGCAATGCTTCGCAAGATGTCTCCAACTGTGTTGACTGCCGGGTCTGTGCAAAACAACGTGTGCAAGGACACATCATTTCGCCCACGAGTTTGCTGACACCAGCGGCGAGCTACATTATGAGCCGGGCATTCTGTCAATGCATGCGTGAGGGTATCTTCACCCGGTGCACAGAAACGACACGGTGCATGAGAGCTTCGACCACCATGTCGACATGACCCAGATTTGAGGCATAACTTGCGTGGGACCGGTTCACTAGAATTAGTCGGGCATGCTGTAACCACTTCTTTACAAGACCTCCTGCGCAGCCAGGGTGTGGCAAATACCATGGCGTATGCTTTGGCAGACCCACTTGATTCCTTTGTCACCTGCTAGTAGCTGGCACATGCGTGACAAGGATGACAACGAACACGAAGATTAAGGTTGACGTTGATAGATGCAGATGGTAAGCAGTAGTAGTCGTCGTCGTAGTAGTGGCAGCAGCGTCGATGTCGTCGTAGCAATAGCAGCCGCAACAACAATTCTTCTGATGCACCATACGCGATCCTGTTGAACCACATTGGCCGTTGTCGCTTTGGTTGCATCAATTTGAAATCGCCCCTTGTTCCGCACCGATTTTTAGGAATATTTGTTCCTTCATTGGGTTGAATGATCTTCATGTCAATGATTTTTTGCGACATTTAGTTGCAACAGTTGTCGCGGAAGATGGTATTCCGGTGTCAAGACTTTTTCTAAACTCTACCTTGTCGCGCTGCGAGCACCCCCATCAACAGAAACCAGTGTCCAGAATCGAGCAGGTTTTCGGAATGAAAAAGTTGTACAGGTTCTGTCTGTTCAGCCGAGGAATGTCAAGGTAATGCCCGAAAAGCTAGGTCTCCGGTGCATGGACATTGTCGTTGCAGTTTGGGGCATGGATGCGGTCGCAGCTGAGCGTGGGTGTTGGCTTTCGATATTCTTCGGTCGTAGGGATGGATGCACATATCTCTGCCGCATCATGTCGGATGAAATCAAGCGTGTGGACGCATGAGGCATGCAGTCTGTGCCGCCCGGCCATGCTGCACTGCGCTGAGCTGCAGCGCCTGAAGCAAAAGAACCAGGGAGGCAGAGAAGCAGGGTAAGGTCTTGAAACCAAGGTCTGCAAGGTGGGTTCCTTTCGATGCACTGCGCCAGGAGAAGGCCCGAAAACACCGCGAACTGCGCGACTACACAGACCAAGCAGCAGAAGAGGCTCGGAGATCGCGGCAAGACTTGAGCATGGGCAGGAGTCTTCTTTTCCGATGCACTCGAGGCCATTTGCAAAAATGAAGAGCTTTGCTGAGGAGACTTCAGCTGTTGGGCTTGGAAACTGTGCCGCCTTCTTTGCGTGAACCTGGCGCAGGAAGTTTTGCACTTCTAGGAAGAAGCACAGGAGGCAGCGCTTGCTGCGGCGGGTTCTGATTTCACAAGCGTTCCCTGACAACCTGGGTGCTCTTGGCAGGCCCAGTCACTTGCGCGCTTGATTCGGCGAGTGCTGCTTGCGCTTCTCAGGCCTGCGGGCTCTGGGTTTGGATCTCTAGGGAACCTGGGCTGCCAGTTACGTAAAGGTTCTCTTTCCAGTCCGTTCACCTCCTCATCTTCCAGATTGGCGGAACAGATTTCGGGGCGGGCTTGGGGTCAAAAGTCCTTATTGGAGGGAATGAGAAAGTTCAACAAAGTTTAGCTCTACCCTACCAGGCACTGACCGACGTCACGCCTGTGTGGCTACATATCAGCTTAACGGTGCATTCCTGGAGGAAGGTGTTTCTCTGTTGCATGCTATGAACTGGCAGCGCCCCCTTGTTTGGGAGTATGCCCGCTTCTTGGACAGCAAGTGCAACCGCACTGCACAGCACCCGGAGAAGAACGCATGCTTTCATTGAAACGGCTCATGGCTCCTTTGTGTTGAGCATGGGTGTGTGCAGGACCTGGGGAACGGCGTCCCGGACTCCACGTGCGAAAGGAGCGGCCGACTCAGGCTTTGTAGCTTACTACTTTCCGTTTGTGTTGGGTAGAGGGTTTCATGTTGGAAACGACGCAGGTTGCCCGGTGCTTGCTATCGCCTGTTTGCATGCGAATATCTTCTCGCACGCACAAGCACACACATAGTCGTTTGCCCATGTTTGCCCGATATGTTGACAAGCCCTGTTGAACCTGGCTTTGTGTGTGGATTCCGAATAAACACCTGTAGTGCCGTGACCGCTCAGCAAGGGACATCCACGATTGTGAACTGGCACCAGGAAGAATATCAACATCACGCAAATACGCGTGGATCCTAAGAAAATATTATATCTCTGTGACGATAACAAGAATGATGATGATGATGGTGATGGTGGTGATGATGACTTCGTTGATGCGGGTGATTGGTGATGCTGATGGTTAGGCTCTGAAGATGGCTCTTTTGGTGGTGGTTCGGTGACGCCGTCAGGCATGTTCTGTCTCAAGTCCTACAGTCTCACGGTCTAAAGATGTTCCTATCGACGTCGGCGACCGCGGTCGAAGACGGGAAACCCGCAGTCCAGAAAGCGTGACGTTTTCTGTGCTAGGGAGGCGCCACAGTTCTTGTCGCAGGTCAGTCATTGCAGGAAGTTCTGAGACATCTACGACGACAGGCTTGCACCGGCTGCAGGCTCAGTGTTCTGCCTTTGGGGCGCCCTCGGCTCGTAGAGTCGCTGAGGTGCTGCCAGGCGCCGCTCGGCGCTGCGCATGCTGCGCTTGTGCCATTGGGACCGCGAATGTGATCTGCTTGGAGGTTCTTGAGTAGTTATAAGTTCCTTGGTAAAGGGTTATAAGTTATATAAGTATAGTTACCCTACCTCTGACAGTCTTACAACCCTGCTTATAACCACCCATGAATCTCCAAGTAGTAGGTTGCCGATTGCTCGGTTTCCACAATCCGCCGAGGCTTGTCCAGGTCCTGGAAGGCCACAGCATCCGCTCTTGAGCACCTCTGTCTCAAACTTCGCTGCTCTGGGGAGAATGCAGTTGGCCAAGTTGAAGCCCAGCACTTTTCCCTTCGCAACTCCGTGCCCGCAGATGTGTGTTTGTCTGTCAAAGAGCGTAGGGCCACAGCAGTGGAGGGTGCGTGGAAGGGACGTGCAGACCAATGGAGGTTGACAGTACTTTTTGGACAGGTGTTGAGGAAAGGTTTTCAATTGGAGCCTGCGGCTAAGGGTGGTGAGCGACTCAGATCTTGGTTTCTGCAAGCAAAAGTCCTGGAACACATGAGCGCCAGGCGCTAGGGTTTAGGGGTACTTCTTTGGTGTTGCATGGGTAGAGCAGGATCCTGTGCGATGGAGGAAGCGGATGCAGAGCTCCTGTTTTCCCTGAGGACCTCGCCCATGCTTGCAGAGCTGGTACATCGGAAGCTTAGCCTACATGGCGGCAGCATCGCCCACATGAAGACACGAGTGCCACAGATATGTACACAGGAAAGCTTTGCTCATGGAACTGCCAGTGTACATGTGGAACATCTGATGCCGCACAGCGTTGCGCTCTCGGCCCTGCTTTCAGAGCAAGTCCCTATGAAGGTTAGCTCTACCACCGAGAGGGAGGTTTGTGATGTGAACGGTGGCCGGCGGAGAACGACCCATGTGCTGCACGTCACGAGCAGAGCCGTCCAATATTCGGTCGGGATTCGCCAACTCCAAGTATCGGGCTGGACTTGCTCAGTTCTCTCTGGGGCACATGCAATTCGTCGCTCTGCCTCGTCACTTCGACCAGACACCGCGCAGGTGTACCCTGCTTGCCGGTGCACATCCCAAGAGCCTGTCTTACAAGAATGCTTCCAAAGCATGCGATCCAGCCTGCTTAACCTTTTGCCTTGGACTTTGCGCTGTTGCAATTGCAATGTTTACCTTAGCCGCGGCAGGGTCCTCTGCAAAACCCGTCAGCGACGCCACAAGAATGCTATCGTACAAATTTCGGGCTGGATGCGCTCGGCTGTCTCTGGGGCACCTGCAATCTCTCGTTCTGCAGCTTCGTCACTTCGACCTGGCACAGCACCGGGGAGCCGTGCTTGTCAGTGCACGTCCCACGAACCGGTGTTGCAAAGACGCTTCCGGAGTGTGCGATTCAGGCTGCTTGGACTTCTCGGTCAGGCAGGTGCAGCTTTCCGCATCGATGTTTTTCCATGCACCTTCGTTGTGGCGTTTACCCTTTCCTCAGCACGTTCGTCTGCAAACCACATCCGTGGTGCGTGTTGCTTGACTACCGAGCTGACCCAAAGAGGAGTCATGTCCTTGCAGCTTGTATGGCCAACGAAACGGGCAAGCAATGGAAAGGTGTGCTTGCCTTGGCCTGAGCAGCGGGCGAGCGAAACCGTGGAGATGCGCTCAGCGCTCTCTGGGGCACCTGCAATCTCTTGTTCTGCAGCTTCGTCATTTCGACCTGGCACAGCACCAGGGAAAGGGGCTTGTCAGTGCACATCCCAAGAACCGTTGTTGCAAAAACGCTTCCGGAGTGTGCGGTTCAGGCGGCTCGGGCTTCTCGGTCGGGCAAGTGCAGTTTCCCCTGGCGGCATCGGTTTGGTGAGGGGTAGGTGTGCCGCAGCAGGGTCCTTTGCTGGACAAATCCGTGATGTAGGCTGCATGGCTGGGCTGCCAAGGCCAAGCAGGGCCATCCTCCAAGGTTGGGGCTGGGTTCGCACACCTCTCACTTCGACTCATGCAATCCCTCGCTCTGCAGCTTCTTCAATTCGACCGGTTGCAGTGCTGTTGTGCGGTTCCTTGCAGTGCAGATACGGTAAGAGCTTGTTGCGAGGATACTCCAGAAGCGTGCAGACGTGGCATTTTTTCGTTTCTAAGCAGGATTCTCTTCTGGATCTCGTAATGGCAGTTGCCGTGCCGCCCATTTCTGCAGAGAGGTCTAGACCTACCGCAGCAGGGTCCTTCGCAAGACGCGTCGGTCAACGTGTGCCTTTACCTGTAGCGGAAGCTTTGAGCTTTGCTTTCTCCTCCCCTCCATGGTTGGAGGTCGGGCATCTGAGTTACACGTCCAGGCTGCTGACCACAGGCAGAGCCACCGTGCGACTTTTGAGCTGGATTCGCGCACATTTCCCTGCGGCCCATGCAATCCGTCCTGCTGCATCTTCATATGGACCAGTTGCAGCGCCGGTGGGCTTTTGCGTCCAGTGCAGATGCGGTAAGAGTTTGCTGCGAGGATACTTCGGAAGTGTACAGTCGTGGCATCTGTTCGTTTCTAGGCAGGGTTCTCTCTTGGATCTCGCGATGGCAGATGCCGTGCCTCCCGCTTCTGCAGAGAGGTTTAGACCTGCCGCAGCAGGGTCCTTCGCAAGACACGTCGGTCGTCGGAGTTGCATGGCCAGGCTCCTGACCACAAGCGGAGCCATCGTGCCTCTGTCGCACTGGATTCGCTCGCCTTGCCACGCGGCCCATGCAATCCGTCCCGCTGCATCTTCAAAGGGACCACTTGCAGCGCCGGTGGGCTGTTGCGCCCGGCGCGGACGCAGAGGGCGTTTGTTGCAAGGGTACTTCGGATGCGTGCAGACGTGGCATTTGTCCTTCTTTAGGCAGGAAGGCACGCATTCCTTGTTGGACCTTTGCAGCTGTGCCGCGAGGTTTGCTTTTCCGGGGTGCTCTGCAAAACAAGTGCAGGATGCGTGCATGGTTGCACTGACCAAAGGCAGAGCCATCGTCCAGGTTTCGGGTTGGATTCGCCCACCTTCCGCCCCCGTCCCCAGAATCCTTCCTTCTCCAGCAGGCGCAGCCCATGACAAGCGCAAGCAACGAAGGCTTGCAGGTTTCATCGGTGTGCATCACCAAAACGTACATGCTCCTGAGCTTGCACGTCGTGCCCACAAGTCGAGTTCGGAGCGAGCCAAGCATTCCGTAAGCTGCATGCGATTTCCGGAGCTTGCTCCTTCGCGTTGCCTGCTTCCGGTCCGGGTCGCCCGAAAGAAGGACCCTGTGCTTCGGAGTTCCGGATCTGTGGCTGCGCCCTCACCGATGAAGAGCATGCCTCTTTCACCCTCTCCCTCGCCCAGTGCAGCTTGCGTGCTGCGCCTGCAAGGAGCTGTGCGGAGTGTGTTTCGGCCAGACATAGAAGAAGCAGTCGAAGCCAACTGGCTGGTGATTTCTCCTGTCGACGAGACTCTGAGACAAGCTCAGGTGCCGTTCATATTGATGATCCGACATCTTCTTCCACTGCTCCCGTCGGAAGCACTGCAGGGCCGAGAGGCACTTCTACGCCTCGTCCTTGTCGGACATAGCCACGGGGGTGTGGTCGGTCATAGCCTGGCACAGATCCTTGAGTGCGCCGGCTTTCTCGTGAAGGGCATTGTGGCTATAGACACGCTCGGGCTGCCTCGCTGGAGCGGGATGCCTTTGCCTCGCTTCGACACGCAGGGGCTCATACGGAACTTGTCTCCGTACCTTTGTCACTGCTGGGTAACATTTTACATGTTTATGGGTACTTAAACCCAATAAGAAATAAATAGGTACATTTTTAATCCTATCCCAACAATGAACTAGGTACCACTGGCAGCTGACGGCCCCGATGGTGAACATGATGGCTCCTGAGGTGCTTCGGCTGTTTTTGCTGTTTCCCTGCTGTGAATTCCTAGACTGTGCTCCCTCTTCGCTCCTTTCGCCGTGACACTGTCTTCACAATGGGGCCGGTAATTTTTGCTTGGGTCAGGAACTGCGAACTGTGAGACCCTGAAAGAAGAATGGGTGCCACCTGAAGGCTTCAGGCAAGGCAGCGAAGGCAAGAAGCCGAAATTAATTCTCACTGCGGAGACCAAGCCGTAGATATTGCGTTTTGCACGAGTCATCCGGGAATGGTGTCCAGTGTCGAGAATTCTCTGAACCAACTCCGGTGCAGCACCAGTGCGTAGTTCAGAATCTGTCGCATTGAGGCGGCCAAGAATTGCAACGTTTTCCCTATTCAGTTGATCCAGCAATTCTTCGGACGGAGTTTGGACCCGCCGACTACGCTACGATTGAACATGATTGAACTACGTATCCGATTTCCAGCGGTTGCACCTACTGTACATCGTGGAAAGTCAACATGTGCAATGCTTTGGGTGTTGCAGTGAGCAGCATGCGCTTATGGCTATTTCCTGTTCCCTGCATTTCTTTGGGGGCTATGGGCAAGATACTGACAAACAACGTCGACGGCGATGTCTTAGTATATGGGAGGCTGGGATTGCAAAAATTCGTGGCTATTGCCGCGGGAGTTCCTTCACTCACGGAGATCTCATGACGACTGAAGTAGCAGATGGGTGTTGCGGTTTGGTACGGTTCGGTTGGGGTTTTACAAAGGTGTCAAACGTCGGTAGTATCATTTTCGGTGCTGCGCAGTCTCCGCCCTCCGTGCTTGTCGTGGTTTCTTGAATACTGCATCTCTTCTCATGGTGCTGGTATTGGCAGCAATCGCACCGGACGATTGGGAGTATGAAAATCATTGACCGGTGCTGTATTTCTGCGAGTGGAAGGGTTTGGGTTCGGCGAGGCGGAGGCACTTACTGTAGCACAGTAGACGATGTTGAGCTGGCTTGGGCGTCCCCCTCAGGAAAACAGCACATCTTCGCGGTTCGAGCTCTGAAATGCGCAGATCGTGTGATCAGGTTAGGTGGTTCTTTTTTCAGTCCACCTGGCAGTGAACGCAGCTATCAGCTTATCCGTGCTTAAACCATGATGAAGTCCAGTACGGAGAGAATCCGACCCCACATGCATCCATTCCCAGGCCATCATATCTAAGCCTCTAAGCGACCATCGCCGAGTGCGTGCGCTTTCCATCCATCCCCGACTGCATGCAACTACCAGTATCCGTGCGCGAACATGGTAACGTGATCTTGTGACCAGAGCATCCAGACGCAAGCCTGATGATGCCCATGGCCTGGTGTGTGTATGGGACATTGCATCTAGGCTGCTGGTGATCTTGGTGAGAGTGATGGCGGTGATGATGATGATGATGATGAGGACGATGACAACATGCTGAAGACATGAGCCCAGCTACGCGAACGAGCCCTTGTAGTACAAAACAGTGTCAGAGACAGCATCCTTTTTGCACTGATGTCTTCGAGGTGCCGCCCTTTCGAAGGCTGCTTCTGAGCAGGGCCGAGCTTCTGGTTGGTGGAGCCGTCTTCCCGCCCAAGTACTTGAAGGACGTCAGCGGGGTTTCATAAGTTTTTCAGGTTACAAGTTTGTAGTCTTGCCCTTACGTGGTATTGTAGGTTTTTCGTAGGTTTGGTGGTTGCCGCAATATTCATGAGCAAGGACACACCCTGCAGTTGTTGCAATTATTGTCTGTGCCACATTTGCCGCTCATCTTATCTTGTTGCGGTCGTCATCATATAAACTGTGTTAACTGTTAACTTCGTTGGTGCAGCGGCATACTTGCTCATGTCATGGTAGTCACGAATTTTTGAGTACTGATGAATATATTATAGACATTTATGTATACATATTACTACCAATGGGAATACGAGTGCCAGTAGTAATACTGTAATACTATGGCAGTAGTAGTAGCAGCAGGAGTAGCAGCAGGAGTAGCAGCAGCAGCAGGAGGAGGAGTAGTAGTGGTGGTACTACTACTACTACTCCTCCTCCTCCTGCTGCTGCTGCTGCTACTACTACTACTGCTACTACGACGACTACGACGACTACGACGACTACGACGACGACGACGACGACGACGACGACTACTACTACTACTACTACTACTACTACTACTACTACTACTACTACTACCACTCTTCTCAATAATGCGTAGGTCTCGGACGACCATGACGACCACGCCGTTGCACTGTGACAGCTGCAACACTAGGGCCACCAAAACCGCTAGCAATGGGACGACCACGACAGAAATCACAGGGAGGCTTCAAAAGGCTGCAGGTCACCGGGACACAGCCAGGGCACGGCAAAATGGGCGCCAGGCTACCCCCAAGCACTGGTGGATGCAGTCTCACCCCAAGTACTGGCGTGGTTTGAGCACGATGGTGATGCTTGCCCCGAGTTTCAAAGAGGCAACCAAACTGCTGGAATTCTGTCGGCATTCAAGCTTGTCGAAGCGTGGCCCATCTATTGCAACTGATAATGAACCTGACCTGGGAGACGAGTTGCAGCGGATCCTCTCTGTAAGTCATAGGACGCGACTGTAAAATGTGCACTGTGCCACAGCGGGAGACACGCAGTTCTGCGGCACATGGGCCCATTAAGCAGTTCCATGTTTCTCTGCAGGATTGAAGGATTGAATTCCACAGTATGTCCTACACCGTTCGGGGTTGACACTAATGAACAAACACAAAAATGTTTGCTCCTGGTCCTGCGAAGGATGTCGACCATTTCCAGATTCTGCAGCAGAGCTCGTGGGACTTGGCAGTTGTGGTATCCAGGACGTTAAGGAGGCTCCGAGATAGTTCTGCAAAGTAGCTATGTTGGGAATACTATACTTTGGTAGAGTCTTAGCGCATTGGGTACGTAGTAGGAGGCCTCTTGTTTGATACGTGCAGCATACCCAATGCCCAATTCCGATCAACTCGGCCAGGCATTCCGGACAGCCGCATGATCGCCGGATTCGGCTGCAAGCTTCCCCGGTCCAGCCTGAGGCAGTCAACCGGTGTGGCCAGGACTCCAGGGTGCAGAGACCCAGCACCCGAAGCGATCCACAGCCGAGTCCCCGACAGCACCCGCAGAGTCCGCAGTGTCCGCAGCCACAGCGGCAGCCTCGTTTTAGTGCGCGTCCCGTGCCCTGGCCCCAGCCTGGGCAATGGCACCCTGCTGCGCTTCGGCATCTCCCGCCTCTGCCACCCTGGGCCTCGCCCTATTCTACTCTCCCTCGCCTCCCTCCCCCGACGGATCATCCCCAGCTTCGCTATGCTTCTCCGCCCCCGCCTTCCCTCCCGCCTTCACATGCCCACGCCTTCACGCCTCACCCACCCAAGTACCCAAGCTGCCTGAGCTCCCCGCGACATCTGCACCTGTCGAGTGGCACCACCCCCCAGCCCCAGGCCAGCGCTCCCAGCTCCTGCAGCGTTCCCTGCGGCGCACCCTCAGGCTGCCGCCTGGCCCCACCAAGAGCTGCGTTCCAACGGAAGCCCCGGTTTCTGATCTGAGCCCGCAGACTGTGGATCAAGTCATGCGGCCGCGATGTTCTGAGTCGCACTCCATCGTTGCAACCATGTTTTCAAGAAAAGGAGATGCAGTTTCACCGGAAAGGTAGATGCAACCCCTGCTGGTTTCCGAAAATCCTGCAGACTTTCTTTTAGACTTTGTGTCCCATCTTGGCACAGTCATCACAACCCTTAGGCGGCCCCTGCTTCTTTCGGCCATTTTGCGGCACCGACTATGCACGGGTCTGGTCCATCCGCGGCTGAAAAAGGCAGGCTTGGCAGCTCGCGCAGGCACTGCATCGCTACGAGTAGCTGCTGCTATAGACCTCCCACTTTGCCCAGAGTCCAGCTTTCGCAAAGCCATAACAGTATCTGGAAGCGCGCACAATGGGGCATTGTGTGCAGGTAGTGTGGGGCTATGTCAAAGCCGCTATGAGCTTAACGGTGTATTCCTGGAGGAGCTGTTTCTACTGAGTGCTATGAGCTTGGCTGCACCCCCTTGTTTGTCTTGAGGTCTCGAAGAGGATGTTTTGCAGCTGCTGCAATGCTACCGTGCGGAGCTCGCTTCAAGAAGTTTTGGTGAACTGCCTGGCTACTGCCCTCGGACCCCGAGCTGGCTTGTGCAGGCTTTCACCCGGGACCGGGAGTATGCCTTCTTCCTGAGTACCGCAAGCACAACCGCGCTGCAGCCCAGCACACGAAGAAAACGGATGCGCTCACTGAAACGGGTCATGGCTCGTTTGGGTTTATTGCGGGAGTGTGCAATGTGTCGGGTCCGCGTGCGAGGGTAAGTCATCATGTGGTGTTCCGTCTCGCGACGTTTGCGGACACAATTTCGCAGTACAGATCTAGTTTTTAAATATTGGAATTGTTTCGCGCTTTCAGAGTCGGCCTGGTGCATTATCTACTTGCGGCCAAACGGGGCAGGCGTGACCCTTGGCGTGACTTACAGCAGTTTCCACAGACGGTCCGACACAACAGTCGTGGAAATTCTTAAATGTTTGTGTGTCTCTTTGTCATATGATGTATGTATGCAGGTGTACGTGTTTTTGTTTGTCGTGTCGTATGGTATCTTTTGGTGTGGTGGTATCGTGTGGTGTGGTGCATTGTATGTAGCATCATTCATGGATGGACGGACTCCCGGATGGATGCATGTCTGTCTGTCTGTCTGCCCGTCCGTCCGTCTGTCTGTCTGTAATTATTTATGTATGTTGTTCCGTTTCGGCTTCCCATCAACCTAGAAAGTGCTCCAAGTCAGCAGACTTGTCGCCCAGCTGCCTTGGTACGAAGTTATAGTAGTGACGGTATTCGATTCGAGGATTTCCGTGGTTTCTGGTGAAACCCTTACAGTAACAACCAGGTTCCTACATTAAGAACAGTTTTGGGTCATGCTGAGCGTTCCGACGACATCAAGCCGCAAAGGTAAATGCAGCTGAGGTATTCACGGCACGTCAGTGCCATGCCACTACCACAGCCTGCACATGGACAAGAGGCTCGTGCAGAAAGGGATCATTGTGGATGACTTTGCTGCTTGGATCCATTTCATGTTTTTGTATTGGCTGCAGTAACGCTTTGTCTTGAGGGTTCCATTGTGGGAGACTCAAGAAACCATCACATTCCAGCTGTGCCACATTGCCGACACATCCGTGGGCTATGCGACGCCGGCTTACATGGCCGACCAGATTTGCTTCTCCGACTTAACAAACTGCAGGAGCAAGGTCGAGCAGTGTCCGTTTGAGTTGCCAACTTCAAGCATGATAGCCCAGGTGAGCGGGGCAAGCACTACCTTGAGGCCTGATGGCCATTGTCACAGCTTCACAACTACACTATGGCCAAACGTCGGTTGTTCCCGAAATGGGGATCTTAAACCTAAAGGAAGCATGCCATGGAGGTACCTAGGCCTTGGGCTGTTGTCCAGCGTCAGGCGTGGACGTCCAGACATTCTCCACATGCGAACTTCATGTCCTCGGACGTGATGAGCACTAGCGGTTCGTCCATGAGCGAGGCTCCGCACATGCCACTGTCTTAAGCATGTCTGGGAATGACGAGAATGATTGAGGTGAGATGCTTCTCGCGGCAGGTGGTACTTTAAGTAAATGCGCAAGAATCAGGCAAATCTAGGCGGATCGGCGCGCAACGCAGTCCTGGAAGCCCCTAAACAGTGCCGTGGCAGGAGAAGCAGGACGACAATCTGCGAGAACAGGTTGAGGAAAGATGGCTGAACAATCGTGCAGCGCAGAGTGTGATGCTCAGTGTTAGAGCAGTGTTAGAGCACTGGAAACACAGAGACACTGTTGCTTCATTCATGGCCTTTACCTTTGTGGGTGTTGCTCCGTATCCGTGCCTGTTACCCAACACCGCCGCTTCTCCCGCTCTGGAGCCGCTGCCTCCGCCACTGCTGCCACCAGCGTCTGCCACCTCCGCTTCCACTCCCAAAGCAAGTGCTTCAGCTCGCCAGTGCTACCTCCACCATGGCAGCCGACGCCCGGCCGACCGCCTGGAGGCTCACTGGGCTTCAGCTGTACTGCTTCGAAGGGGACTCCTACGCTAAAGGATGTCAAGGCAGTGCGACGTCACATGTGCTGGTTGCAGTGCACCCAGATGTCTATGGCACTGGCGGGAAGAGTTGAAAGAAGTTCTCAGCAGTGATGTGGGTTCGGGTGAAGTTTGCGCCAAGCTTTCACAGCAGGGCTTCCTGGAGCGGGATGCAGGCTGAGGAGTCTCGGTTGCGAACTCGATGCAACCCTATCCGAGATGCGGATCCGGAAGCACAGGAAAACAAAGCCTTCTGAGCGGGCGAGTGGCTTCGCGATCTTTTCGTGTCATCTTTCCTAAGCCAAGCGTGTGAACTCTGCCTGTGGGGCATGACTTTAGGACTGATCATTGACAAGCATACAAACGGAATAGGTATGGACATTCCTTTTGACGCCGAGCATGGTAGCACGTTTTTTGTGTGTCGGAAAGCGTGCTAGCTGGGCACGACAAAGGGGTGCTCCCCGAAATTGTACTGAGTTTCGCCCTTTGCTTTTGAAAAGACTTGGTCCTCTCGGGCTCCCTCTTGGCACACACCAGCTTCAGAGCTTCAGGATGCAGAGGTTCGCAATCCTGCTTCAGGGAGCGCGGAGGCTGTACTTTGGCCAGCCTCATCGCGGGAGCGTCGTCCTTCTGATGTGCTTCTACACCATTGTTCTCAAAGATTTGAGTGTTGCTATTCTTGCTACTACTCTGAAGGCCACTGCGTGCACATTAGGCAAAGGCACAAGGCGGCCAGGGATGCTTTCGATGATCCTTTGTATGGCCAAGGCTCTGAAGGATGGCCAGGAGGCGTCCAAGGCATCGTTGCTGAAGCTTTCATGCCTGCATTCGCAGGAGCAGCTTGGGGCAAGGCAGGTAGCATGCATGCAGAGCCCAGAGCTCCTGCTTGAAGTCATGCAGGGCTCCAGGACGCGCCCGCCTGTCATGTTTCGCGGTGCCGATGCCATGCTGGAGCCTTGCTCGCCCTTCAACCTGGAACCTGTCAGGGAATTTCTGGAAGAGCTGAAGAAGACGAGAGAAGAATGCGATCAGGGCGGCGTGCCGCGGCACGAGGCCGAGGCCCTTCCTGGCATTCCAGATGGACACGGCCGGGAGACGGCTGTGGCGGCGTGCACCGAGCTGAGGGAAGAGCTGACAAGGCGTTTCGAGGAGCTGGCAGCCGCTTTGTCCAAGGAAGTGGCCGAGCTGCGGTCCAGGGTTGACGCCCTCAGCGGGCAGAAGCCGAAGCCGTGCGATGGCGATGGGGTTCCGGGAACTCACAGCTCAGGCGCTTCGTTGAGCAAGAGGACAGAGGCTGAGGTTCTTGGAGCCGGGACAATAAAGTTCTGTGGACCAGTGAACATCGAGGACATGGCGGAGCCTGAAGGCTCCAGGGACGAAGTTGAGTGGATCGGGATCGAACTGGATGAGGAGCGAGCCTGCGCCATGGACGGCGTGCTGGAGGAGACCGAGATCTTCAGCCATTGAGAAGTCGCCCACTGATCCCGTGGCTGAAGGCGACCGGGTGACGGTCTTGAAGACTCAAGCCATGCCCAGCACCTATGCGCAGGCACTCTGCTTGCTGGGTGGCCAGAAGTGCTTGCAAGGCTTTGCGGAGCTGAGCAGACACATCCACAGCAAGTATGCGCCGCCCAAGCAGATCCAAGAGCTTCTGCAACGCCGTGGTTTGGAGTTGAAGGCACGGTCTACGACCATGAATTACCAGCCCTACTGCAGCTCGATGGCTGAGGTCTATGACTTCCACCGAGAGCGCAAGAGCGCCTTCGACGAGAGAGTGAGGCTCATTGCGGAGCAGACGGAAGGAGAGGCGCTCGTCCCGGAGATGAAAGGCCTTGCCAGATGTGAAAGCAAAGCTGCCTTCAAGTATGCAGATGAGACAGGAGTCTCCTACTATCGCCTGACTGACATCGTTCGGGCGACGATTTTGTACGACAGCCTGGCCTCCATGTACAAGGGCTTGGATGTGATACATGGAGACAAGGACATCCAGATCATCGAGTTCAACGACCGCTACCTCAATCACTTGGCTGGGGGCTACCGAGATCTGCAGCTGTCGGTTCGCATGCACGGGATGGTGGCCGAACTGCAGCTGAACACTAGGGGTATGGCCCATGTCAAGGAGCATTCGGGGCATCGTTCCTTCGAGGTGAAGCGAGAATTGGTTGCAATGGTGCAGAAAGGCAATGCGCAAAAGTGTTACGACATTCTGGATTGGGGCCGCAAGGAGTTGGGCGATGCCGCCACTCACGAGCTAACGAAGATCCTGAACGACCCCGAGAAGCCCATGCTGCATCAGGCGGCAAGCGGGGGCCACGCAGAGTTGGTGAGCGTGCTGCTCCGCTTTGCTGCGGACGTGAGCCTCAAGGACAACCGCGCTCGAACCGCGCTGCACGAAGCAGCTTCCGGTGGCCATGAGCGCGTGGTGTGGTGCCTTTTGTGCAGCAAGGCAGACATACATGTTCAAGATGAACTGCATCAGACGCCCTTAGTTGAGGCGCTGCTGCGATTGCACACGCGGCCCTCAAGCGAAAGTGCCGCGCGCCTGGTTTCTATGATGTCGCAGTGCATGGAGGATGGGGTGAGCCGATTGGCAACCGCAACAGAGCAGCTGGAGGAGTTCATTAAGAAGCGCCGCTATGCCTCAGCAGAGCTGGTGATGGCGGCGGCCGACGGGAACGTCCAGAAAGTGGAAGAGCTCTTGTGCAATTTTGCCGATCCGAACTCGAAGGACGCTACAGGAATGCCGCCGCTGTTTGCTGTGCTAATGCATTGTGAACGCTTGCAGAAGCTGCCGGAGAGCCAGGCAACGGTGCTCAAGTTGTTGGTGGACCACAAGGCTCAGGTCAACTTCAGCTTTGAGAAGAGGAGCACTTTTGATGTGACGCTGGCCAGCCAGAATACCTGCTTGTTGCAGTTCATGATCTGCTCGGGCCTGCAGAGTGCTGGGCAGGACCTACAGACCCTGCTGCGCCAGTGGCAGGATCGGAAGGCCAACTTCTGGGCATCCGAGGAGAAGAAGGTCCAGCGCCTGTGCAGTGCAATCGCGGTGATCGACTGGGATGCGCGCAAGCGTCAAGAACACTACAACCTCAGCAAATCGGGCACGCCCAGCCCATGTACACCATCAAACATTTTGCACCCCTCTGCCATAGCGCAAGCCATCTCCAAGATCGATTCCACCAGATTCTTGCCTGTGCAGGAAGCAGCTTGCAAGAAGGCCCGCTACATTGTGGAGTGGAGCCGGAATTTCCAGTGGGACGCGGAACATGTGAGCTTTGGGGAGCTTCTGGCCGAGCTCTTGTCTTTGAAGGCACAGCTGGGGGCAGAGCTGCCAGAGCTGAACGCCGACCGTTTGAAAGCTTGGGGCTTTGGGGCTTTGATGCTGATGAGGGATGGCTCGCTGTGGTTCAGAAGCGACGCCTTCTTCAAGTATGCCATGCCGTCGATTTTCAAGTGCTGTCACTTCTCGTGCGCCGAAGTCAAGCAGGGCCTGGATCTTTGGACCGACTGCTGGTTGTCCTGGTCGCTAGAGGTGGGCTATAGTCTGGAAGACCTGCTGCGTGCGAGGCCGCACTGGCCAGAGCTGATAAAGCTCGGAAAGGACTTGCCCGAGCTCCTGACAGCAGCAGTAAAAGCCGACAGCTTCGACGAGGTGTTTTTGCGGAGCGAGTGGCTCAACAGTGAGCGCCTGGAGCTTAAGTTCCAGGGCAGGGACTGCGGCACAGGTTTGGCAACGCTGCTGGAGCTCCTGAGTCGGTGCACAGAGCTACGAGAGCTCGAGCTCGATCTCTCAGGAACCATATTGCCGGCCGAGGGGTCAAGGGCCTTTGCCAAGCTGCAGCTGCCCCTGCTTCGAAGTCTCAAGCTGGAGCTGTCCAATTGCCAACCGGATGCGAGGGTTTTTCCATCGGCATTGGACCAAGCCAGCCTGCCTGAGCTGAGATCGCTTGAGCTGAACCTGCGCTTGTGCGGTTTGAACGCCGACCTTTCCCTTTGCGGTTTGGAAGCAGTGGCGCAGGCATTGTCCAAGTTGGTGAAGCTGAGCCACTTATCGCTGAATTGGACCGAAAACACTCTGGATGGCCGGACGGCAAGGGCCCTCCGCGAAGCAATGCTGAAGATGCCCGACTTGGAATCGGCCGATGTGCGGCTGTACAGCGGCTGCTCGCGAATGACCGCTCACAGCGAGTCCATCGATGCCTTGAAGGGCTTTTCCAGAAAGCTCAAGTCATGGCATTGCGATTTAATACGCGATGCCTAGGTTCCTCTTGCTGTGCCCGGCTGGCTGTCTCTGCTGCGAGGGCTCTTCTGTGAATTTCGTTTCGTACAGTTTCTGCTGTCTTTGTCGCATGAAGGAGTCCAACGAACAGACGAACATGTCTGATCTTGTTCTCATGGCGTGTTTAGGTGCTGAGCTTCTCCCACATTGTCGAAGACAACTTGGCGCTGTCAGCCAGGAAAATGTCAAACTAGTCAGCGTTGCCAAAGGCAAGGTGACGATTTCAGCAACGTAAGCTGCAAACTAGTCAAAGACGGTTCAGCCAAGCAGCTCGCAAGCAAGGGCTTGCAGCCAGAGCTCAGACTGCAGCCCAGAATCAGAAAGCTTGCTACGTGGCTGCTTGGAACCCGCTTGCTGCCTCTGGCGACGCCGAACTCGGATAGAGGTGGACCTGCAATGCCCAACTCCCAGCTATGGCCCGTTGGTCGCCAGGCCTGATGGAAATCTTGCACCATTCCAGGCGCGGGTTTTAATCTCTACAGTGTTACTTGTGTGCATGCCATGCCGGAAGAATTTCGCATGGTATTTTTCGTTGCGGTGAGGATGTGTGTTGCTAGTCCGATGGGGACAGGAGCTGAAAGAAACTTCCATTAGGGCTCTACCCATCGGTATGGCTGACCGTACCGCACCTGCTTCAGTGTATACGTAGGAATAGTAGGCGGGTTGACACACTGCATGTGTTGCTTTCTTCGATGTGCGAGGGAGTAGAAGGTGCCTGGGTGGATCTAAACATTAAACACTAAACCCCTAAACCCTAAACCCTGAAGATCGGGCATGGAATCTGCGACATTAAAAAGCGGAAGGGAGGACGCAGTCACAGATCGGCGTGGCTTTCCGCATTCGATCCAAGGGCACTTCAAGGATCATGGGACTTAGTAACTAGGGTTATGATTAGCTTATAGCTACTTGACCTGTAACCCCAATTAAGGTATATACTCATAACCCTATTTGCTAAGTCCCATGATCCTCCAAGTATGCGCACGGAGGCCGAGGAGCTTCAGACATGAGAGTTTGTAGCAGGGAGTTCCCTGTTATAGTTCTATGGGTGGTTGTTAAAACTAGGGTCCCCTTGTTGGGTCCTTAATATACTACGGCACCTCATATTTAGGGTACCCAAAAAGGGACCCTAATTTCGAGAACTACCCATACGTTATGGTATAGTATAGCCCAAAACGCTATTCTAATCATTACAGCAGCAGCAGCAGTTTGGAATTTCACTGGATGTGATCGCACGGGCTCGAGTCGGTGTCTTACACTTACACTATCTGACCTCAATCCTGTTTGCTCCGCTGCCGTCCAGCCATGGTCCAACCAGGCGCCATACGTGGCTTTTGAGAGTGTGCATGCTATACTTACAAGGGGACCTATAACCCCGCTTTACAACTGCTCATGAACCTCCAGGTGGTGAAAGTACGATTGATGCCCGGGCATAGGGAGTTCTAGGAAGGTGTGGGGTATGGGATTAGTGTGAGGCAGGGAAGGCCTCGACTCGACGCCCGCACTTAGAGGATCATGGGACTGAGTAAGTAGGGTTATAAGTAAGGTAACTATGCTTATATCTACTTATAACCCAACTAAGGTACTTATAACCCTACTTACTAAGTCCCCTGATCCTCCAAGCCAGAATGTTGCCGCAACATGAGAGGTTGCCACGACAAGCAGGCCCGTCGCATCGAAAAGCGGCAGCCTGTGAAGCAAACGGAGCTTTGCGCGTTCTTCGCCGAGACTCGGCGAAATTCCGACTGCTCGGAGATCGTTTCCGACGTGTTAGATAGTGTTTCAGTCCTTCGATGTGCCATTTGGGAGTTTCCGAAAGTAGGGGACCCAAATGTAGCACCCTAAATAGTAGGATCCTTAATACAAGGACCCCAAAATAAGGTACCCCTGTTTTCGGAAACTCCGATTTGTCCGGCATGGCACATCGTACAGCTATCCTCAGCCGAGGCTGGGAAGTGCACCCGTGGGAGCCGCTGCACCTTTGCTCACGGCACCGCCCAGCTACGCCCACGCCCCGACCTCTACAAGACAAGGCTTCGCTTTTGGTGCTATCGTCGTGCTTTCATGCTGTTCGTCTCAACCCTAAACCCTATACTCTAAACCCTAAACCCTACTATTTGCTTAAGAAACCACCAAAAAATAGAAAAAATAATCCCTATATTACCCCCATAAGGAATATAGTTTTTATTTTTTGGGGGTTCTTAAGCAAATAGTAGAACCCCAATCTGAGACACTGGGAGGCTTTGCTCCTCATGGGCCCTGTGCGGGCCCCGAGAGTGTGAAGGGATCTCTTGGTGAGGATTCAGGATCTCCGAGTAGGTCGCCACTGCTCAAAGACGAGGGTCCCTTGCCCTAAACCCTAGACGTTAGACCCTAAACCCAAAACCTTATACAGCCTGCACTGCAGTGTAGGAGGGGAAAAATACCCTTCAAAAAGAACTTGAACCCTAAACCCTCTACCCTACACCCGAGTCGCTTCCTGAAGCTCCCAGGCTGCAGCGCTGTCCTTACGGCGAAAGCTGCACGCATGCCCACGGCGCTCCTCTCAGGTTATTGACGCAGTTGATGTCTTCTAAGGTTTACAGTAGTGTGTAGGGAAGAGGGTATATTGAAGCATTGCAAGATCTCGGGTAGTGGGGGCAGGATCGAGGATCTGGGAATTTTTGCAGCTGATGCTGCAGAAGCAGATTGGGAATGAAGGCCCTCTCTGAAGGGCCCTTTTACGTACTCTAGTGCTGCTCCAGACAGGGACTTTGGAACAGTTCAATTTTTTTTGGGCCTTCGCTTGGCCAACGAAGCTTCCCGAACCCGCATGGTGCGGTGCACACTTAGAGGATCATGGGACTTAGTAAGTAGGGTCATAAGTAAGGTAACTATAGTTATATCTACTTATAACCCCAACTAAGGTACTTATAACCCCACTTGCTAAGTCCCATGATCCTCCAAGTAGACCCTAAACCCTAAACTAAATCCTAAAGATCCCTTTAAGGAGCCCTATAGATCCCTTCAAGGGGCCCTTTAAGAACCCTTACTAAGTCCCATGATCCTCCAAGCATGCGAAGGTGAAGAAGAGCTACGCGCAGTCGGCGCCTTTCCAGATCTGGAGGCTCGTGTTACAGAGACAGGATGAACAAACCACGCATGGACATGGAATTCCCAGAGACTCCAATATCCCTTAATTAAGGAATATTCCTGAAAATAGGGTAGGATCCCTTATATGATTTAAGGTATATTCCTTAATTAAGGGATACTGGAGTCTCTGGGTTGGAGCAGAAATCAGACTCAGTGGTGGTGCGCAGTCCTGTACACGCAGTCTCGCTGCTTTCTTGATGGCCGCTTTGGTAGCGCAGGCTGTGTCTTTGTGGGTATCTGCTGCAGTACTATAGGGGCGTAAATAATTATCAATACTATTTTGAGGGTTCCGTAGTATAAGTTTAGTATCATGGGTCCCAAAACCTTATTCTAGTTTTTTAAAGCCCCTATATCATACAGTACCCTTATGGATCCCTTATCGAGCCCTTTAAAGGAAGAGCCCCCAAAATCCTATTCCAAGCAATTCAGAGGCCCCTGTACTATATGGTACCCTTATAGATCCCTTATAGTAGCCCTTATGGATCCCCTTTAAAGGAACCCAAAACCCAAAACCCTAAGGAGGTGTACTTATTTTGGGATTTTTTTTGGGGCATTTATTTTTTTTTTGCTTGTGTGCGCGCTTGGCTTGGCTTCTCGGCTTCCCTGGCTTCTTGGCTTCTGGCTTCTTGGCTTCTTGGCTTTTCGGCTTCTTGGCTTTTTGTCTTCGGCATAGAGAGCCTCATAAATCAGTCCTTAAGTCACGCCCTCAACCCTAAGCCGAGCCGAGGCGAATTTAGGTCAGTAAAGCGGGATAGGGGTTTAAAAAAAAAATTAAATAAGGATCAAAAAAAATTAAATAAGGATCAAAAAAAATAAATAAATAAGGATAAAAAAAATTAAACGGGTATCCGCGAAAGGAAGGGGAACAAGGAACGAAAGACAGAGAGAGAGAGAGAGAAGGAAAGAAAGAAAGAACGAAAGAAAGAAAGGAATAAAGAAAGCAAGGAAGAAAGAAAGAAAGAACGAAAGAAAGAGCGAAATAAAGAAATAAAGAAACAACGAAAGAAAGAAAGAACAAAAGAAAGAAAGAAAGAAACAACGAAAGAAAGAAAGAAAGCCATGCAAGAAACAGAGAAATAAGTAAATAAAGAAAGCTATAAGTAAAGAAAGAAAACAAAAATAGAGAACTAAGTAAAGAAAGAAAGCTACAAGGAAAGAAAAAAGAAAACACAAGGAAAGAACCAAAGAGAGTTGACAACTTAGAGAAATACCACGGAATCCGTAGGAAAATCGTGTTTTCCCCAGGAAAAACCAAGCAAATCCTTAGGAAACGAAAGAAAATCCCTAGGAAAGCAGTGTTTTCCCTTGGAAAAATTCAAGAATTGCTGTATCTAAAAAGCAAGAAAGAAAGACAGAAAGAAAGAAAAAAACGAGAGAGAGAACGAAAGAACGAAAGCAAAAACAAGAGGAAGAACGAAAGCAAGAACTAAAGAAAGAAACTTAAGGAAATACCACGGAATCCGTAGGAAAATCGTGTTTTCCCGAACCAAAAACCAAGCAAATCCTCAGGAAATGAAAACGAATCCGTATGAAAACAGTGTTTCCCCTGGGAAAAATTCAAAAATTGCTGTATCTAAAGAGGACGAAAACAAGGAAAACAGAAAGAAAGAAAGATAGAACGAGAGAGAGAACGAAAGAACGAAAGCAAAAACGAAAGAAAGAACGAAAGCAAGAACGAAAGAAAGAACGAACCAAAGAAAGAACGAAATAAATCAAACCAGAAAGGAAAGCAAGAAAGAAAGGAAGGGAGTATGAGATGAACAAAGAAAGAACAACAGAAAGAAAGAAAAGAAATGAACGAGCGAAAGAAAGAAAGAAGTCCATAATAAAAAAGCAAAGTTGGAAAATACGAAAGAGAAAGAATATGAAAAAATCACAGAAACAAAGATACAAGCAACAGGATACTACATAGCCCACTCGAATTTACCATAATATCGTAATGTACCGTAACAGAATATAACATAATGTAAATGTAACCTATAAAATATGCTACATATTATGTTGTAAATATACACACTGTACTGTACTATGTTACAATGTACTACACTATAAACTAAGATGTTGTTTTGTTCTATGTCATCTTCTGTTATATTGTATTGTTTTTTTAGTATGCTATTATATGCTATAAGAAGCAAGGTTCTGTTATGTCAGAAAATGTCACACCATTTTTGTGTTGTCGAACCATCTTATGTCGTTCTTCTGGTTTACTATGTTATATATATTAGGTTAGAATGCTAGCGGAAGAAGAGACACGAACAGGCACGGAAGAACAAAACACCCGCCGCCGCGCTTTTCGAGACGTGCAAGCTTGATTCAAAGAGTGTTTTCGGCCCATCATGTGAACGTTGTCTCTGCAAATGGGGGGGGCTGCGCCCCCCCCAACCCCCCCGCTGTTTTAAGCCGTGCAGGGTTGCTTTGATTCTCCCTGGCTTCTTGGCTTCTGGCTTCTTGGCTTTTCGGCTTCTTGGCTTTTTTCTTCGGCATAGAGAGCCTCATAAATCAGTCCTTAAGTCACGCCCTCAACCCTAAGCCGAGCCGAGGCGAATTTAGGTCAGTAAAGCGGGATAGGGGTAAATAAAAAAAAAATTAAATAAGGATCAAAAAAAATTAAATAAGGATAAAAAAAATTAAACGGGTATCCGCGAAAGGAAGGGGAAAAAGGAACGAAAGACAGAGAGAGAGAGAGAGAAGGAAAGAAAGAAAGAACGAAAGAAAGAAAGGAAGAAAGAAAGCAAGGAAGAAAGAAAAACGAAAGAAAGAACGAAATAAAGAAATAAAGAAACAACGAAAGAAAGAAAGAACAAACGAAAGAAAGAAAGAAACAACGAAAGAAAGAAAGAAAGCCATGCAAGAAACAGAGAAATAAGTAAATAAAGAAAGCTATAAGTAAAGAAAGAAAACAAAAATAGAGAACTAAGTAAAGAAAGAAAGCTACAAGGAAAGAAAAAAGAAAACACAAGGAAAGAACCAAAGAGAGTTGAGAACTTAGAGAAATACCACGGAATCCGTAGGAAAATCGTGTGTTCCCCAGGAAAAACCAAGCAAATCCTTAGGAAACGAAAGAAAATCCCTAGGAAGCTGCTCACAAGACGAACTCTTACATGTTATCTACCCCTTGGAAAAATTCAAGAATTGCTGTATCTAAAAAGCAAGAAAGAAAGACAGAAAGAAAGAAAAAACGAGAGAGAGAACGAAAGAACGAAAGCAAAAACAAGAGGAAGAACGAAAGCAAGAACTAAAGAAAGAAACTTAAGGAAATACCACGGAATCCGTAGGAAAATCGTGTTTTCCCGAACCAAAAACCAAGCAAATCCTCAGGAAATGAAAACGAATCCGTATGAAAACAGTGTTTCCCCTGGGAAAAATTCAAAAATTGCTGTATCTAAAGAGGACGAAAACAAGGAAAACAGAAAGAAAGAAAGATAGAACGAGAGAGAGAACGAAAGAACGAAAGCAAAAACGAAAGAAAGAACGAAAGCAAGAACGAAAGAAAGAACGAACCAAAGAAAGAACGAAATAAATCAAACCAGAAAGGAAAGCAAGAAAGAAAGGAAGGGAGTATGAGATGAACAAAGAAAGAACAACAGAAAGAAAGAAAAGAAATGAACGAGCGAAAGAAAGAAAGAAGTCCATAATAAAAAAGCAAAGTTGGAAAATACGAAAGAGAAAGAATATGAAAAAATCACAGAAACAAAGATACAAGCAACAGGATACTACATAGCCCACTCGAATTTACCATAATATCGTAATGTACCGTAACAGAATATAACATAATGTAAATGTAACCTATAAAATATGCTACATATTATGTTGTAAATATACACACTGTACTGTACTATGTTACAATGTACTACACTATAAACTAAGATGTTGTTTTGTTCTATGTCATCTTCTGTTATATTGTATTGTTGTATTTTTAGTATGCTATTATATGCTATAAGAAGCAAGGTTCTGTTATGTCAGAAAATGTCACACCATTTTTGTGTTGTCGAACCATCTTATGTCGTTCTTCTGGTTTACTATGTATATATATATTAGGTTAGAATGCTAACGGAAGAAGAGACACGAACAGGCACGGAAGAACAAAACACCCGCCGCCGCGCTTTTCGAGACGTGCAAGCTTGATTCAAAGAGTGTTTTCGGCCCATCATGTGAACGTTGTCTCTGCAAATGGGGGGGGCTGCGCCCCCCCCAACCCCCCCGCTGTTTTAAGCCGTGCAGGGTTGCTTTGATTCTCCCTGGCTTCTTGGCTTCTGGCTTCTTGGCTTTTCGGCTTCTTGGCTTTTTTCTTCGGCATAGAGAGCCTCATAAATCAGTCCTTAAGTCACGCCCTCAACCCTAAGCCGAGCCGAGGCGAATTTAGGTCAGTAAAGCGGGATAGGGGTTAAAAAAAAATTAAATAAGGATCAAAAAAAAATTAAATAAGGATCAAAAAAAATGAAATAAGGATAAAAAAAATTAAACGGGTATCCGCGAAAGGAAGGGGAAAAAGGAACGAAAGACAGAGAGAGAGAGAGAAGGAAAGAAAGAAAGAACGAAAGAAAGAAAGGAAGAAAGAGAGCAAGGAAGAAAGAAAGAAAGAACGAAAGAAAGAACGAAATAAAGAAATAAAGAAACAACGAAAGAAAGAACAAAAGAAAGAAAGAAAGAAACAACGAAAGAAAGAAAGAAAGCCATGCAAGAAACAGAGAAATAAGTAAATAAAGAAAGCTATAAGTAAAGAAAGAAAACAAAAATAGAGAACTAAGTAAAGAAAGAAAGCTACAAGGAAAGAAAAAAGAAAACACAAGGAAAGAACCAAAGAGAGTTGACAACTTAGAGAAATACCACGGAATCCGTAGGAAAATCGTGTTTTCCCCAGGAAAAACCAAGCAAATCCTTAGGAAACGAAAGAAAATCCCTAGGAAAGCAGTGTTTTCCCTTGGAAAAATTCAAGAATTGCTGTATCTAAAAAGCAAGAAAGAAAGACAGAAAGAAAGAAAAAACGAGAGAGAGAACGAAAGAACGAAAGCAAAAACAAGAGGAAGAACGAAAGCAAGAACTAAAGAAAGAAACTTAAGGAAATACCACGGAATCCGTAGGAAAATCGTGTTTTCCCGAACCAAAAACCAAGCAAATCCTCAGGAAATGAAAACGAATCCGTATGAAAACAGTGTTTCCCCTGGGAAAAATTCAAAAATTGCTGTATCTAAAGAGGACGAAAACAAGGAAAACAGAAAGAAAGAAAGATAGAACGAGAGAGAGAACGAAAGAACGAAAGCAAAAACGAAAGAAAGAACGAAAGCAAGAACGAAAGAAAGAACGAACCAAAGAAAGAACGAAATAAATCAAACCAGAAAGGAAAGCAAGAAAGAAAGGAAGGGAGTATGAGATGAACAAAGAAAGAACAACAGAAAGAAAGAAAAGAAATGAACGAGCGAAAGAAAGAAAGAAGTCCATAATAAAAAAGCAAAGTTGGAAAACTAGAAGACAATTGGCCCGAAAGCATCATCAGCGAAGAGTGTTGCGCTACGTCATAGAATCCAGTGTATAGGGTCATGGAGTCACCGAGTCAAAAGCACGGAGTCACAGAGTCGGAGTGTCACATACAGTCAAGAGTCGTACAAGTCATAGTTCATAGGGTCATCGAGAAATAAAGTCGAGTACATGTCAAGCACAAGTCATAGTTCAAAGAGTCATAGAGTCATATAGAGTCATAGAGTCACAGTGAGACAGAATCATAGAGTCATAGAGTCATGGAGTCATCTATGTACCACGCACTTGACTTGATGTAGTTCACTCTATGAACACTAATGTTCAGGTTTAGCGGGTTTAGGGTATAGTCCAACATGACGCAGAAGTCTTCCTTTCCTAGCTCCGGAACCTCACTATATAGACATCCCTGATTACTGTGGTTTCAACGTGACTCTATGACTCTATGCATGGTCACTTTATGTCGCAGCAGTAGTAGTAGTAGTAGTAGTAGTACTAGTAGTACTAGCAGTACCAGTAGTAGTAGTGATAGTAGTGGTAGTCGTAGTAGTTGTAGTAGTAGTCGTCGTTGCATAGTCGCAGTCGTAGTCGTAGTAGTAGTAGTTGTAGTTGTAGTTGTTGTTGTGGTACTAGTAGTAGTAGTAGTAGTAGTAGTAGTAGTAGTAGTAGTAGTAGTAGTAGTAGTAGTAGTAGTGGCAGTAGTAGCAGTAGCAGTAGTAGTAGTAGTAGTAGTAGTGTAGTAGTAGCAGTAGTAGTAGTAGTAGTAGTAGTAGTATTCTTTTGTAGTAGTGGTAGTAGTAGCAGTAGTAGTAGTAATAATAGTTGTAGTAGTGGTAGTGTAGTAGTACTAGTACTAGTTCGAACACTCGACAACGCCAATCTCTGTGAAGGGTTGCAAGTTTCACCTCAATGCACATCAAAAGTAATAATTTTACCTCGCGTTCGAACACTCGACAACGCCAATCTGTGTGAAGGGTTGCAAAATTCATGTCAATGCACATCAAAAATTGCAACTTTACCTCGCGTTCGAACACTCGACCACGCCAATCCCTGTGAAGGGTTGCAAAATTCATCTCAATGCACATCAAAAAATGCAACTTTGCCTCGCGTTCGAACACTCGACCACGCCAATCCCTGTGAAGCGTTGCAAAATTCATCTCAATGCACATAAAAAATTGCAACTTTACCTCGCCTTCGAACACTCGACCACGCCAATCCCTGTGAAGGGTTGCAAAATTCATGTCAATGCACATCAAAAAATGCAACTTTACCTAGCGTTCGTGCATTCGACCATGCCAATCCCTGTGAAGGGTTGCAAAATGCCAATCCCTGTGAAGGGTTGCAAAATGCAGCTCAATGCACCCAAACCCTGTGAAGGGTTGCGCGGCGCCCGCAAAATGTGTAACTTTACCTCGCGTTTGAACGCCCGAGGATGCTGCCCTGCAAGGCAATGCAACACGGCCAAGCAAACTACAAAAAAAAAATGCCCCCCCCCAAAAAAAAAATCCCAAACTAATTCCAGACCCAAACCCTAAACCCTAAACCCCAAAACCCTAAACCCTAAACCCTAAACCCCAAAACCCAAAACCCTAAACCCTAAACCCCGAAACCCTAAACCCAAAACCCTAAACCCTAGACCCTACGGCCCCTGTATCACAGGCGCGAGAGCTGATCAAGGAGGCGTCCTCCACGGCATCCGGAGACTGCGGATCTGAGCCTCCTGGCCGCAATTTGCCATGGAAGTCTGAAGAAAAGGAGAATATCGGAGTTTCCGAAAATTAGGGGTACCTTATTCTGGGGTCCTTATAGGATCGTACTATTCAGGGTACTATAGTAGGGTCCCCAATTTTCGGACCCCTAGTTTTCGGTATCCATATGTGAGACATGGGATGCGAGCATTGGGGACCGACTGTGCCGTGGCCTTGTGGGTCTTTAAGGGTCCTTTCTATAAGGGTATAGGGTTTAGGGCTTACTTGGAGGTTCATGGGTAGTTAGTTATAAGTGTTATAAGTAGGGTACTACATTACGGGACTTATAACCCCACTTATAACTCCCCCTGAAGTAGAAGGTTCACGGGTCCTAAACCCTAAACCCTAAACCCTAAACCCTAAACCCTAGGGTAGTTGTAGTCTTACGTCTTTCTTGGCCCTTTCCCTTTTGGCTGGTGCGGCCGTTCGAGCCGATTTCAGCGGGGTAATATACGGGCCTTAATAATTGCCTGTGCTGTTTTGCGGGTTCCTTATTCTAATTATTATTCTAATTATTATTATTATTGTTATTATTATTATTGTTATTATTATTATTATTATTGTTATTATTATGGTATAATGGGCCCCCAAACCCTATTCTAGTTTTCTAAAGCCCCTATGTCATATAGTACCCTTATAGATCCCTTACAGTAGTTTTCATAGATCCCCTTTAAAGGAAAACTTTTCTAATTATTAAGAGGCCCCAATATTAGTTGGCTCGAGGCTCTCTCTGTCATCGGCGGTGACGCAGTTTGGCTTGCCGAAGGCCAACGATCACACGATAAGGAGCCTTGACAGCACTTGGAGGGGTAGTTATAAAGGGTTCCTTTAAGGGTCCTTCTAAAGGGTTCTATAGGGATTCTATGCAGGTATATGGTTTAGGGTTTACTTGAAGGTTCATGGGTAGTTTACAACGGGGGTTATAAGGCCCCTAACATGGGTTATAAGTACAGTTACCTACTTATAGCCCCGCTTGTAGCTACTCATAAGCCTTGACAGCATGCTCGGCACACGTCTCTGACCATGCCGCCGCGAGCCCTTTCCAGACAGGTATGCCGAATACAATTCCCTTCTTGACATTGACGCCGACTACCCAATCACGACTCCCGACTACCTTCCGGCCCCATGGAGCCACTGTTCTGAATATGCTATTTGATGGGCCGGGCAATCCTGTCGGTCCAACCCGAACGATCGCACTAGAGTTTCTCTTGCAGGCTTCCCGGTTGTGTTAGCGAAGTTTCTGATGATGTCACGGGTCTGAATATTTTCAAAAGCACACATGTTTTTGTTTCTTTTTCGGTATGGCTGCCGGAACCTTGCTGTGCATTCCTTCACTTGCTTGCGCGCTGGTTTGACGCGAGTGGTGAGCAGTCTGTTTCGTTTCGTCCGTGATTTCCGAATGAAGCAGACTTCCGATGCTTGAGGTGGCTTTCAGCATCAACAGCCGGCCACTGTGCAGGCCAACATGCAGGCGAGGCGACACACCGAAGGCTTCCATTTGAAAGGGACATCGAAGCAGCCTTTCATTTCTGAAGTTTGGGAGGTAGCTCCGTAGCTCAGGAGAAAGACTCATTCTGGACGTCCCTAAGGCCTCTGAAGAGGTTCTTAAGTTTGAAAGACCCTTATCACATGGAGCCCACTATTACAGGGATCTAATTTGGGTTTAGGCTTTCGAGGTTGTCCCTGACGACAGAATTAGGAGAGCTCGCGCGGTGTTACAGGCTTAAAGTCTGAGTCATGCTGCACTTTCTTTCGGATTTCCGTTCAGCTTCCTTGCGCCTGCTGCGTCAATATGATGCTTGATTCCAACGTCCGGCCCCAGCCCGTGACTCAAAAAAGGACGCCTGTTAACAACTCTTACAAATCCTGATGTGGTGGGGATCATTTATGGGGCTTTAATGAGTCCTTGACCAGGAATGTGCGTCATTCTTCCCGCCCCCACCCAATAAAGACAAAGATAGCGAATAGTTACAGTATCAGTACTATTACTACTAGCATCATTTCTACTGTCCTTATGATGACTATCATGCTCTTCTTTTCGCCTTCTTATCATTATGATGACTATCGTCGTTTTTGCTATTATTGATTTTTGCACTCTTAATGATAACATTGCTGTAGTTTTGATTCTTCTACGCATTTTCCTTCTTCTTTGCTGGCACTTTTCATTACGTGTGCAATGCGAGGCGATGCAATTCTTCCCTCGTCAAGCCGAAGTCTTGAGCTTGTAGTTGTGGGGTCGACATGACTTGCGGTGCTTCCAGAGACCCGCATGAACCGACATCCGCGATGTAGAAACGGATTGGAGTTGAGCAAAAGTTCATGCTGGTGTCTGCGAACTTCTCATCCCAGTCATCTGTGGTGGTCCATCCATCCTAAGGCCTAAACCCTAAACTCCCTAAGCCCTAAAACCCTAAAACCCTAAAACCCTGAAGCCCTAAAACCCTACACCCTAAATCCCTTAAAGGCTACGTGGAACAGGCATGCTGTCCTTCAGAGATGATGGAGGGACCCCAAGAAAAGAGCGCCCGGGCCCCCATTTGGGGAAGGAGTGAAACTCTGCGGCCAGGCACAGGGCTCCGGCTTTCAAGGGTTTTCGGAGTCCGATTCTTCCTGCCTGTGGACCTCACTGGGTTTAGGGTTTAGGGGGTTTCTATTGCGACAGCAACCCCTGATTACGCACCCCGTCATCGAGACACCCTAGAACCTAGACATTGAGCTCTGAACGGTGGTGAGGTTTGGATGCTCACCGGCCAAGAGTCGGCTGATAGGGTTTGAGGAAGGATAGAGCTAAGCCGCTGAGTTTGTTCGTCCCTATGTTTGAAGTTCAAGTTCGCCTAGCTGGAAAACATCTTCAGACATCGCACTGTTTCAGGGCCAGAGGTTGCCTTGTCCAGGGGTGCCTTGTCGAGCAGTCCTGAGCAAAAAGAGGATCTTGGTCAAAAAATAATCCCGAAACCCTAAACCCTGCAGGGTGCACATCAACTTAAAAAAAACAAACCTGCAGGTAGACCCTGAACCCCTGAACCCTGCAATGCGGGCTTCGTCCTGGTTAAGTCGAAGTAGGAGGAAGGAAACCCCGGTCAGTGGGACTTCTTGGGAGCTTCACACCGGGCTCGGGGAGAGGTCTTCTCCCGTTTGCCTTGAGAGTTCTGGTGAGGTGGCAGACTGTTTATGGAACTTGAGTAATTACCAACTCTAGTTGGGGACTCCTTCATATCACTATACTGTCTCTGGTGTTCCTTAATAGAACTGTACTATCATACACCCCGATACCCTATTCTAGGTATTAAGGCCCTACAGTAACCAATCGGGCACAGGCAGAAGTATTGCAGAGGTCACAGCCTGCAGACAGGAAGGGCTGGGCTGCAGAGTGTACGAGCGACGGTGTGCTATGTGTGCAGCTGATAGATGTGTTGCTTGAGCTTCAAGGGTGCCGGGAGAAGCGCATATTGCGGCTTCTTGCAGGCCCCTTGCGTGAAGCTTCCTGAATCCGAGTGTCTTGGATCTTGAAGCTGCGAGATAAAGTAGAAGCCAGAAACTTGGAACACCTATATCCTCATGGCCTTAAGGCAAAGTATAGGGGATCCCAGCACTAATCATCCTAAACCCATGTTCCAACTTTCTGGGGTTCACTATAACACTGTGGAGGATTCATTCCTCTGGTGTCGAAGTGTTGTAAGATTTGTGTGTACGACGCGGGGCTCATGACGATGCTACGACTGTTCGATCTGACCCCACGTTTGACTTCTTGGTTATCAACATGTCTGGTGTCAGCGTTTCTGCCTGGTACCCAGCCGGTGTGATGCGACTCAAAGCGGGAAACTTCTCTGCTTTTGCGAGGACCTGGGATAGGAAATGGACTGTGACTAGCAACTTGTGTCTTCAACAAGCAGCCGCATTGGGATTTCGGAGCATGAACGCCTTAGGATCGTATGGATCCGCAACACAGAATCCTTGTCAGAAGGACTTTTGTAGAAGGGTCCCCCCAATTTTCTGTACTGGCACGTGGCTTTGATCAAAAACCCTATCACTCCTAAACCTTTACGGTAGCAGTGGGACCTCGAAGCCGTGCCTGCGTGAGCGAGTGTGCGTGTCGAAACCCTAAACTTTACACCGCTAGCCCAAGCTTTACCGGTGTCGGAAATTATGTAGCTCTAAATCCCTTCCCGCCGTGTCGCCACACTGTATGGGGGCAAGCTGAAAGACCCAGGGACTCCAGATGCCTGTAGCGGGGTTTGTTTTGGGTTTTATGTTTTTGTTTCATGGTTATGCTGCAATTTTAGAATCGAGTATCCTTGAGCTGTTCATTCGTCAACTTGTCGGATGATTTTTCAGAAGGAACCCCCCAAAAGCGGCGTGGGAGTCGCTGGATGTTCGAATAGATATATCCAGACCTGCTTCCAGCATCATCGTCCGCATTTTTGTCGTCGCAGTGTCACACCACGGTATACAATGACATGATGCGGTGTGTTTTAAGGGCGATGCTGCCGATGGGAAGTTGCGCGAAGAAGTTGTCAACCCCATGTTTTAATGTTCTATCTGCGGGCAGCAGTACCGCAGCACAGCTGTACAGGATCCGGAAGAAGGCATGTTTGAGAAAGTCGTGCCCGCGATGCGTTAGACATTCCTGCTTCCGCTTGCTTTATGCATTAGTGGTGCTGCTATTGGCAGCACACGACACATGTAGGGAAGGATTTCTCAATGCCAGGCCCTCCAACCCAGCAAATGCTCTTTCCGCTCTCTGGCGGCTCTTCAGCACCCTAAACCCTAAACTCTTCGCCCTGAACCCTTAAACCCCAAAGGCATCAGGGTAGAGCCGCGAGCAAGGTCATGCATGTTTCCTCTCCTCGAACTTTTGTCTTTTGATTTACCAAACACCTATACAGTAGAAGCCCAAAAGTTGGAAGCCCAATAGCCTCAATCCTGAAGAGTAATGTATAGACAATCTCAGCACTATTTGTTCTTAATGAGGTTTCCAATTGTTTGGGGTTTACTGTAAGTTCGGGCTGCGTCGGGAAGTCGCGCCTCCCTCAGCATTGATTGTGCGGCAGCTGTTTCATTGACCATCGCATACGCCCTTTCAAAGCCCAAAGTTGTCCCTGCTCACCCAAAACCTCGCGCAGTTCACTCGCACCAGATGGGGGAAGACGGCCGGTGAGGCTTTTGATTTTCTGAGGGGTTTGTGCCATCTCCTTGTGCCGGCAGGCGCTGCTGCTAGCACAGTACCACTGTCGCACAAATTAGATATCTTTTCATGCTATAACCCCTAACCCCCCAAACCCTAAACCCTACCTATAGCCGGAAAGACCTCCTTATTAAGGCTTCTATATATAGTTCCTTAAAAAGGTAGGTCTTTTCGGCTACAGGTAAACCCTATGCTGTGCTTGCAGCTCTGTCTCACAGTTGTGGACCCAGAGACTCCAATATCCCTTGATTAAGGAATATTCGGTTTAGGGTTCCTTTAAAGGGATCTTTATAGGGTTATAGGGTTTAGGGATTAGGGTTTAGGGAAGTTATAAGTAGGGTTATAAGTGTAGGGTAACTATACTTCTAACCCATATTCGGGGACTTATCACCCTGCTTACAACTACCCATGAACCTCCAAGTTGAGCTACAGATAGTTACAGAGTTACGGCAACTTGAATCTGCACTCGATCTCGCCCCCGTCGGAATTGGCTCACCGTCGCATCGTAGCAAGTGGGGAGCGGAAGGTGTAGCATTTTAGGAACGCGCACAAGTCACATGAAGCTGTCTGAAACCATGGCCGCGAGCACTCCCCTGGAGATGGGCCGGTCGCTTTGGCGATTCGGAACTGGCCGATACTTCTACGTCATGGCGCAGTACTTGATTCACAGTGGACTGGCCAATGCGATCTCCTGGATCAAGCTTCTCTTCCTCTGTTCCGTTGGGACTTTGTGTGTGGTGATTCCCATCCTTTGGCCTCTCTTCCTCTTCTGGGTCTATCAGAAGTACCTTAGGGGTACTTAGAACTTTTTTGTTTGGTTATTATAATCCCTAAGAAACAGCTAAAATTATAATTTTTGCTAGGGTTCTAAGTTCAGTATAGGTACCAGAGCTATGCGGCGAGCAGAGCCAAACTACTCCCAAGCTGGACGGGGCCGGGGAGCTTGGAGCAGAAGGTGCTGAAGGCCATCGAGACTTTGCCAGAGTTGGGCAACATTTTACATGTTTATGGGTACTTAAACCCAATAAGGAATAAACCTTAAATCCTAAACCCAGGAGGCAGAAAAAACCCTACACCCTAAAACCTAAGCCCAGTACGGAATATAAATGTAGAATCCTAAGTCCTATCCCAGCCATGAACGAGGAGAAGAACGAGCCGCCGACGAACGGGAAGTTCCAGAATCGCGATGGCCTGAGCCTCTTCGATCCCCAATACTTGGAGGATCAGGAGAATTAGGAAGTAGGGTTATAAGTATCCTAATTGGGGTTTTTAGTAGATAAACTATAGTTACCTTACTTATAACCCTACTTACTAAGTCCCATGATCCTCTAAATACCCAACCTTTAAACCATTTTTTGGGTTTAAGGGTTTAGGGGTTAGGGTTTAGGGTTGAGGGTTTAAGTTAGATCCCCAAGACCGCTTCCCAACCTTTAAAGCTTGTTGGGTTCTTAGAGTATTAGTATAGTAGGAACTTCAAGGTTCAACCCTCTATTTCTGTGGCTGATGTCGGTTCTTATAGCTTAGTAGGAATTTCAAAGTTCAAACCCTCTATGTCTGTGGCTTTTTTGGGGGAGTAAGGCCTCCACTACTACTCCGAAGGTCGAGGTTCCAAGCACGTGCTCATTTGCAATGGGGTGACTTTGTCAGAGCTGGGTGACATTTTACATATTCATTATGGGTACTTAAACCCAATAATAATAAGGAATAAAGCGGTGCATTTTTTTATCTTATCCCGACTATGAACTAGGTGAATTGCTCTTACTTGCTGTGGAAGCCTCTTATGGATTCCCTCAGCGAGAGCTTCGGAAAAGATTGGAGGGAAGAGCTCACAGTGATCACCTGGGACTATCGTGGCCTCTATAAATCCGAAGCACCCCCGGCCACCTCAAGCTACTCCGTGCGAGCCTTGTGCGAAGATGCTTACGATTTGCTGCAGCATCTCAAGCTGGAGAAGTGGCACGCCGTCTGCGGCTGGTCCACCGGTGTCCAGTGCTCCCTTGAGTACGCGGGGCTCTACCCGGAAACCGTGGAGCGCATCTTCTTGGTGAACGGGTCGCACGGCCACACCTTGCACACAGCCTTCCAGCCCATGCCGCAGTTTTTCTTCCTCTCCACGATGTCGCGATTGCTGTCCACTGCCATCTACTTCGTGCGCTTCTACATCTGCAATGATGCGAAGGAGTTCCAGAGGTTCAAGAGCCTCTGGGTGAAGATCAACGAGCTTGTCTCTTGCACCCTCCATCGCTTGAACGGCTTCTTGCTGGGATCTGCGAGTTTGGAGTATACCATGGCCTCCAATGCATTGGATTCTGGGTTCTTGTTAAGGAACTTATATTAGGTTACCATAATCAGGAAGCCATATTATAAATTATAGATCCCTATTAAAGTAACTTAAGTAAAAGCTTGCTAGCAAGAACCCTAAACCCTAAACCTTAAAGAAACACTAAACTCTATTATAGTATCTTAAGTTAAACTCCTTAACGAGAGCCCAGGATTTGACAGGCCATGGCCCCGATCATTGCAACAACGTGATGCGCATCTTGCAAGCTTTGGACAGCCACTCCAGTGCGTACACGCTCCCGGAGCTTAAGGCCTTAGGGTTCCTTTAAAGGGATCCTAGAAGCGGTCCAGTCCCACTATAGGGGATTATATAAAGGGATCCATCTCCCCATTCCCTACGAAGAACCAGACAGAAGGTGCCCATCTTGGTCGTGGCTGGGCTGCTGGACGTCATGACTCCAGCCTTCACGCAGTATGAGATTGCAGGCCGGGGTCCTCTCTCCCTCTCAATCTCTGAAGTGTCCTAAACCCTAAACCCTAAACCCCTACACCCTAAACCCCTAAACCCTAAACCCTCAACCGGCCTTATGGTGGTTCAGGGTGTATCGGGAGGGGCCATCTTCAAGCAGGCCTCGCCCCGAAAGCCAAGTTGGTCTCCATTGCGGCGGGCACTCACCACTGCATTTTGGAGTCCCCTCAGCTGGCCAGCAGGGAGGTCGCGAGCTTCTTCAAAGCAGATCCTAAGGACCTAGAGAAATGGGGTAGCGAAGACCGGGTATCCTGGCCCATTGGCTGGTATCTCTTGTAGCAGCCTCGTTGAGCCCGGGCATCCTTCCTCCAGTGAGAGTTTTCCACGCTTCGGGCTTCCTCGCTGTACAGAATTTTGTCTTCAGGAAGCCTGTCGAGCGCTGAGGGGGAGGATATGGGCTGGAGTTGGGTCAGACGGCAGACGGTCGAACCATGTGTCCATCACCCCGAAAAGAGCGAAGGAAAGGTCGAGGTGGGCAAGGGCTCTGTAGATGCAGGGACCCCAGGTGAGGCAGCAGCTCATGAGGGCCCTAATAGCAGCAGCAATAAGATAACGAGTTACAGTAAGAAGAGAAACAAGAATGCGACTAATCTCCGGATCAAGAAGTCCCATATCCGAAATCCTACGCAGTGCAAGCCGAGCATTTTTACCCTAGGAGCCCCCACAAAAGATAAGGACCCATCCCCCAAAAGCAACCACATCTCTGACGATTCAAAGGGCCCCAAAAACTTTAAATCCTAAACCCGAAGTAGCAAGCTGGACCGTCATCAAGCCGTGCCTGCCTCGTGTGACGTGTCGAAACCCGAAGCAGGCCGTCACAGCGCCACAGGTGAGGTCCCAGAGCTGGTGCAGGCCAGGCGCGGAGGATCGGATCGAGGGGTGGAGGTTTTCGAAAGATGGGAGTTTCTGATAACAAGGGTACCTTATTTTGGGGCCCTAGAATAAGGATCCTACTTTTCAGGGTATTGTATTAGGAACCACTATTTTCGGAAACTCGCAGATAGGCTTACGGTAGGGATTGCTTTACTCCTGTCAGATGCCAGCACCAGTGCTGGCACAGGATGTTACGACGTGGAGACTCGCTAGTGTAATTGCGGAGTCACCGAAACTGAGTGCCTTGCTGAGGGACCTGGACTGACAGTGATGCTTGACAGTGCACTGCGTCTGAGCGAGCCTGCAATGTGACAGCCGGCAAATACTCTTCGGTTGCCTTACAACAGGGCGCCCTGATTTTCTCGATGCCGCTTGGTCTCACCAGTGCTACCCTATATAGCCCTCAGCGTTGTGCAGCGCTGTAGTGGCTTGGTCGGAGTGTCTGCGGTTTTGACCTTTCGTAGTGCGTGCAAACAAGCATTGTTGTGACCGGGCCCTTTCCAGCATGCTGGTGTGCTTGCCAGAGTCAAGATATGCAAGACTTGCATCTCTTGCATAGGGGAAGTTGGCCCTCCTGACTTGTCCTCAAAGTTTTTACTTGCGTTCAGTGCTTGTCCTTTGCTGCGCCTGAATGCCGACTGCCAACAGCAGCCGAGTTTGTTGGCCACGGGACTCGGGTCATCTCGGGTCAGGAAAAAGGAGGCTTGCATTACAAGTCCTTTTTGTACATACTGAGGGTAACGTTGTCTTACATTGCATTGCGTCGCATTGCATTGCGTCGCATTGCATTGCGAATTCCATGGCCGTCCGTTGCATAGAGTTGCATTGCATTCCGTTTCATTACGGTTGCATTGAGTTGCCGGCATGACATTACATGTTATTATGCTCTGTTCCATGCTCGTCCGTTCTAGTCTTTTGAAAGATTTCTGCCATATTTGGTCCTTTAATGTTCTATTCTGCTTTGTTTTTCTATGTTTTTTTGCTTTTCTATTCTGCTCTCCCTTCGAACTCTGTTCTATTCTCTTTGATTCTATTCTGGTTCTTTTTGTCTATAGTGATCTGTTCTAACTCTATCCTACTATTTGCCATCCTATCCTATCACGTTCTGTTCTACTCGAGTTGTAATTCCATGTTATCCCGACTCATCCTGGTTGACTGCTGCCGGCCCGCGCTGATGGGCTCTGCCAGAGGCGGTGGTGGTGAGACGCCGTAGAGATCGGGGGGGCCGGGGCAGCCCCCCGAGGAGCTGAGGATGGAAGCTCCGGGGGGGCTGAAGATGGGCATACTCATACCCAGTGTCTCAGCCGAGATTTACTGCGTTTCAAGACTTGGACATTGGGAGATTTGTGTATGAAGTTTAGGGGAGCAGGTCGATGTCTGGATAGACTTGAGTCCAGTAGAAACAAGGGAGAGCTGAGAGCTCGCCATCTGCACTTCCATGCTCGCACTCCAGCTGCAACGCTTCCACCCCAAGCGTTTGAGTCAACTCCGAGGCAATGATGCTGGGAGGCTCATCGGCAAGCAAGGCCTGTGCCCCAGAGCGATAGCTTCAAACCACCCAGAACTGCATAGTATACTCTTATGGTATAGCATAGTGGCATGACTTACGTAAACCATACGGAACTGCATAGTATACCATTATAGTACAGCGTAGTGGCATAGTCTTTTATACTCTTATAGTATGGCATAGTGGCAAAGTATATACTACTTGTAGTAAATGACTTATAGTATCGTAGTATATTATCATACTGGAACAGCATATACTACTTCTAGTAACTTACTTATAGTGTTGTAGTGTCTTACCTTCAAGTCCACACCCTGCAGACTTGAGGAGTTCCCCTTGGTCTACACTCGAAAGCCACTTCAGAGCGAAAACCCTGAAGCCCCGACTGCTTGGAGGTTCATGGGTAGTTATAAGTAGGGTTTTTAGTAGGGTCGCTATACTTATAACCCATATAACAGGACTTATAATGAACCTCCAAGTACCCTAAACCCTGAACCCTAAACCCGAAATGTCTTGAACGCCCTCGAGCTCTAAAACCCATGAGCCCCTGAACTCGGAGACAAACACCCTCCGCCTCCCAGCTCGCGTAGCTTTGCCTTGCTGCAAGAGCCTCTTGCAGAACCCTACGGCAGCCCTAAAACCAACCGTGTAAGAAACCCTATCATACCCTATCAGAAACCCATAAGAACCTTATAAGAAGCCCGATAATACCTTATCAGAAGCCCTGTACCTAGTGATTTTGCAGGAAGCCTTATCATACCTGATAAGAAGCCCTAAAACAGCCCTATGGACACTGAGGCGGCAAAGCACCGAAGGCATTCTTAATTATTCGAGGGTTTTATGGGCTGATGCAGGGTTCTTGTAGGCCCATGATGGGCTTCTTACTGGGTTGGTATGGGGTTCCTGTACTGCATGGTTAACTGCAAGCTTGTTGTCGGGTTCTAAAAGGGTTATCACATTCTGCACCTCCACCCCCCCCTAGCGTCCAATAAGTTCAGGTTGCTGCGCATTACTTGGAAGTTCATGGGTAGTTCTAAGTTGGGGGTTTACAAGTCCCCTTGTATGCATGGGTCATGATTAGAAGTACCCCGCGTTACGTAGAAGCCCATTCGTACCGCGAATCTCCAAGTAGAAGCCGATCTTGTAGCCCGGCCAGCCCCTAAACCCCAAATCCCTAACCCCTAAACCCCTAAACCCCGAAACCCCGAAACCCTAAACCCTTGAACCCTGAACCTTAAACCCTTAAACCCTAAACCCTAAATCCATCCAACCTCTAAGCCCTAAGCCGAGGTGCGGGCCTGAGGCAAGTCCGGGAGATGTCCCAGTGCAACATCAAGCTCGGCCCGACTCTTAGGGCTTCTTTGAGATTCCTATAACCTTTTTTTGGGTAGTACGGTAGTATCGTCCCTATATAATCCCTCTATAACCAAAAAAGTTAACCAACCGTTAGTTCCCCATGATACCCGACAAGTAGGGATTAGGGTTTAGGGTTGACGGTTTCGCTTTTTGGGTTTAGGGTTTCAAGGTATAGGGTGTTGTCATACCCGGCAGTCGATTTAGGCCTGGATGCAAAAGGGCGTTGTCAGAAGAATGTCGGGTTCATCAGGCTTATACGGGGTGCCTCTGCGGGGTTGATGTTATGTTTGGGGGCCTGGCGGGGTTTCTTTTTACTTCGTTCAGGCTGGTCTCATGGGTTCTTGTTTCAGAGGTTCAGGATTTTCGGGACCTTTAGGATCATATGTTTTTATTTAAAAAAGATATGGTTTTAGGGTAAGGGCTGCTGCATGGGCTTCTAGGGATTGAGTGTTTGGGGTGTTGGTCTCTTTGACGGAACCAGGGCCCCAAACGGTTTTCTTTTTGTTTCGGGGTGGTCGGGTGTCGGACATGCTTGGTATTGATGGGAGAAAGGCTTTCGGGGGCAAGCGATGGGTTTAGATTTTTGGGAGTTGGGGGGTTAGGATTTAGTGTTTACGGTTTTCTGTGCCGGGACTCTGCTGTGATCTTGAGGACTACTTGGCGGATTCCGGGGAACCCTGAACTAAATCTCGGATACTATTCTTAAGCAGAAACCCTACCAGCTCAATCTCAAGTCTGGAAGCATCGAATGGAGGAGCTTCATCTTGCTAAAAGTAGAGTAGTATAGGGGCCTTAATAATTACCTGTACTATTTTGGGGGTTCCTTATTGTAATTATAGTTTAATGGGACCCAAAACTCAGTTCTAATTACAGTAGAAGCCGGAAAGTTGGAACATCATTATCCTCATGGCCCCCTTAAGGTGAAGTAGAAGGGAATCCTAGCACTAATCCTCCTAAACCCATCTTCCAACTTTCTGGGCTTCGCTATATTTAAGCCCCTACACTGCTCTTCCCATGTGCCTTCCAAGGGGCAGGATCCGGGAATGCGGAAAGAAGGAGTAGCAGCTGGTACTAGTTGATATCATGCAGGCAATGGACATGGACTGCCTCCCCTGTCCGTAAGGGCGACAGTATGGGAGCATAACCCCTATTCAGGAGGCATCGGTTTGCCCCATGGTCAGGAAGATGGCAAATAATCCTCCAAATAGCGCCTGTTCTGCACAACGTAAGCCCCAAATCAAAGCACCAAACCCTGCATGCTGAATGCCAAACCCTAAACCCTAATTGGGGTTCCTGAAAATTTTGCCTACTTGGAGGTTCATGGGTAGTTATAAGTAGGGTTATAAGCAGGGTAACTATACTTATTACCCAATAACCCCGCTTATAACTACCCCTGAACCTCCAAGCAGATGCAGGTCAAGATCCAGATTCTCAAGGAAACCGCAGATGTGACATTAGTGGTCCGACAGTGGAGCACATTGCCAGTGCGGTGCATGCGCGAGGGCCTGAGAGGGGCTTTCTGAGCATAAACGCCGGATGAATCTCGAAGCCCCATTTCGTAATTTTTTCGAGTCCGCAAGGTGCTGGACCCCCTACCTGCAACCTTCAACACCATGACGTCCGCAAGCCCGAGCGCCCTAGCACACTCGCACGCTCTTTCTACCACTCGAGGACAACTTCCCCTAAACCCTAAACCCTAAGGCAAAAAAACCCTAAGACTTCGATCCTCTCAAACCTGACTACCCTGCTTGCTGACACCCTGCTCTACGAACCCCCGATGCTGTTTGCATGCTCTTCATACTTGGAGGTTCATGGGTAGTTATAAGTAGGGTTGTAAGTAGGGTACATGTACTTATGACCTTATGACCATATTAGGGAACTTATAACCCCACTTATAACTACCCTTAACACTGATCCTTGTAAGCCCTATAGAACCCTTTCAGGAACCCTTGACGGGGTCCCTATAACCCCACCTATAACTACCCTTGAACCTTCCAGTTCCCCCGAGGGTAGCGACCCGCATTTTCGAGTCTGGCGGAGAGGCCGGGCCCCACTTGGAGGATCATGGGACTTAGTAAGTAGACCCTAATCATAACCCTAGTTACTAAGTCCCATGATCCTTTAAGCAAGCGCTTCGCAGCTTTAGGATTTGCAGGTTGGGGTCCCAGCTCGGAGCGCAGACAAGGAGATTTATAGGGGTTTCATCTGTTTGGAGTTTAAAGTTGGGGGTGTTCTCTACCATCATTTACTATGGGATTTGCGCTACCCACCCTGGGCCCTCAGTTACCGCTCCGTTACAGCTCCGTTGCAGGTCCGTTACAGCTCCGCTACAGCTTCTGCTACAGCTCCGTTGCAGCTCCGTTACAGCTTCCGTTACAGCTCCGTTGCAGGTCCGTTACAGCCCCGCTGCAGCTTCTGCTGCAGCTCCGTCATAGCTTCCGTTGCAGCTCCGCTGCAGCTCCGTTGCAGGTCCGTTACAGGTCCGTTGCAGGTCCGTTACAGCTCCGTACAGCATTCTGCTACAGCTCCGTTGCAGCTCCGGTACAGCTTCCGTTACAGCTCCGTTGCAGGTCCGTTACAGCTCCGTTGCAGGTCCGTTACAGCTCCGTTACAGCTTCTGCTACAGCTCCGTTACAGCTTCCGTTACAGCTCCGTTGCAGGTCCGTTACAGCTCCGTAGCAGGTCCGTTACAGCCCCGCTACAGCTTCTGCTACAGCCCCGTTACAGCTCCGTTACAGCTCCGGCTACAGCTCCGTTACAGCTCCGTTACAGCTTCCGTTACAGCTCCGTTGCAGGTCCGTTACAGCTCCGTTGCAGGTCCGTTACAGCCCCGCTACAGCTTCTGCTACAGCCCCGTTACAGCTCCGATACAGCTTCCGTTACAGCTCCGTTACAGCTCCGTAGCAGGTCCGTTACAGCCCCGCTACAGCTTCTGCTACAGCCCCGTTACAGCTCCGTTCCAGCTTCCGTTACAGCTCCTTTACAGCTCCGTTACAGCTCCGTAGCAGGTCCGTTACAGCTCCGTTGCAGCTTCTGCAGCTCCGATACAGCTTCCGTCACAGCTCCGTTACAGCTCCTTTACAGGTCCGTTACAGCTGAGCGACAAATCCGTTACAGCTCCACTACGGTCCGTTACAGTTTCTGTTGTAAGCCCCGTTGCCGGCACAGAGTCGCCAGGGTTTCTGTCATAGTAGAGGCCTACAAATGATGGTAGAGAACACCCCCAAGTTTAAAGGTGTAGAGATTGCAGCTTTTCAATTTTCGTGTTCAGCGCCTTGAGTTCGCAGCTCCCAAGACCCACGGGTCTGTTGCGGCTCTCCACACTCTGAGCCCTTGACCTCATGTGAGCCGTGTTCCTTTGCAGGTCAGTACCACCTCGGCTAGTAGAAGCTGCGTTCAACTGGGTGTTTCGCTGGAGGCCCAGTGCAAAATGTTCGTGGCCTTCCCCAACGAGTACGTCGGTGCAGTCATCGGCAAAGGCCGTCAGACTTTTGCAGTTTCAGAATTTCACCAGCCATGCCCCAAAAGACAAGGCCATTACGGCTTTCACCCTAAACCCCTAAACCCTACACCCTAAACCCCTAAACCCTAAACCCTAAACCCTAAGCCCTAAACCCCTAAACCCCTAAACCCTAAACCCTAAACCCTAAACCCCTAAACCCTAAACCCCTAAACCCTAAACCCTAAGCCCTAAGCCCTAAACCCTAAACCCCTAAACCCCTAAACCCTAAACCCCTAAACCCTAAACCCTAAGCCCTAAACCCCTAAACCCCTAAACCCTGAACCCTAAGCCTTAAACCCCTAAACCCTAAGCCCTAAGCCCTAAACCCCTAAACCCCTAAACCCCCAAACCCTAAACCCTAAGCCCTAAGCCCAAAGCCCTAAACCCCCAAACCCTAAACCCTAAGCCCTAAACCCCAAAACCCTAAACCCTAAGCCCAAAGCCCTAAACCCCCAAACCCTAAACCCCTAAACCCCTAAACCCCTAAACCCTAAGCCCGAAACCCCTAAACCCCTAAACCCTAAACCCTAAACCCCTAAACCCTAAACCCCTAAACCCTAAACCCTAAGCCCTAAACCCTAAAGCCCTAAGCCCTAAGCCCTAAACCCTAAACCCCTAAACCCTAAACCCTAAACCCCTAAACCCTAAACCCTAAAGCCCTAAACCCTAAGCCCTAAAGCCCTAAACCCTCAACCCTAAGCCCCTAAACCCCAAAACCCTAAACCCTAAGCCCAAAGCCCTAAACCCCCAAACCCTAAACCCTAAGCCCTAAGCCCGAAACCCTAGGGTTAAGGCTCGGGGACTTATCGGGCTCAGGGCTCTAGCTGCCTTTACCCTCACAGCAGCAATGCTGAAGCCAAAATCCCCAACCGTGAACCCGACAGACAGGAACTTTGTCATAGTTGGATAACATTTTTTCCATTTTTTGGGTACTTAAACCCAATAAGGAATACAAATCTAAATTTTTAATCCTATCCCAACCATGAACCAGTGAAGCCATGGCTGCGTGTGAGGGAGTGTGTGAGTCGAAACCGTGAACCTCAATCCCGAAATTGAAATCGCCAAGGCTAAACCCACCCCAAAGCCTGAACCACTGAACCCCAAACTCCAAGCTTCAAATCCTACTACGCCCTAAACGTGTTGATCCTTCGGTGCAGGCGCAGAGAATCTCAGGCGCATACGGGAAATGACCGGCGCAAACTTGCAGTTGATGAAGGACGTGATGAGCGACCAGGCCGAGTGTAGGGTTTCGGGTTTGGGTTTCGGGTTTAGCCATCCAGTGATCATTACCTCCGTCAGCGTTCTCCTTGCTGCGATTGGTGTCGTGGTCAGTATCATGAATCATAACTGTTGTTTCGCCCTGCTTCTTTTGGCCAGTGATGTCGACGTTGACGTGCAGTGGTAGTGCTCGCAGTCGTCTTCACATCAATCAGCGTGGGTGCGGGTTTACATGTGCATTCCTTGCTTCTCTGTCTTTGTCTCTGTCCCCCCTGTCCCGATCTCTCTGTTTCCATCTCTGTTTCTATCTATCTCTCTCTCTCTCTCTGTTTCTCTCTCTCTCTCTCTCCCTCTCTCTCTCTCTCTGCCTCCCTCACCCCCTTTCTCTGCATATGTAAGTGGTAGACATTGGGGCATTACGCAATCAAAGACATCAGGAACCACAATACCACAGTGAATGCGGCGATCAGCAAATGACGCGTACTCCCATGCGTCTGTACTCAGCACATCGCAGCACGATTTATGTTTGTCGGGTAGATGCATGTCTTACTTTATGTTGTTTGGCATGTGTTCAGGTACATGCACAAAAATGTATGTGCAAGTATGTATGTACAAACATGTATGTGTACTTGCATGTGTACCTACATTGCATTTGCAAGTGCAGGTGCAAGATGGAGCAGGTGTAGGTGTAGGTGTTTGTGCAGGTGAACGGCATACCTGCGTGTCTGGCTTATGGACATGCATCTGTTTTTCTGTTTGTATGCACGCATGCGGATGCATGCTTGCATGTGTGCGGGCAGGCATACATGCAAGCATGTGTGTGTGTGTGTTGGGATGTGCATGTGCGTGTTGTGCGTATGTACACATGTGCATATGTATGTATGTATGTATGGCTGCATTGCATGCATGCATGTGTGTTGATGCATCTTCGTCTGTCCATGTATGTATTCATGCATGGGTTGCCCATGCATGCCGACACACTTGTGCAAGCAAGCTCCACTTCACGTTGAACCAAAGACAGCGCATGCTGGGCCTCACAGCCCCACAAAGCCCTAAACCCGAAACCCTAAACCTCTAAACCCCTAAACCTTAAACCCCCTAAACCCTAAACCTTAAACCCCCTAACCCTTAAACCCCTAAACCTTAAGCCCTAAACCTCTAAACCTGAAGTGATCTGCAGCCATCAGCTCCCGCGGATCCTACTGGTCATGATTTGCTTCATCAACACTGTGGTAGGATCCTGGGAGGGATGAGTCAACAGAGACACAGCTACTTTTGGTGTTGGAATGGTGGATTGTTGCTTACCAATTACAAGACTATTCCCTCTAGTTCAGTCTCACTTGTCAGACTCCGAACCAACTGCCTCGCCTGGATTGTCCGAGTGTGAGCGCCCTCCCCCCCTAAACCCTAAACCCCAAACCCTAAACTCTCCCCGCTGCTTTTTTCAGGGCGACCGGGTCGGTCAGCTCGTCGGCGTCCAGAATCAGCTGGGAGCCGCCGTCCGGATAGCGCTGAGCGTCGTGCGGAGCCCGTGGGAGGGTTGGGTTTGGGGTTTAGGAGTTCCTGGCATATGCATAGTCCAGGTGTAAAAGGGGTTAGGGGTATAGGGGTTACTGAGTTACTGTGTGCAGCGACGGGGTGGGTGGCGCAAGCTTCGGGATCTTCGAAGTCATGGTCTTCGCATTTTTGACGTGTGGCTTGTGATTCATGATTAATTCCTGGGCACTGGTCTCCTCCTGGGTGGCCTTTTTTTTTTTTTGCAGGAATCGCGCTCTTTCTCTTCCGCGGGCGTCTTGCAGCTTTTGGGTTGCGCCTTTCTGCGTGCGATTGTGGGAGCCTGCAAGTTAGCAAGACGTGTGTCTTTCATGAGCCCTGCGTGGAGGTTCATAGGTAGTTGTAAGTAAGGTTATAAGCAGGATAGCTATACTCATAACCCATATTATTGGCATTATCCGCAACCCCATTTATACTACCCCTGAACCTCCAAGTAGGGCCTGGGCTGAAGAAACCCCCTTGGCCCGCAAGGAAGACGAGGCCTTGGCCCGCTGTGTCTCGTGCAACGCACGTCACCTTCCGAAGCTCAGAATCTCCACCAGCCACTGAAGCACCAGTTCGCTGCGTAAGAGTCTCCAGCCCTGAATCCCTTAACCCAAAGTCCCTAAACCCTAGCACTTGAATCGGGCGGGTGGGAAAAACCAGAAAAAACCTTTAAACCCTAAACCCCAAAACGCTACCCTAAACCCTAAACCCCAAAACTTTGTCCCTAAACCCCCAAAAAACCATACCCGGGCGAAAAAAGCCTGCGCCAAAGGTTGGCCAAGCTTCTGGCAACATGCCAGCGGCGATGCCAAGGGCGACCCTTCGACCGATTTTTCCAGGGTTTTCGGGGATCAGAGCCACCAAAGCCCGTGCTGAGAAGGGTTTCGGGTCTTGAAGGGGCGGAATCTCTGTTAAGGCTTTCGGGGATGATACTCTAATCATACAGAAACAGAAGTAAAGGGACATTGTTACAGATTCTGCAGAGCTCTACATGTAATGTAGTGGTGTTGTGAAGCTTCCGTGGTAGTTGCCGTTTCAGGCACTTGCGTATTGCTTACCCAGTACCCCTTGACGCATCACTGCCTCGTGCCGGTGTTGCCTTCATTGCCTTGGGTTTTTGTGTCTGGGGTCCTTGTAGGGTCACTAACCCCAAACCCGAAATCCTAAGTGGTGAAGGGTCCCGAGAGTCTCAAGCCTAAACCGTAACCCCCCCAAAAAACTTTGGTTCTTTGACCGCGGAGCGGATCTGAGGAACGCCTTCTACGGCGGCGGAATGGGCCAGCAGGCGATGCAGCCGCCGGGATGCAGACTTGGCGTTCTTCTGTTTGGCTCTTAGGACTTTAAGTTTTTGGGCATTCTATATTAACTATAATAAGGAGGCGAAAAGTTTAGCTTTGAGGAGGGGTTCAGAAGTCAGCCAAGCAGAATCTACGGACCTGGTGGGGTCAGAACTTGCCCATTGCGACTTTCAGGGCTTCGTCCAGGGTTGCTGAGGAGTCACCTGCCATCCCTTGGTACTGGGACCCTTAAGGGGGTAGGGGGGAGGGGGGTAGGGGGCCTTGATACCTATAACAAGGATTTAACAAGGCTTATTTAAGGTAGTATAGTCCCTAGCCCTAAACCCTAAACCCTGAATCCTAAACCCTAAACCCTAAACCCTGCGGGATGTGCGAACACGGGAGCTGAAAGTCGGACCAGAAGTCAGAACATCTCCTCATGCGGGTGGTGTGGTTTCGGGTCTTCGATGACTTTCCGGGAGAGGCTTGGCTAGATGCTGAAGAAACCCAGAGTATTACGCAAAAGTTGAAGACCTTTCAACCCCTAAACCCGAAAGTCTAAACCCTACAGCCTCAACCCGGAAACCAAGGAACTCTATCCCAGAAGATCTTTGGATGCTTCCAGTCGCCGCATGCTTGTAAGGGAACTGAACCTCTCACACTCAAGATCCTGCGAGGCGAATTCCCCGGTAGGGTTTACGGTGTGGGCTTTTAAGTTGATGGTGTGGGGGTTTAGGGTTGGGGCCTCGACGAGGGAATAATCCGTAACTTAGGGATTATCCCGCAAGGTATGAGAGGTCGACACAGTCTATAGACTTAACTGAATTCGCAGAAGTGTGCCCGGCTTTTCTCGACGCTGCCTTTTCGCACAGGAGGCAAACAAAAACGGGGGACCCTCATATAGCACCCTAAATAGTAGGATCCTTGTTATAAGGATCCCAAATAAGGTAACCCTACTTTTCGGAAACTCCCAAACCTAAGCCGTAAACCCTGGACACTGTGCCTAAGGCCGATGCAGCAGATGCCCATGCAGCCGATACAGGGAATGCACCAGCCAATGCCGCTTGGACTTCGACGGGTTAGCCGTTTGGCTTAGGGTTGAGGGTTTAGGGTGTAGGGTTTAGGGTTGAGGGTTTTGTATTCATGATAACCGAAAACCTGCGGTTTGGGATTTGGGGTTTTTGGGTTCAGAGCTTGTGCCGCGGCCCGATGTGACTACGACTATGGTAGCTTCTAGCTGCACGTCTTCTGGCTACGCGATCTGTCTGTGTAAGCCCAAGTCAGTCAAGCGTAGAATTCAAACCCTCTAAAAATCCCTACTTGGAGGATCATGGGACTTAGTAAGTAGGGTTATGAGTACCTTAATTGGGGTGAAAAGTAGATAAAACTAGATTTACCTTACTTATAGCCCTACTTACTAAGTCCCTGATCCTCTAAGTACACCCGTAAGCCCGTAAGTCCGAACTCGAGACCTCTGACCTTGTGAAGCAGAGAGAAAGAGGAACGATAAACAGTGGAGATGGTCTAGGGTTTAGGGTTTAGGGTTCAGGGTTTAGGGTTTAGGGTTTAAAGGGTTTAGGGTTCAAAGACTCGAAACCTCAACTTCCAAAACCGTAGGTCAGAAAGTCCTAAACACTAAAAGCCCTGCACAAAACCTGCCTCCAAGCCATCCGCAAGCTGGAAGCCTGCTCAGGAGCGGATTTCATTTAAGGGATGGTAAGAAGCCCCGACATCATTTTTTGAGTAGATGCGCCCGTAAGTTGAGAGCGAGCAGATTCCTTGTGAAACGGCAAGAGAAAATATGATAACGAAGGTGTGCTACATCCTACAGTCCCAAAGTCATCCGAAGTTCCGTAAAACGATATGAGTAAGAACAACCGATAATCAAATTCACGGTCAAGCCAGTGGGCGAGGGGCTGTCACACACGCTCATTTCAGGTCAGGGTTGCCAGTTTAGTCATTTTTTTGTGGTGTCATCGTGGGGTCTTCTGGATTATCCTGAGGCCCTGTAGCCGTTGTCTGGATACTTGCACGCATGATCCGAAGATTTCAGAGGCCTAGGCAAGTTCGGAATCCTATTTATCCGTAAGTCCTTAAGTCCTAAACCCCCAGCCCAAGCCCCAGTCTTGAATATTGAGGCCTTTATGGGCGCACATCGCCAGCCTCTTGTGAAGTAACGTGCGTTAAGACACCGTGGTACGGAGAGCAATAGGTACTTAGTATGCGTCCCCCGGAACTTGAGTACAAGTTCTTCCGCAATAGTCGAGTGAAGGTCCATGTCACCCATGGGCCAGCCACTGCCGCTCACGGGTGCAGCTTGAATATGCATGTCAGTTTCTACAGGATCAAGCTTCCATGATACTGGTTGAGGAAAGTTTCTGAATCGGGTCCCCTGGGCCTTTGTCAGGTTCCCTCCTCAAGTTTGTTCAGTTGGCGAGTCTGAGCATTCACAGCTTTCGATTACAGGGTGCAAATTCTTCAGGAACACGGCTTTGGATGTAAGCTTCGGATGTATGTCGGGGTTTTGTACTTGGAGGATCATGAAACTTAGTAAGTAGGGTTATTCGTACCTTAATTGGGGTGAAAAGTAGATATAACTATAGTTACCTTACTCATAACCCTACTTACTAAGTCCCATGATCCTCTAAGAGGCCTCGAACCCCAAAGGTCGAATTGTTGGTATTTATGGTAGTATAGTAGATAGGCAGGGCCCACAAGTTGGGGTGCCGTCCGACCCGCGCGAGCTGAGACTCAGCCCCTTGGCGAGCCCCGACATGATAGTCAGATATAAAGATCGCTTTCACAGCCCTTAACACCAGCACAAGGTAACTATCGGATCCATGAATCCCATCCCTGCAAGAGCGCAGCAAGAGTCCTTGCCAAGCCCAGAGAGAGAGCTTAGGATTTGGGATTTGGGCCTAGGGTTCTTTTGGGGGCCTAGGGTTTTGTGGTTAAAGGCCCTAAGCCTCTGAACCCAACCTTACATGTTGCTCCCTTTGGCTCTTAGACCGCATACCGGCTCATCCCAGACAATTTCTGGGTAGTTCTGGAGTTGGGTCCTTTCCAAGAGCTCTTGAAGGAGGCAGATCTCGACCAAGGGTTTCCTTTCAAAAATCGGGGACCCTAATACAGCACCCTAAATAGCAGGATCCTTCTTATGAGGACCCCAAAATCAGGTCCCCCAAAATGTTCTGAATCTCTGCAAGGGTTGGGCCCCAGCTTCGTTCCCCAAGGTAAAGCGGGGCAGCGGTGACGTTAACGAAATGCAAGTGCACATGGTGATTGCACCAAAGCTGCTCGGCCATGGGGCGCTCTCGGCGTTCTGCGGGCCTTTGTTTTAATATAGCGGCCTGAGTAGTTGGAACAGGGTTATGGAGTTATGGGGCCCATTATACAAAAATTATGATAACGATCCCCCCGCAATAGTATAGGTAATGATTAAGGCTCCTGTATTAATTGTGGCGACTGCAGTGTTGTTGCCGACTGGAGTGGCTAGAGCTTCGGACCCGCTTGATAGAGTCGACGCCTTAGGGCCTAAGCGGCCCTGCGACTGCTTAACAGAGGACACCACCCTAAACCCCCAAATGCTGGTAAAGGAGGCCTCAATGCAATATCTCGGAGGCTGAATAAGACTTGTTCTATTCTGCTCTGGTCGTCTTCTTCTTTGTTCTTGTCGTTGTCATTTTCGTGACCGTCGGCGCTGCATTGTCGCGGTCGCTGTCGCCGCCGACGTCGCTGCCGCGTTGTTGTGTTTATTGTTGTTATTGTGGTCGTCGTCGTCGCTGTTCTTGCTGCTTTATTACTGTTGCTTGTTTGTGTTGCCACCTTGAGAGACAAGGCGCAGGCGCAACATGGAAGCCCTAGCCGTTATTGCCACCACCGTCAAAGCCGCCACCACAGCCATCACCGCCGCCACCGCCGCCACCGCCGCTACCTCCGCCACCGCCGCCACCGCCGCCACCGCCGCCACCGCCGCCACCGCCGCCACCGCCGCCACCACCACAACAACAACAAGAAGAAGAGCAACACGAACACCAACGACAGCAGCAATAGCAGCAACGACAGCAGCGCCCCAGCTGCAGCAACAACACCAACACCGACCAATGCTGTTGGTACTGTTCAGGTATGAAAGTATCATCTCTGTGATCATGTTCGTTGCTATGGGTACTACCATGAGGAGTCGCAGGGCTTGGCGACAACCACAACTTCAATTGCCATAGCTCCACACCTAACCCAGGTATATTGGCGCTATCCTCGGCAAGGAGGGCGCGCAGATCAAGCAAGGGGCTTTGCACATGAGTGCGGCGGATAACAGGGAGCCCACCAAGCTCGTCCAGATGCATCCCGAGAGTTTGTAGCTTCCAGCCCAGCCTCCACCGTGAACCCTTTGTAGGAAAGACCAGACCTTCTTCCAAATGGGATTTTCCGAAAAGTAGGGGTACCTTATTTTGGAGTCCTTATAATAAGGATCCTACTATTTAGTGTACTATATTAGGGTCCTCTATTTTCGGAAACTCCCAAATCTGTCAATCCGCGAGGCAAATAACAGCAGACACTGGCTGCGCCAATGTCTCTGCTGGAGTCCCGGCATTTCTGGATTACGGACTTGTTCACGACGGCAGCCTCAGCAACTGCAACTTTTGAGCACCGATCTCATTGCCGTGTTTCCCTTAGGCCACGGGGACCCCGACACTGCTACGACAACAACACTACTACTACGGCTGACTACTGCTGCTGCTGCTACTACTACTACGACCATTATCACTACCACCGCGACTGTCACGACCACTACCGCTGGAGCTGACGCCACCGCTAAGTGGGCTGCCGGTTTGTACCTTTTTTACGCTTTGGGCATCCTTGGACCGTACTATATTCGTCGTTGCTTTTGCTGCGGCTGCTGCTGGGTACTTAGAGGATCATGGGACTTAGTAAGTAGGTTATAATTGGGGTTATAAGTCCCCTAAGTGGGGTTATCCTAATTATAACCTACTTATAACCTTACTTACTAAGTCCCATGATCCTCTAAGTACTGAACCTTACAGTCCCCCCACTTCAACCTCGCAGCAGGTCACGCGGAAAGAGCCGGGGAATCTTGGCGACCGCCGTGTAGTTGTCCTTGGAGGCAAAGGGGGTTGGTGGGGATCAAGGATTTGGGAATTTCCGAAACTCAGGGGTACCTTAGCTTGGGGTCCTTACAGGAAGGATCCTTCTATTTAGGGTGCTATATTAGGGTCCCCTATGTTCGGAAACTCCCATTTAGGGTGTTGGGTTGGCTGCCGTTCACCGCCGCATGGCCTGAATAGACGGTTGTGTTCTTGACGCTTACTTCCGAATTTTCCTTTTGTTTGATCAATTTCGGCACACCCACTTGGTGTTTCCGTTCATGTCCCTAGTGGTCTCAGCTTCCGAGTTCGGTATCCTCAGCTTTCATCCAGAATCCTACACTTCGCCAGCTTCAGAAGCCTCAATTGGGGATCTACCAGAGCTTCGGCTGTTCTGTGAGGTAGGCATTGGCTGTGTGTGTGGGTTCTTGACAACACGTGCTCTGAGACGACGGTGACCGAAGTAATGCACGGCACAAACTCCAGCGGCGTATAAAAACCGCCGAATGTGGCCCAGCTGGGAGGCTTCGAGGAGTGTGCGAATGCACAGCGATCTGCCAGTTGCCCGGAACGGGGTCCTTTCTGGTTTGATGTCGAGTTTATATTTATGCGTTTCCAGTGTTTTTCGTGTGATACAATGTTTCGGGATACACGGTTATGCTGAATTTTGAACCCGACTCGGAGCCCTACCCCCAAACTGAAGATACCGGTAAAGCGAGTGAAGAACTGCTTGTTGAAGTGGACCTCCTCTCTAAACCCGAAACCCCAAACCCCTAAACTCCTAAGCCCTAAACCCCAATGCCACGTGCTTTGATGAAAGCAATTCAGCACCCCCCGTCCTTACCTTTGGTTAGCAGGGAATTGAGGAATGGGGTACAATTATAATTACTTTTACTACCATTTTCCATTGTGTCAAGAACCCTGCTCATGATGAAAGAACCGTGTGATTTCCCAGTACTCCGAGATGCAGAACTCAGCCAGCTCGGGTTGTTAACCAAAGGTAAGCATCCTGAAAAAACCCTAAACCCAAACCCCTGAACCCCAAACCCTAAAAGACCAAAGGTAAGCATCCTGAGAGCACGGGCCGAGGTGTACCAGCTTTACTTCTCGGCAGCACAGACCGCCGGCGAGGAGGCTCCAAGATACGGTACAGGTTTCTCAACCCTAAACCTTTGGGGATTCTGCCGACCTTAACTGCCAGGTGGAAAAAAGTGCTCAAGAAAACACCCTAACGGTTTTAGGAATTTCTTTGTGTTCAGATTGGGGCTGCTCTGGGGCCGCGGGCCGGGCTTGCAAAGGTTGAAAGTTCACACACTATAGAGGTACTTGAAGGTGTCCATTCAGTCGGCAGTCAGGTGCCACTGTTTCTTAATACCTTCGCAGGGGTTCGGGTTATGGGTTTAGAGAGTGGTTAGGGCTTGGTTCCTGTGTCTTGGGGCTTTGAAGGTTTGCGGTGTGGGTTACACATGCCCCCTGGGTTGAGAGTCTGTGACGACTGCACAAGCCCAGATACAAAAAGGAAAGTTCCGGCTCTACGCGATGCTCTGAAGAAGGGTTTGAGGTTTGATTGCATCCCTCAACCCCGAGCTGTAGAACCCAGCTTGAAACGGCCCGAGTCCTAAACCTAAATTCAAAACCCTGTACCGAAAAAAGCGGCAAGCTGTGAGAGTTGTTGCCTTGAGCCTAAGCCCTACCCATACAATTTGAGCCCCGAGAAGTCCATGAAGCTGGCAGGTGAAGGACATCACCATCATACTCATGGTGCTGGTCTCAGATGGTAAGATACGGGCCTTGATACTTAGAATAAGTTATTGGGGATCCTTATTACAAAGATGAATATTCTAATTATTAAGGCCCCTACATTAGTTTGCTACAGTGGTTGGCACCTCATCACAGATCGTAGAGTTGAACATGGAAATCTCAACAGCTAGTCGGATCATTCCTTCGTACCATCAGAGCTCCTTGACAAATTTACCTGATAATGCACCCCGAAAGCTTATCCTGTTAGGGTACAGGGTCGTGGGTTGTCGGATGTAGTGGGGAGTAGGGTCTTGGATGCACGGATTTGGGGTTTGGGGTTTCGGACCAGGCCTGAACAGTTTCGGGTTTGGGGTTGAGGGTATATTCCTCACTCGCCCATTCACTCTAACTGACTGACTGACTCACTCACTCACTCACTGATTCACTAACCTCTTCTCTCTCTCTCTCTTTCCCTCTATCTCTCCCTCTCACTCTCTCCCTCTTTACCCGTCTCCCTTTCTCCCTCTCTCCCTCACTCCTTCTCTCTCTCTCTCCCTCTCTCCCTCTCTCCCTCTCTCTCTCTCTCTCTCTCTCTCTCTCTCTCTCTCTCTCTCTCTCTCTCTCTCTCTCTCTCTCTCTCTCTCTCTCTCTCTCTCTCTCTCTCTCTCTCTCTCTCTCTCTCTCTCTCTCTCTCTCTCTCTCTCTCTCTCTCTCTCTCTCTCTCTCTCTCTCTCTCTCTCTCTCTCTCTCTCTCTGGTCTCTCTGTCTCTCTCTCTCTCTCTCTCTCTCTCTCTCTCTCTCTCTCTCTCTCTCTCTCTCTCTCTCTCTCTCTCTCTCTCTCTCTCTCTCTCTCTCTCTCTCTCACTCACTCTGCCACGGCACGCGTCAAACACAGTCCCTCCGCTTTAAAGCACATCCTTCGATTGTGCAATCCGGGCCAATCCGTTCTACTGGTTTTGCTATGGCTAACCTGATGGGAGTTCCAGAGCATGAAGGGACCCTCATATCAACCCTTGTCGAACAGACTCGAAACCTCAACCCTAAATAGTGAAGCTCAATCCCTAAAGCCCCCAGCCTCAACCCTTCCCGAACCGTTTCACATCCTGCATCATGAGATCGGAACAATCACTAAGCATCTAGTTATACATTTTCGTATATTCAAAGTGCAACATACCCAAAACCCTTCTTCTAACTCCTTAGGCCCGTATGTTCGAAAATCGACCCTGTCTAGTCACCCTTATCGTCTCCCTTTTACGAGCCCGTAACAGGAATCCCATGATCTTAGCAGCTGCATGAGCTTCTGAAGCCCTACATTGTGCTTCAGGTTCCGCAGCACGCAGCAGGAGCGGTCATCGGCAAGGAGGCGACCCCAAGCTTCTTTCTGCTTCTTGAGCAAGTGAGCATCGGGGCTTGGGCTTTCGCTTCAGGGTTTGGGGCTCAGGGTTTAGGGTCATATTGCTGGGGGCGCTTCAGGAAGACCTCGTTCAAAAAGGGTTTAGGGTTGAGGGTTTCAGGCAAGGGGTGTGGATCTTGGGAGGTCTGTTGTCAGGGAAGCTTAGGATCTTTGTGCGGCCCGGCCTTCCCTCGCCCGCCGTCCGGCAGGTGTGGCTGAAGCTTCTGCAGTATTTCAATGAATCAGTGCAGCAAGACACCTTTCCTTCCACCCTCACTCCCGGTTGCTATACCCTAAATCCGCGCCACCTAAACCCTCAACCCATAAAAAACAACCCTAAACACTAAACCCCTCAAGCAAAAACGCCTTGCTTCCGGTTCAGGGACCCAGAGACTCCAATATCCCTTCATTAAGGAATACTCCTTCGACCATATTAGGGATCCTATCGTAATTTTTTGGTATATTCGTTCATTAAGGGGATCTTGGAGTCTCTGATATTACGGATCCTATTATTATGGGTCTTATTATAATTTAAGGTCTATTCGTTAGTTAAGGGAGTCTCTGGGGAGCAGGGGCTCGGGTCTCGCCTTGGGAGTCACAAGAAGCCACGACACGCCAGTGAGGAGAAGAGCAGCCCCCCCCCCCCCTCTGAGACGCTTGAGGTCAAGACTTACCATAATGTAGCAATATGCAGCTGTGGTGTTTTTGGGTCTTATGGTGTTCTGGCAGTTTGGTGTTCGAGTATCCGATGGTTTGTAGTATTTCATGTAGCACATCTCCATTACGGCATTGTACTAGAGTATCATAGGAACACAGCATCGTGAGATTGCACAAAAACTCTTGAGCTACTAAACCCTAGACCCGAAACCCTGTGCCACAAGAGCCCCAAAGCCAACGTCCTCCTCTGCTAGGGCGCCAACCTCAAACAGCTCCGGGAGCAGTGGGGGGCTCGTGCACGCAACGCGTGCTTTTAGGGTTGAGGAACCTCGTAGCTCTTCCGAGCAGGACATCTCAGCCCCCCAAGGCAGCAACATGTTGGTGGTTTCGTGGTTTGGGTTGGGTACTGCCCCCTCTCAGTAGCAGTTGAATAATATTCATAATATAGATATATTAGGCCCTTAATTGTAGCCCTATGATAGACTGTTACTGTATGGGGGCAGTACACAAGGTTTGGGATTCAGAAGGTCGGAACCCGAGGCGAGGTTTAGTTGGCAGTTGTGGAGTTGGGTCCCCACACGGCTCGGGCCTCGACAATGTAGGCATGTTCGTTCAACGTTTAAGCCTGAATTCAAAATACAGGAATCGTCCCGTTCCCCCTAAACTCGGGCTTCTATTAGCTCTTAAGGGGCTCATTTGGTAAGGTTGGGAGTGTCTTTTCGGGCTCATAACATTACTTCATAAAGCACTACTGCACAGAACAGCTTGGCAAGCCCCCAGCCCTGACATCCTTCTGGCTGGTTGTCAAAATTATGGCCCCTTTTTTGGGGTCCCTATTTCAGTACGGCACTTAATATTTAGGTTTCCCAAAAAGGGACCATAATTTTGACAACCACCCTGATCTCATTGTTCATCATGAACCCCCTCCTCTCAGGACCAGTTGGTTAGGATCCTCATTATAATCTCATTTTAGGATCCTAAAAAAAACTTTTATTTCGGATCCTCATTGTATCTCTATTCAGCAACAAGGATTGAGCCTACCCGGGGCGCCCAAGCCCAAAACCCTGTAGCTTTGAGCCTCGGCATTGTTTTTGATGCACGTCTTGCCTGCAAAAGCAACTGCCTGGTTTGTGAGTTGGATCCTTGCTACGCTTCGCGCTGTTGCGGAGTGGTCGCACGCGTCGGCAGATTCGAACACGACTTTTCATGAAGTTGTTGCGATCAAGCATTGTGATCAGAACGCTAGCCTTCACACATGAAACCCCGAAACCCGAAATCCGAAACCCTAAACCCTAAACTCGAAACCCTAAAGACCCCGAAACCCTAAAACCCGAAGACCCCAAACCCGAAACCCTAAACCCGAAACCCCAAAACCCTAAACCCGAAACCCTGAAGCTCTAGTTCTAGTGGAGCCTCGCCAGGCTCAACCTTAGGGTGAACCTGTCCCGAGAGGTCGTAGAAGGCTCTGTGCAGGGGTCTGGGTTTGGAGTTGAGGGTTACAGTAGAAGCCAGAAAGCTGGAACATCATTATCCTCATGCCCTTAAGGTAGAGTATAAGGGATCCTAGCACTATTCTTCCTAAAGCCATGTTCCAACTTTCTGGCTTCTACTATAAGGGTGTTGAAGGACTCGGGTTAGGGTGTTGAAGGGTTCCTTTAAAGGGATCTATAGGGTCTAAGGGTTCAGGGGTTGGTTAAGGGTTTATACCAGATGGTTCAGGGTTTCTACTGCGAGTGCAGTAGGTCATTGAGATCCAGGCATGCATGACCAAGCCTGTGCAAAAGGATTTAGGATTTGCGGTTTGAGGGTTTGGGGTTTGGGAGTTCGGGTTGAGAGTGGCGGGTGTGGGGTCTAGGTTCAGTGGACCGGAGGCACCAAGAGAACCAGATCTCCTCCACCTGCACGCTCCTCATCCTCGTCAAGATCATTTCAAATCTCAGTTTTGCTTTCGAGGGCATCTGTCCAAGCATCTTCGGCAGGTGTCAACTGTGTAGAGTAGAGCTTGCTAATTCCAAAGCCCGCACACCAAAATCCGCTTAGTTTTCATCTTCGCCAGCATCTGTCGCCGCCATCACCACAATCATATTCATCATCGCCTTTCCCGTTCGAAATTCTTGCGCTTGGGTTCATGCCCGATGTAAAGGAAGCGAAAGATAGCCTTCCCGCCATCAGCATCAAGACTGCTTACCTCGACAACGCAAGTGGAGCATGTCATGGTGGTTGTCGTTTTGCCGCGGGCGGTAGTGGTGATGTTTGCAACAACGATGATCACAACAATGGCTGGGGCATTGTTGGAGATTCTAGCCGTGCTGTAAATGCCCGGGAGCCCAGCAGAAACTCACGATAAATCCGGGATTCCCCTAACACTTCAACCTGAACTCGATCTTTCGAGCAACTGAAACCCCAATGCTAAATCCAGCCATGTATAGCTAAGTTGGCTAAAGCCCACATACCTCGGGCGCCAACTCTGCGTTCGAAAGCTTGCGGACCTTTCCGCAGGCTTCCGGCCCTGCAATTTGGTCGGGCAAGGGCCTCTGCATGAAGGGCTTTGTCCCTAAACCCTAAACCCTAAACCCTCGTTTCGGGGAGCTTTCATTGGCAGCAGCCCTTCGGGTGGCAACGAGAGGGCAGTTGAATTGATGGCTCCAATTCTTTCATTTAGGGCAATTTAAGGCTTAGGGTCTAGGGTTTTCTCCATAGGCCCCTGAAGCTTTATACTTCAAGATAAAGGTGGTTTTACCAAACTCGGTAAAAAAAAGACACCTGTCGTCGACGTGGCTTGACGTTTCGAGGAAGTCGGCTGGGAGAGCAGACCGTGGCACACAGGTTGTTTTGGATGTCGAAGGGCTTGCAAAAGCTGTTGCTTTTGGATTCCCTCAGCTTCAGGGACATGTCTCGGTTTTAGGGTTTAGGGATAAGGGGAACCTAACGATGACGAGGCCCTGGTGGTGCTTGGCGGGCCTGTGGGCTTTCGAAATGTGAGGCTTCCAGAGTTCTGTGCCCTCGACCCTAACTCTGCGTCTCAGCCCACTGTTTTGCCATGAGATCCCAATCCCATAGATGCTTTGAACCCAAAGCCCCACACCCTGAAGCTCCGAAAGTGGAAGTGTCACTGGCCGGAGGAACCCGAAAAGGAACCTTCAAAGGAAGCCTGAAAGGAATCTTCAACACCAGGCCACTGGAGTCTATCCTGATGGCCGAGAAGCAGATTCAGGATCAGGTTGGGGTCCTGATACTGGGCCGCCCTCAGCCCAAACCCTACTTCTAGGGTTTAGGGTTAAAGGCATCCTACTGGGGTTTAGACTCTGCGGTTTCTGGTTCCGAGCTTACCACAGAAACTTACCCCCCACACCCTGTGGTTTCAGTGCGAGGCCTCAGCGCGTTTGCACCCTGTAGTAGACCAAGAACCTTGCAGAAGCATGTGCAAGTTTTACATCGTTTGCTGCGGGATCAGGCGTCGCATGCAAAGGCCCCACGGTTCACCACCCTTTTCGCCCCAAATGCTTGTGACACCCATCATGCCCGCTCGACACACAGCTTTTATCAGGGTCTACAGTGGTCTTCATTGGGGCGGTGTTGGCAGCCAAGGATTGTATTTTTTGCACCATGACTTTCCGGAAGTGTTGATTAAACCCTAAACCCCAAACCCTAAACCCCAAACCCCTAAACCCCAGACCCCTAAACCCCCAAACGTCCGAGTGTGAGCGCCGAAACCCCTAAACGGCGACTTCTAGCCCCTAAACCGCAAACCCTAACCCCTGCAACCCCACACCCCCAACCCCCAAAACCTAAAACCCAAGCCCTTAAAGCCTAGACCCACAACCCGCCCCGCCGGCTTCGGGCGCCTTGAGCAGGTGCTCCAGCTACCGCCGCCAACGAGCGAGGACCGTAGCAACGGCACCAAGCGATTTGGGGAGGACGAGGTGGGCTTTGGGATTTTTAGGGCTTGGGTTTTAGGGCTCCTTTCAGGGTTTAGGGTTCACGGTGCTTCACCTGCTTCTTCTCGTTTGCAGGGCATTGTCGGGCTTTGTAAAGTTTAAGCGCAGTACTGGCCCAAAACACCCCCACCTCCCGCCGACGAGGCCATGCCGGGTGCCTTCGCGGAGGTCGAGAGGGTCGGTGTCTAAGAACCCACCGGCACTACTACTTTACTTACCTTTGGTTAGTAGGGAATGGAGGAATGGGGGACAATTATAACTACTATCACAACCATTCTTCCATTCCCTACTAACAAAAGGTAAGTTTAGAGGTTTAAGTAAGTGTCAATACTATTCCCCAGATTTCCCTTTGCAAAGCTGTGGTATAATATACTGCGAAATGTAGGGGTCGGGTTTCTGCGTGGGTAGAAGTAGGATCATAAGATTATAGCTATAGTTGAAGGCAGTATAAACTTTGCAGGGGGTCGAGAACAGATTTGTTGATATAGGCTGCGGGGAGGAAGCATTCCTGAACCAGTCGGCTGGAGGCACAACCAGCAGGAACAAAGAAGAATAGCACCAATTAATATAGGGGCCTCAATACCTACTTATACTATTTTGGGGGGTTCCTCATTGTAATTCGAGCATAATAGGCCCAAAACACTATTCTAATTCTTAAGGCCCTTATGTACCGTTATGGATCCTCGATTACTAAGGCCCCTGCATTAGTGCCATTCGGAGTGGGGTGTAGACCCCACTTGGAGGTTCTGGGAGGTTCTGGGATAGTTTTCAGGGGGTTCTAAGGCCCCTAATATGGTCGAGTTCCCTGGACCATAAGGGCTCCACAAAAGGGCCTCAAAGGGGGGTCCTGGTATACTCAGCTACTAAGAGACTCCTATAGAATCCCTAGAGATCCCTACCATTCAAGGGTCCTTGGGGGTCCTGGCCCAAGCAAAGTTAAGCAGGAAGCCGATCTCTGGGTCCCAGCATTGACCTGCCGGGGTCAGTTGTGGGTTCACGGTCTTCTAGGGGCCTTAATAATTAGAACAGGGTGCCGCCTTACTAATTAGAAAAAACGTTCCTTAAAGGCTCCTTAAAGGGTTCCTTAAAGGGATCCTTAAGGGTTCCTTAAAGGGTTCCTTGAAAGGGGTCCTTAAAGGGGTCCTTAAAGGGATTTATAAGGATAGGGTTCCATATTAGGGGCCTTAAAAAGTTAGAATAGGGGTTTCCCTTTAAAGGGGGTCTGTAAGGGCTACTACAAGGGCCATTACAAGGGTGCTAAAATATTGGGGCCTTAATGATTAGAATGGGGCTTGTGGCTCATTAGACTATAATCGTGATAAGGAGCCCCCCCAAAATAGTGTTGGTGACTATTTAGGCCCCTAGAATTGAAGGTTCAAGAAAGCAAGGAAATTAGGGCTCTTCTTCAGGCATCAGTCTTCTGCTAGATGGGAGTTTCCGAAAAAGGGAGACCCTAACCCTGGTACCCTTAATTTGTAGGATCCTTATTATAAGGACCCCTAAAATAAGGTACCCGAATGTTTCGGAAATTCCCAGATACCTCGAGGATCAGGGAGTTCTCAAGGCGATTCTCAGCGGGGTTGATGGGAGGAAGGCTTCGAAGGCTCAACCGCGACGCCCCAAATGTCTGCGCTTTAAACCCTAAGCTTATAAGTACCGAAGATGCACACGACCTCCTAAGCTCTGCAATCCCTACTTAAAGGATCATGGGACTTAGTCAGTAGGGTTATTATAAGTCGGGTAACTATACTTATAGCTACTTATAACCCCACTTATAACACTACTTACAAAGTCCCATGATCCTCCCAGTAACCTCCCAGCCCTCCATGCCAGCCGATGAAGCGGCCCCGGATGATGGCGGGGCCGGCGCCCGGCGAGGGAACCACGAAACTGTTGGTGCAGAGGCCTCAAAGGTTTTCCGTGCGGCTTCGATTTTAGGGTGGCAAAAAAGGGTTTAGGGTTCTGAGTTCTGGGTGCTTTAGGATTTTGGATTTGGGGTGAGAGGCCACATCTGCTCTTCCGCAACTCTCTCTCTCTAACTTGGGGCACTCTGTGGGGATGCTGGTTCACAAGGCCTAGTAGGCATCCTCTTCGCAACTCGGCGCAGATGCTGTGCTCGGGGCCGTTTCTTTGTCACAAAACTAAGGGAGGAAGAGTCGAACGATCAGTCTCCCAGGTCCTAGTCTGTAGGATGTGGGTGTGGATGACGGGCTCAAACCCTTGAGAGCATTTTTTGGGCGAGATGTTGCAATGGGTCGCCCACATCGGGGTTCTTTCACATTCAGATCCTGGAACTTGAGGCTTAAGGCTTGCCGCTTAGCTTCTTTGTCACCGTCTTGCAGATGATGAACAGCCGGAAACTGTGCGATCTATGGCATGGTGGAAGCGAATGCAGAGCTCCCATTTTCCGTGAAGACTTTATCCGTGCTTGCCGAGCTGTCGCTTCGGAAGCTGAACCTATCTGCCGGCAGCACCGCTCAGATCGTCCAGACAAAGACACGAGCGCCACGCACCTGTATGCAAGAAAGCTTTGTCAGTGGCACTGCCAGCGTTACCACAGCAGGGACGCGCGTCCGTGATGTGTGCGTGGCCAGGCAGCAGACGACACGCAGAGCAAGCGTCCAAGTCTCTGGTTTGATTCGTCCACCTATTGCTTCGGCCCATGCAACATCTCCCCTTCCTGTACAGATAGGGAAAGAGTAAGAGGTCGTTGCAAGGACACAAAACCAACATGAAATCCCGGCATCTCGTTGTTCCTTGGCTGGAGAGCATTCAATGTTTTTTTGACATTGCCGTGCCTTACACTGGTGCTGAGAGGTTTAGCTTTGTCGCAACCGGGTCCTTTGCAACGCAAGTCTGTCATGCGAGCTGCATGCCTGGGCTGCTCACCACAAGCAGGGCCATCGTGCATGTCTCGGGCTGGATTCGCCCGCCTATCGCCTCGGCCCATGCATTGCCACCCTCCGCAGCTTCTGCATATTGTCAAGGTGTGCACCGATGTGCCTCGCCTTGCTGCATAGGTACAGAGCGTGTTTTTTGCAAGGATACGTCAGCTTGTTGTTTGTGTGCCTTTTCTCCTGGACCTTGCCATATCTTGCCGTTGCAGATGCCCTGCCTTACGGTTGTACTGCTAGGTCGAGCTGTACCGCAGCAGGATACTCTGCAAAATACGTCCGTGATGTGAGCTGCGGGGCTGGCTTGCTGGCCACATGCAGAGCCATTGTCCAAGTTTTGGGCTGGATTCGCCCACCTACCGCTTCGTTCCATACAGCGCCTCCCTCTGCTGCTTCTTCACTTCGGCGGGGCCCAGCCCCAGAGTACTTGCTATTGAAGTGCAGATGCGGAAAGCGTTCGCACGGTTGCCTCAGAAGTGTGAAATCGTGGAACACTTTCTCACCGGGCACGACAGCACGCATTCCGTCTTGGACCTTGCCATTGCAGATGCCCTGCCTTACGGTTGTCCTGCTAGGTTTAGCTCTACCGCAGCAGTATACTCTGCAAAACGCGTCAGTGATGTGAGCTGCATGGCTGGCCTGTTGACCACAAGCAGAGCCATCGTTCGAGTCTTGGGCTGCATACTCTTACCTATCGCTTCTGTCCATGCAGCGCCTCCTTTTGCTGATTTTCTGTTTCGGCCCGGCTTGTCATTGCGGTGCATATGCGGAACGAGTTCGTTGCAAAGATGCTTCTCCAGAGTCCGGTCATGGCATCTGCTTACTTCGATTCACACAAGAACGCAGTGTATGTTGGACCTTGCCATTGCAGATGCTGCGCCCTTTCCCTTTGCTGCAGCAGGTTTCTTTGCAACACATGTCCGCAATACAAGCTGCATCGGGCAGCTGACCAGAAGCAGAGCCATCGTCCAAGTTTCGGCCTGGATTCGCCAAACTTTTGCTCCGATCTATGCAATCCCTTCCTTTGCTGCTTCACTTCGACTGTGCGCGGCACACCCCTTCTCTTGGAAGATCCATGGTGTCTCTCCTGGTAGAAATCTCGGCCCCGATTGCAGCATTTGTCCGAAACTTTTCGCACCAGTGTGCTTTTCGTTGATGTGCAGACAAGCCCTTGCTGTTTGCGATGGTCATGGCCTGCGTGTGGTAGAGGCGGAGGTGTGGGTCTCACGAGGTTTCATCGGCGTGCATCACCGCAAGCTGCCGGTACCGTTGTGGCATGGCCATGCCTCGAGTTCAGAGCCAGCGAATCATTTTACAAGCTGCATGAGATTTGAGGAGCTTACGGATCGTGCTGGGGTTCGGGGCTGCGGATGCGCCTCCTACATGTGTCCAGGATGTGCTCCGCGGGGCATGATTGAGCCCTCGGTGATGGTGGACATGCCTCAGCCATTTTCGCCTTCGCACGGTGCTGTGCGCCTGCTGAGTCTGTTCCGGCCCGACATAAAAGCAGCAGTCGATGTGAAGACGCCTCTGTATTGGGAGGCATCGGTTTCCAAGCCCAGTAGGCCCCTGCTTCTTGGTATTGCCAGCCGTCACACCCATAGTCAGCGCTTGCCTGTTTCGGGCCGCTTGCGCGGGTGCCATCGAATATGTTCGGGTCTGGACCACCAGACGCTGACAGAAGGCGGGCACGCTTGGCAGTTTCTGCCTCTGTGTCATGCCCACGAGGAGCTGCTGCATGGCCTGCAGGGTGCTGGGGTTGCTATTTCGCGTTCCCTGCACCCGGTCCAGGCCTCCCCAAAGAAGGATGACGTGCTTTGGAGCTCAGGGTGTGCATCCCGCATGTCTCCACCAGCTATGATGGAGCCCTTGCTGATGCCAGGCCTACCGCAGTCACCCTTGCCGTCGCCCAATGCAGCTTGCATTCTGCGCCTGCAAGTGGGAGCGTGGAGTCTTTTTTGGCCGGCGATAAAAGCAGTAGTCGATGTGAATACGGTCTCATATTCGGCATCGGTCTCCAAACCCACCAGCTCCCATGAGCCGTTCATTTGAAACCCGTTTACGCGATTGTAAAAGGCTCTGTTTAAGTTCCTGTAGCCACACTCTTGAAAAACTTCTCACACTCCTATGAAACCAAAGCCCGATCAAGCCTGTCAAATGGGACTTTCCGAAAATGGGGGGACCCCCAAAAAAGCACCCTAAATAGTAGGACCCTTATTATAAGGACCCCAAGTAAGGCACCCCTAATTTTCGGAAACTCCCAACTTTCCGAACTAGTCAAACTCGATAGAGGGCTTCTGTAGAACCTGTCAACCACTCGGTCCGCGCTCTCTGAAGCGAAGACAGAACTGTTAAGGCATGTCTCTGCATCCGTGATCAGCCCAGTGCAGAGCCCGGAATCCCCAACCTCAACTACAGCAAGTCCCCCAAACCCTACATCCTTTTTGTCCTTATATCATCCATATTCCCGAGAAAACCAAAAAAGGTTAACCTTCAGTTCCCCATGATACCCTAAACCCTAAACTCTAAACCCCAAACCTAAACCCTAAACCCCTAAACCCCTAAGCCCCTAAACCCTGAACAGCAGCCCCTAAAAGCAGAGCTCCAAGGCCCTCCACCAGTGCCGGGGCGATCATCGGCAAGTCGGGCTCAGTTCTGAAACAGATCCGGGAGAGTCGCCTCCCCAGCTTCTTCTAGGGACCCAAAAAGGGGTGTAGGGTTTAGGGTTTAGGGTTTAGGGTGTAGGGTTTAGGGTTTAGGGTGTAGGGTTTAGGGTGTAGGGTTTGTAGGGATATCCCCACCTTATTGAGCTTCATTATAGAGGGGTGCATAAGGGTTTAGGGATGCGGGAGAGTCTGCCGCTCCAGCCTTCCGTGTCCTGGAGTAGGCTGGGGAAACATTGAAAGTCGGCAGGGTTTCGGGGTTTCAGAGCTTTAGGGTTAACGGGAGTTCGGGTGTTGAAAACTGGTTTGGGGTATGAGGAGAGGTTAAACAGACTTGAAACCCTAAACCCTGCACCGTAAGCCCAGAACGGCCCAGAACCCTAAACAGACCTTCAAACCCGAAACCCTAAAGCCTGAACGCCCAAGCCGGATACCAATAGAATCAGAGAACAGAGATGAGCTGTTAGTTGGGGCTTTATTGCCCAACAGGCCTACAGCGACTGACGGTGTAGGTTCTGCGGTTTGTGCCCCTAGCACCTATTTAGAGACCCCGAGCCCCGAAGCCTAAACCCTTTACCCGTTACCCTAACGCTTGAACCCTTGTTCCAATTGAAGATGTGAAGACTGTCTGGTGCTTGGTAGGGAATGGAGTTCCAATAGCCCATTCCCCCATTCACTACTAAGAGCCAGACAGTAGAGTCCTTGGTCCAGGGGTTTGTGCTTCATGGATATTGGCGTGACTGACTGCAGCAAATGCTTCCTTACAATAGTCCCTACGTCACTACCGCCAAGCAAGTTGTTTGGTCAGCTGCGCTACCACACGGCCACCCAGGAGGGCGGAGGGTTTTTTTGTTTTAGAAGGTTTGGCCAAACCGTGTGTTTTAGAAGGTTTGGCCGAGGGGTCCGTTCAGTTAGATTTACATAGCATACCACAAAACTACACCTTATGCTGGCCTCAGATCCTACAATCATGGCACAGCATGCCACAAAACTACACTATGCTATGATAGCATCATGTCCCAGAATCTGATACTATCCGCGGTCGCAGGCTGCGGGGCGAGTCTAGAAGTTCTGCCGCAGGCGCAGCGGCTATGGGTTTAGGGTTCTTCGTCGGTTTTAGGATTTAGTTTTTTGATGTTTTTTGGTGTTTAGGGGTTTTGGGGGTATAGGGTTTGCAGGGTTTAGGGTGCAGGGTTGGGAGTTGCTTCTTGATCTTCCGCAGGGCGATCACACGAGCCGATTTTTTCGATACTGGTTTCTTAGTTTCTGGATCCTTGGCAACAGGTCGGAGGGTCAGTCCTGGCAGCCAGCAAGCCCGGGTTCAAAAAAAAGGGTTGGGGTTTAGGGTTTTGGGGTTTCGGGGTTGTTTCGGGTTGCCAGTCATGGGCTCCACGAAATCCCAAACTTCGACGCCAGGCCAAAGCCTGGACCCCGAAACCGAAAAATCCGAATCCCACACCTCAAGCCCACACACCCGAAGTCAGTCAAGGGTCAATTCCATGAGTAGTAGGGTGAGGGTTTAGGGTTCAAGTTTAGGGTTAGCCGACGAAGTAGCTAGGGCTCATGGGTCACAGTGTCCGCAGGCTTATACGCACGAGGCTTTTTTGTCCAACTTTGGTCCCACACGGACAGGCGGACACGCCTCACCTGCAGTCGGACCGCCGGGCCCTTTCTGGAGAGTTTGACTATCGGTTTAGGGTGTAATGTAGGAACCTGGTTAAGAAACCTTGGGCCGTTATTAGGGGCACCTTATGTGAATCCTACTATTTGGGGGTCATAGGCCCAGGGTTTCGTAATCATGCTCCCACATTAGGTTTTGGGGTTTAGGGTGGTTGCCGGGTGCTGTGTGGACTTCTAATATGGGTTCTTCACAGGTTCTGTACGGGGTCTTGAGGCTTATGGTATGGGCTGCAGTCGAGTCTTTGCGCGCCCCTTGCCTTCTGAACCTATTCCTTTACCCGGAGCCTCCTACTTTCAAATGCCTAAACCCTAATCCTAAATTCTAAGGCCTAAACCCTAAACCCCAGCCTAACCCCAAACTTCGGAAGATATGGGTAGTTGTCAAAATTACGGTCCCTTTTTGGGTACCTTAAATAGTAGGTGCCGTATTATATTAATTTTGACAACCACCCATATCGCACCCTTATACAGAACCCTTGAAAGGAAAGCTTTCAGAAAGCCTAAACCCGCATCAGATCTTTGCGGGCCTCAGGCCTTGTTACCCTACGGGGGCCGCCCAACTGCCGCGAAGCGGCGCTCGCGAGGGCACGGCACACGGACTTTGGGGTTTCAGGCTTGTTTAAAGATTCCAAAACCCGTTATGTGGGTGGGAGGGTTGGTTGGTTGGTGGGTTGGTTGGTTGGTTGGTGAGCTTGCCGGGAGTAGATAGTGTGCGGGACGGTGTATCGCGAAGCCCTGCAAGAGTCGAAGCACTAAGTTCCACGACCCCTGCTCAGTTCACGTCTCTTGGACTCTCGGCAAAATCTCTGAGCCCGCGAGGTGTTGCAAGCAGCTTTTGACAAAGATCAGATGGTGCCGCTCTCAGTTTTAGCGGGGTTACAGGGTCTTGCAGGGTGTGTGTGACAAGCGAGCTACCCCTTAACTCGTACTTCGGCTGATGATATTAAAACCCGCATGACCTTGATGACCCTAGACTATGGGAATTCTGGTATATTCCTTATTATCCCTAGACTATGGGAATTTTGGTATCTTCCTTATTATCGGTAATGCAGGATTTAGATCATCAGCCGTTCCATGAATCCTCGCAGGGAGCTTGAACCTGCCTGCTCGCAGGTCAGACTCCTGTTCCGGCCCAGCCCGCAACTCCCTGAAGCCGGAAAGCCCTGTACTCAACCCCAGAAAGTTTGGAACATGGATTTAGGATGATCAGTGCTGGGATCCCCTAGACCTTACCTTCAAAGGCATGAGGATAATGATGTTCCAACTTTCTGGCTTTACTTTAAATTAAAGTGCTAGCCCGTTCTGGGTGGAGGACAAGGTGTAAGACCTGACTGGGGTTAAAGGCACCTAAAATTTCGAGGCACAAGCCGCACTTGCATCACCCCCAAGTCCTGCTTGTTAAGTCCAGTGCTCCCTGAACCCGAAACCTAAGTTCCCGACATCCTTAATATCAATCCCCCGAAATCCCCCAACCCCGCATATGACAGCAGCATTAGTGGAAACCCTAGGCAAAGAAAGGCGTCCGCACGACTACAAAAGACTAAACCCGGCAGAGTCTTCCAAATTTGGGCGCAAGAAGCTGAAAGGGATGCAGACCCCTACACGCCGTGTAGCAGTTCATGAATCAAAACCCGAAAAAATTTGCAGAATCCGAACCCTGCACAGGTACAGCACACCTGCACTGAACACTTCCCGCAGCTTTTGGGCCCTAAACCCTACACCCGAAACCCTAAAACCAAAACCCCAAACCACAAAGATCCAAAACCGCCAAAACCCTAAACCCAGCTCCCTCTGCCCAGAACACCAACCTGAAGCTCTTGGTGCCTGGGCCAACGGCCGGCGCCGTGATCGGCAAGCAAGGCTCCACTTTGAAGGCGGGGGCTAAAACGCCTTGCAACCTTTAAGGATACCGTTTGGGGTTTAGGATTTTTTGAAATTTTAGGGGGTTAGGGTCTGAGGCGCTCAAACCCCCAAACCCCCAGCTAAACCCTCAAAGGTAGATTCGAAACTCCAAGCCGCAAATTACGTGCAACTTAAAGGATCATGGGACTTAGTAACTAGGGTTATGATTAGGGTAACTATATTTATAGCTACTTATAACCCCAAGTAAGGTACTGATAACCCTACTTACTGAGTCCCATGATCCTCCAAGTGTACAAGGGACTGTCAGGTAGCAGGTCAACCTTGGAGGTCCTCTTGCTTGCCCGGTCGTCCATGGAGACCCCCGAGGTTTGGATCAAGCCACAAGCAAGCTAAACCCAAAGCCTTACATACTAAACCCTACACCCTAAACCCAAATTTCAAACTCTAAACCCAAACTTCTAAACTCTAAACCCTAAGCCCTGATGCCTCGATCGGACAAGCAGATTCTTGAACCCCGAGCCCCCTTTCTGTGGTCAAATCATCGGCCGTCGAGTTTCGAGGCCTAAGCTGGGTTTAGGGGCATCAGCAATTAGAGTAAGGTTCCTTTAAACGGGATCTATAAGGACTACGAAAAGGGATCTGTGAGGGTACTATAAAGTAGAGGGGCCTGAATAATTAGAATAGGGTTTTGGGGTACATGAGACGATGACCATGGTAAGGAACCCCCACAATATTGTTATTGGTAATTGTTTAGGTGCCGTGCCTATAGTAAGGTTTAGGGTGTAGGATTTCAGGGTTTAGGGTTCAAACAAGCAAGAAGCCCGTTGCAGAGCGTAATCTAGGGGCCCGTTGTTATTGGGTTCTCTGGTTTCTAAAGGGTTTCTGCAGCGTTCATGTTCCCATTTTTGGTGTCAATGGCGTTCTGCTGGGTGTCATAGAGGTTTTAAGGGTTTACAAGGCTTTGACTTTAGGAGTTAACCAGCAAAAGCACACCATGTACCCTATAATTCCTATGCATGGATACGATAATATACCCCAAGCGTCCCTTCGATTCCTTTGTCGGCTTTATTGGGTGAGCACTTTTCCTTGAACTGGGTCCAGGAGGATGTTATCAAGGAGCATCCGAGGCATTGAGAGTTTCAAGCTGCTGAACCCCCGCTTCTGAAACCCGAAACCCAAAGCCGCAGCCCTAAACCCTAATCCCTAATCGCTAAACCCTAAACCCTAAACCCTAATCCTTAAACCTTAAACCCTAAAGCCTAGAACCTAAACCCTAATCCCTAATCCCGAAACCCTAAAGCCGAAACCCAAAGCCGCAAGAACGGGTCACCACCGAGAAGCCGGAGCAGAGGATTTGAGTTGCATCTGAAGAGCTTGAGTCGAGACTCCCATCTCCTACTTGGAGGTTCATGGGCAGTTTCACGTATGATTATAAGTAGGGTAACTATACTTATCACCCATATTACGGGACTTATAACTCCACTTATAACTACCCATGAACCTGCAAGTAGGGTCTCCCCGTGACTTGAACATGCCTTTCACTTCCTGACTGTCGGTGTGGCTGTTTGCAGTGAAGCCGGTGTGCCTTTTGCTTCTAACTGGAGGATCAGGCAACTGGGTCTTGGGAGGCATGCGTGCGGCAACTGTAGCTGTACCAGCGCATCCTGAACCAGTCCAGGGCTTTTGAGCATCTTGCGTTAAGAGCTTGAAGGAACCTGGCCCCGAACCGACTTCAAGCCTTACCTGAAAGACTCTACCGTGACGTCCTAAAGTTCAAAAACACCATCTTGACTTGCTTCCGAAATCTGCACCTTTGGCTTTTTCTAGGAAGGCTCCTGCCCAAAACCCCGCCCTGCCCCTTCTCTCCGTAGAGGCCATACGGGACCAGACAGGCCTCTCGGTTCAGGCCGGAAGCGGCTGCAAGGTTTCTTGTTACCTTTGGTTAGTAGGGAATGGAAGAATGGTAGTAATAGTAATTATACTTGTACCCCATTCCTCCATTCCCTACTAACCAAAGGTAAGTCTTGCGTGCGCGAGGTGTTGGGGTTCAGGATTTCAGGAGGCCCAGCTTCTGGCACCGAAATAGGCTGGCATTCAGCGGTTTAGGGGCTTGGTGTTTAGGGTAGCTGCATAGTCATCGTCATCATCCTCACCGTTATCATACTGCCCTCGTCGCCGGTGCGGTTCTCGTCTTGTTTGTCTCCTTCTCGTCCCGGACTGCTGCGAGGGATCCTAGGGCTCAGTGTCGCAGGATTCGAGGGCACAGAATGCTCAGCTGGCAGCTTCAGAAAAACACCGAAAAAACCCTGGAAGAGCCCTGGCATGTAATGCGACCGGTTGATGATATAAAACCTGCATTACCCATGATAAGGAAAAGGCCTTAATGCCCATAGTTTAGGGTTCTTGAGGTAATGCAGGGTTTATATCATCAACAGGAATCATAATTCTGGAGACATTAGAGTCTTCCGCTGAAGTCTGACGGATGCAGAAGTCGCGGCGAGCCCCATACCCACATTCTTATTCTGAAGCCCGCAACCCGAAGCCCAAAGTTAAACCGCCCTCAACCCGAAACCCCAAAACCCAAGCCCTAAACCCAATCCTCAACCCGGAACCCTAAGCCCTAAACCCTCAAAGATCCCTAAAACGCTGAAGATCCCTTTAAAGGAATCTTTTACAACCCACGAGATCCCTTTCAAAGGAATCCTAAAAACCCGAAATTTTCAGCCAAGAAAACTCCCTGGTGCTTAGTAGGGAATGATAGTCCCTTAAGGGTCCCTTATAGTAGTCCCTACAACCCATTCCTCCGTTCCGTACTAAGAGCCGGGAAGTATTCTGAGTATAGTTAGCAACTCTGGTTTAGCTTGCCTGCGCCGATTCAGTCATCCTCATGCCATTTGGTGTTTTGTGCTACGTCTCAGTGACAAAGTTGCCCCCAAGTCCTCTCGCAAGAAAGCTACTACCTCAATCATTCCTGATTGGTCTTTCCTTCCGTCGCATTGAATTCCCACATGCTTCGACGCTCCAGATGCCCGTGCGGCTACGTGAGCATAGTGGTGAGCATAGTGGGTAAAGAAGTACCTTTAGAGATCCCTTATAGACCCCTTTAGGGACCTTTAAAGGAACCCCAGCCTAAAAGAAGAAGGTGGAGAGGGAGGAGATCCACGGAGATCGCCTTGTCGTCACCCAATTCTTTGCTGTTTGAGAGGGCTGGGGTTGGGTGGGGTTTGGAGCTTGGGGCGGAGGGCTTAGGGCTTAGGCTTTAGGGCATACTTGTAGAGGGTTTAGAGGGTTTCAAGGCTTAGGGTTTAGGGCGTAGGGTTAGGGGGTTTGAGGTGGGGTGGGGTGGGGTGCCGTTGAAGGGTTGAGAGTTTCAGGTATGGGGTCGAGAATTTTTGGTTTGGGGCCGAACGTGTTGGATTTTGCAAGGAGATTTGACACAGGTCTTAGGAGGTCTGTACAGCGACTCCGGCTTGAGGCTTGGCGTTTGGGGCGTTGAGGTAGATTCCCAAGCAATGTACCCTCCGATGAAATCCCTCAAGGGCCCTCGGTCGGCTCCATATATACCTTCAAAATCCTAGATCCCTTTGAGCTTGCAACATCCTTCCTGCCAAGCTTTTGTAAATCTTAAAAGGCCGTATCTAAATCCATAAGAGCCCGAAACCCAGCAAAACCCGGCAAGCCCTAAAACCCGAAGCCGTAAAGCCTACACCCTAAGCACCCTAAAAACATGGTGGGTAATCAATGGTATCCTTAATTAACATATCGCAGGGGTACTTGGCAGATGACGGAAACTGCTGGTTTTAACCAGACTGGTCGACGGGATATAGACGCCTGCTTGACGACGCTCATTCATAGTGCCTCCAGGTCCCAGATTTGAGTTGTCTGGACCCGAATAGCAGGGGAGTGCAATGAAATCGTGATGGCTTCTATGTGGTTTACCAAGGCACTGCACCCCTGCCTCTAAGATGACCCCTGGTATGCACTTGTAGTCTTCACCGTGACTCGGCTGCGTACACTGGCTTCATCTGTAAGGTAGTGGTCGAGATCCTCGACTCCTCGACTACTTGGATCTTGCACTCCTGCTGGTGTAATAGTGGTGTAATATAAGGGCCTTAACAATTAGAAGGGGGTTTTGGGGCCCATTATACCGTTACTGTTACTATGAGAAGGAGCCCGCCAAAATAGTATAGGTAGTTATTAAGGCCCCTGCAGTAGTGGATGTTGTTCTCTGAACGCATCTGCGTCTTCAGCCTTCTGTAGTCTCACCAGGCCAACTATTGACATATCCCTCGCCTGGCCTGTCCGAGTTGTGAACGCCGAGACCCGAAACTTAAACCCTAAACCTTAAACCCTAAGCCTAAAACCTCAAACCCTAAACCCTGAACCCTTGTGCGAGTCGAAACCTCAAACCATAAACCCTACCTTAAAACCACTAAACCTACTTGTTTGTAGGTTCTTATCATGAACCCGAATATGGAATTTAAATGGGGCCCTACAAAAAGAAGTCGGTTTTGGTAGGTAACACTAAACCCTAAACCCTAAATCTGCTGGTCGAAAAAGGGGCGCTTAAAAAAACAAATCCCTAAATCCCTAAACCCTAAATCCCTGAACCCTACATCCCTAAAAACCTACATCCTTAAACCCTAAATCCCTAAACCCTAAATCCCTAAAGCCCGAAACCCTAAAACCCTAAACCAAACCTTAATTGCTTGGGAGTCGAGGTCTCCGCCCAGGGGGCCTTGGCTTCGGTTCTCGGAGCATCTCGGGCTGCGGACCGGGCTCCCTTTCCTTTTAGGGTTCCTTATAGGGGTTTAGGGTGGCCACATAAGGGTTGATGGTAGAATTCCTGCATTACCTGAAGGAAGCTAAAGCTATGGGAATTACGGTATATTCCTTGTTATGGGAAATGCAGGATTTATATCATCAGCCGTAGGGGTTCCCTTTAGGGTTCCTTGTAGGGTTCTTTTAGGGTTCTATACGGGTTTAGGGTTTAAGGGCTTAGGGTTTTTACTTTAGGGTTTAGGGTTTCGAGTTTAGGGCTTGGGGTAGAAGAGTTTAGGGTTTACTAGGGTTCCTTAAAAGGTTCTATAAGGGGTTGGTAAAGGGTTCTAGAGGGATCTTTGTAAGGGAAATAGCAGGAACATTTCATTCCAAGGATAGGCCTTCCAGGTTGGGTTTGAGGGCATGTGAAGTAGGGTTTATAGCGGCATTCTGGTGAGTGTATGTAGGGTTGATTAGACATGTTGATGAGTGCAGATTTTGGTTTGTATTCTGCTTTGGCAAATGTAAAGAGCCGCTGTGTCGAGTGTTGAGTTTGCGGTTTAGGTTCGGTTGGCTGTTCAGGGTTTTAGGTTCTCGCATGCTTTACGTGTCGAACCGTGTCGATGTTGGCTGAAGGTGTTGTGGATCACTGCTGCATCCTTCGCTCTAACAAAGCGCGTGACGAGCCTAGGTGTTGATTGCGCGGAACCGTGAGCTTTCAATTCTCAACAGCAGATTAGACAAGGACTTCGGCTACATGGTACCATAACGATCTAGGGACTCATTTGAGCGAGCGCCCGTTTTCGGGAACCTACACACCAAACCCCGAAGCCTTAAACCCTCAACCCACAAGCCTCAACCTGGGGCTGTGAACACAACCGAAACCCGAGTTCCCACCCCCAAGGTACTCAACCCCAAGCCCTAAGCTCCTCGATCCTAAACCTTAAACCCTAAACTCTCAGCCTCTAAGCCCTTTTACACCTGGACTAAGCCTTAAACCCTAAACCCTGAACCAAGAAGGCCTTAAGGCCCTTAACAGCGCACGTGGCTTTTGCCAGAGGCTGCCTCCATGATCCTCCAGGCTGTTGAGGTGCTCCGGGATTCAGGTTTTCGCTTGGAGGCTCTTGGCCTGAGGTTTAGGGCTTCAGGGGTTTAGGGTTTAGGGGTTTGGGGTTTAGGGGGTTTAGGGTTTAGGGTTTAGGGTTCTGCGTTCAGTGGCTCGTGCTTCAGTTGCTTCGGAAGTTTCGGGTTACTGCCGCGAGTGCAGCAGCTCTGAGATCCAGGCGGGCATATACGGGAGTTTCCGAAAATCGGGGACGCCAAGATAGCGCCCTAAATAATACGATCCTTGCTATGAGGACCCGCAAACAAGGTACCCGTATTTTTCGGAAACTCCCATACATACAAGTCCGTGCAAAAAGGGGCTAGGGCGGTGGAGTTTGGAGGTTGGGCCTTGGGGTTTGGGGATTACGTTTTGCGGCTCGGGGTGCTGGGAACCGCAGAGGAAGTTGGCCGAACCCGGAAAAACACACCCTACACCTTAGACCCTAAACCCTTAAACCCCAAACCCTAACCTAGACCCTAAGCTAAACCCTCAACGATCGAGCTTCGGCTCGATCTTAGCGATTTTTTCTGGGTCTGCAAAGTGCCGGGGGTGCGGAAAACTGCGAGAAATTCTCGAGCCTTACCTGTAGTTCTCGTGTGTAGTGTGTACTTGTACAGCTGTATAGTTAAGTGCACTACTGAAGCCCTGTTGGTACAAGCGAAAGCAGGAAAAGATAGCACTCCGCCCGTTTCGCATGGTAGCGGAGCTGGTTCCCTTCTAAGGGAAGCTCCGGACGGGTGATTGACACCGTCAGTCGCGCTTGCAGCGGCGGCGGGTGACACCGCAAGCAGCCCTTACGGTTGCTCTGCCGGGTGTGAGGGAACCCCACCGTAACCCTCAATAAACAAGTGGGGCAAGTGGTGAGTCGCGCTTGGAGCGACCACAGCGACCCGTAAAGACGGGAAAAGGCTACAAAGGCAAGAAAGGAAAAGGCAAGACCAGAAAAGGTCAGGCCAAGGGCGCAGAGTCGTCCGGAAGCCGAGGGCCGGCTTCAGAGGGACCCCCGGGTCGAAGAGTGAGGAGCGAGCAGGCCAAGGAAAAGCGAATCCTCAGGGGGTTTGCTCGGCGAGCTGAGCGAGCTCTCCAGAGAGGCGACGAGGAGTCCGAAAGGACTGCGCAGTGGGCGCCAGAGGTCGAGGACGTGACCGTGGAGGACGCCTTGCGCTTGCAGAGTCGCCCTCAGGAGGGACAAGGCCTCGGGCACAGCGAGTGGTTGGAAGAAGACGCGTGGGTTCCAGACGAACTACCGTCGGTAGCAGAGGACGCTACCTGGAGCCGACTCAGGAGGGAGTACCCAGGCTTATCGGCCATCTCAGCCGAAAACCCAGGAAAGTCGGCGAGACAAAGCTACCTCAGGAAGGTAGCTGGCAAGAGGATTTCGGAAGGGCTTGGGCGCTTGGCGCGGACGAGCAGAAGGGCCGCTTCCGGGAGTTCTTCTGGTGCAGAAGCTGGAGGAAGTGAGGGTGAAACCTTCGAGGCGAGACAAGCTTCGCGGGTGATACCGCCAACAGAGTGGAGCTGGACGGAGCCAGCCGAGTCTGTGGCAGGTCGCACCGCGACGCACCCGCCGACGACCGTCTTTACCTCCAGCGACGAGGAAGAACAGGAGGAGAAGAAGGCCAAAGAGGAGCCGGAGGAGGTCAAGGAAGAAGGAGACACCTCCGACTGGCACAGTGAGGAGTCAGAGGCTGGAAGCACAGACTCGGAGGACCCAAACGGTGTGGCCGCACTTCTCCGAAAGGACGAGCGCGCCAGAGAGCGCAGAGCCGAGGCGGCAAGGGCAAAGAGGCACCAGAGGGCGCCACCAGAGCCAGCAGAGCCACCAAGGGCCAAGGCTCGAGCTGGAAGCTTGGAGTCCAGCTCCTTGGGCTACGAAAGCCGAGCTTCTTCGGTGGGCTTTGCAAGGCGAGGAGGCGGCGAAGCTGCGAGCAGCAGCACTGGTGGTCAAAGCCACCCGCCGGGCCAGTGGCAGGACTGGTCGCAGGCAGCCGCGTGGCCACAGACCTCGTGGCAGACAACGTGGCAAGGTGAGGAGTCCGACAGAAGGTGGGCCGAGTGGTACCGTAACTGGCAAAACCGCATCGGCTCAGCGGGTTGGCACCGCTAGTGCGGGTGACACCGCCGAGTTTTTGTGGCAACTTCGATTGCCACCGACCTCGGCGTACACGCCCGTAGCGGTGTAGATCTGTACAGCTAGAAAGTGTTTTTCAAAACTGGCCCGCAATGGCGGCGACGCTGGAGGCGCTTGCTGCCCGGGTTCAGGAACTGACCGAAGGCCTGCAAAGGGCCAACGTTGCCTACGAGCAGCAACAAAAGAGGGCAGCGGAGGCCGAAGCAAGACTTTTAGCAGCTGAGAATGCCTTGCAATCAACAGCAGCAACGGCAGCAGCAGCAGCAGCCACGGCTGGAACAATGGGGACAACAACAACAGGGAGCGTTGAGAGAAAAGAGAAAGACCTCATACACCCCTCTCACGTTCCGAAGCCTCACACTTTCAATGGCAAGAAAGAAGAGTGGGAGAAATTCAAGCATGTGTTTGTAGCATGGTCTAGCACTGTTCATGAACGCTATCCGGAACTTTTGGAACAGTATGGAAAGATGAAGGAGCCGGTGGATGATTCGAAGTTCACCTCAGAGGAGAGTCGGTTGGCCAAGGCTATGTACACTTTCCTCATACAGTACTGCCCGGAACCTACCATGAACGTTATAGGCCAGGGGTTGCATGATGCAAATGGGTTCGAGGTTTGGAGAAGACTGGTTCTCCTGAGCGAGCCAGCTCACCGAACCAAGGCATGGGTCTGGCGAAGGCACTTGTCGAACCCCAGTTTTCCCAGTGACATCTCCCAGTGGAGCACGGCGCTCCATCAGTGGGAAGCTGAGCTCCGGGAGTTCGAGCGTACCTACAAGGCCACTTTCTCCGAAGATGAGAAGGTGTCGATCTTGGCACATGTTGCGCCGAAGGAGCTGCATCAAAGCATTTTCATGCACAGTGATGCGCTGGACAGTTATGGCAAGATTCGTGAGTACATCGAGCAGTATCTGATCAACAGGAACCTTTGGAAAAGGCCCCAAGGTTCACAGTTTGGTTTGACCAAGGCAGCAAACAAGAACATAGATCAACCTGATGATGGAGGTTTGAGGCCAATGGACATTGGAGGTGTGAAAGGAAAGGACGGAAAAGGAAAAGGTGACAGGAAGGAAGGAAAAGGAAAGGACAGCTGGAACAACAACAACAAAGGCAAAGAAAACTGGAGCAACAAAGACAAGTGGAACGGAAAAGGTAACTGGGACAACAAGTCAGGAGACAAAGGAAAGGAAGGAAAGAAAGGAAAGGACGGAAAAGGGAAAGGAGCAAACAACAAAGGAGGAAAAGGAAAACCCAACAACGGAAAAGGAAAGAACAACAATCCGCATGCAGGCAAGCAGTGCCACATATGCCACAGGCACGGACACATTGCCGCTGATTGCTGGTGGAAGGTCGGAGCAGTCGACACCGAGGCTGCTACTGACACTGGTGGAACCGGTGGTTCGAGTGGAGCCAAGGACGGAGCGAACGGCAGCAGCACGGCAGTGGGGTCTGTGTTTGAGGGTGCACAACGCATTGCTAAGTGGAGTGATGAAGATGTGATTTTCACTGTCGGTGACAGCACAGTTTCGGCGATTGGGCCGGAGCAGCTGGGGTGCAGGCATCTTCTTGTAGACTCCGGAGCGTGTGAAAGTGTTGCCAAGTTTGGTGATTTCAATGCGGACATCGACAGCTCCAAAGCTAAGCCGTTGTTCAGTGTGCAGGGAACTCCTTTGAAGGTGTATGGCAAGCAGTATCCGCAGGTCATGTTTGGTCGGACCAGTGGTTCGGTTGAGATGACTGTGACAGATGCCGCTGAAAGTCTCGTTTCAGTTCACAGCTTGGTAGCTAAGGGACACAAGGTAGTTTTCAGTCCAGGAGGGTGTTACCTAGAGACGAAGACGGGTGACACCGTACCACTTGAGCTTCATGGCAAGAGGTGGTATCTCAAGGTGATGGACAAGACCGAAGGTCCAGGACCAGTTCGTGGGCGCATAGCCCCAATTGGCGATGAAGTGGACCTTGGGCCTAAGGAGCCCGACAGGTGGAAGAAAGAGGTGAAAGATGGGGTTGAGTACCTCATTAGAGAGCACAACAATCCGAGGAAGCGACTTTTCGCTCCAAAGGTCAAGGACCTTCCAGTGCCGTTGGAGAGGATTGAGAGCGGAAGGCTCACGAAGATGATCTTCGAGGAAGACGGCTCGCAGAAAGAGGACCGCAGCATGTGGGAAGACAAGCGGTATGCTATGAGAGAGATGAAGCACTCATGGCTTGGAGAGACCTGGTTCAGGCTAAAGCCTGAGAGGTCTGATGAGCCAGCTGCTGAAGAAGAGCAGCTGAGTCACGAGGATGAGTGGATGCGAGGTCTCGACGAGGCCTACGAGGAAGAGGTGCTTCTTGAAGGAGAGGAAGCCCACGAGCAGATCGTCGAGGACGATGAGGATGCTGATGGGCGCCTGGTGGTGGACGAAGGAGACGATGACAAGAAAGCTAAGGCGATTAAGGCACCGAAGGAACCGACAGCTGCAGAGGTGGAGGAGCACAATCTCCACCACGCCAACTTTGAGAGTTGGTGCCCTGTTTGTGTGATGGGGCAAGGAAAGAGCAAGCAGCATCGGAGAATCAAGGAAGATCCAAAAGAGCACATCATCTACTCAGACTACATGTTCTTCTCCAAGGAGGGAACAGAAGTGAGCAAAGAAGAAAGCGAGAAGAAGAAGGCTGGGTTGGTGACCGTGTTGACAGCCATTTGCAAGGACAGCCAGTATCCTTTTGCATTGGTGTTGCCATCCAAAGCCAGCGTGGACTACGCGAGCAAGGCGCTCACGAGCTGGATTAAGGACCTCAAGTGGGACAAGGTGGTCATTCAGTTCGACCAGGAAAACGCTTTGAACAAGATCTACGAGAAGGTGAAAGCAAGCATGGGTGACACCATAACCTTGCGGAGATCACCGCGATACAGCTCTCAGTCCTTGGCGGATGGAGAGATGATCAATGGTCTCATCGCGCGAAAGGTGCGCACGTGGCTTGCAGAAGTGTCTGAGAAGTACAAGATGAAGATCGGTTGTGACAGTGTGTTGTTTCCGTGGATTGTGAGACACAGCGCATGGACGCTTGCCCGATTCCATATCAACCACTCTAAGACAACAGCCTTCAGGATTGTGAATGGGTATGATTACCTCGGAGAGATGATGACTTTTGGTCAGGTGGCCATGGCTAAGTACCCCAAGCAGAAGGACAAAGCAGCCCCGAGATGGATTCGGGGAGTGTATGTGGGGAAGAACGCACTTGGTGATGAACACCTGTTGCTCACGGAAGCAGGCGTGCAAACCTGCAGGACTGCGCGGAGGTTGCCTGAGAGTTCCCAGTACAGTGTGGAGGTTCTAGAGAAGGCAAGAGGAGTGCCGTGGAACCGGTACTTGGGGATAGCAACCACCAGAGTTGCGCAAGAGAAGTCCGAGCAGAAAGCAGTCTCAGTCCCAGAGCTGGAGGCTGCAGAGACCTACGACTTTGGGTCTGGTGATCCAAAGGAAGTGCTGGTTGTTCCAATGCCAGCACCGCCGCAAGGTGAGAAGCACGAAAAGGAAGCGAGCGAAGAACCAGAGAGCAAGAGAGCAAGGGTGGAACCTGGTGAGGCCAAGCAGCCCTCGGGTGACACCGCTCAAGCTTCAGGTGGACCGGTGCGGTTCAGCATCGCAACGCCTGATGCTAGCATGGGGACAGGCAGTCATGACCTTAGTCTCTACTCACCATCCCTTCCGGGAGACATGGCTCAGGATATGATATCCTGCATCAGCAACCATGGTGAGTGGAGTGAGGCAGGCACGTGTCTTGGAAAGGAGGACTACGAGCACTACAAGAAGTGGGTGAAGCAGAATGAAGGATGCTTCAACTCAAGCATGGTCAGCAATATCATGGACTATCTGGACACGATGCAAATGGATGAAAGAGAGCTCAAGAGAGCGCGGAAGGAAGAGCTGAGAAAGCTCAACGAGGTCTATGGGGCCTTCACGCCTAGAGATGGGCGTCAGCTTCCGAGAGACCTAACGGTGTTTGGCCACAAGTGGGTCGACAAGGTGACAGAGGGGATAGCGAAGTCCAGGCTTACATGCCAGGATTTCAAGAAGAAGCAAGATGCCAACGAGAGGCACAGCTCAGAGTTTCCCTCAAACTTTTGCCCTACACCGCACGCGACCTCCAGAAAGCTTTTGGAAGTTTACTCTTTGGTTACGAAGATGCCGAGAGTGAAAGCTGATTTGAGCTCAGCTTTTCTGATCGCTAAAGATGGAGGAGACGCGAAGGGGCAACCGGTGATGATGAGGCCACCAAAGGAATGGCTGGAGGATTACGATGAGTGGTATGCCAAAGCAGATCCAGAAGTACAGCGACAGCTGAAGGACACGCCCAAGGAGAATGTGTTGTGGCAGGTAGACGGAAACCTGTACGGCAGACAGTCGGCGGCAGCACAGTACAGAGATCGTTTGGAGGTCATTTTGACCAAGGAACTCCCAAAGGGAGTCTATGATTTTCACCGCGGAAAGCTTGATGCATGTGTGTTTCGATGCAGGCGCACAGGTATAGTTCTGATTCATCATATAGATGATTTCGATGTGTGCGGACCGGCTGCGTTGTTGAACGACTTACTCAAGGTGCAGTTGCCACAGTGCGGGTGCAAGCTGAAAGTGGGTGAGCTTGAGTGGCCTGGGGAAGCAAGCAGTAGCACAAGTGAGTTTCTTGGTAGGAAGAAGATTCTAGTTGAAGGTGCTGTGGTGACGCTTCCGAATGAGAAGCACATCAACGACATTCTTAGGATGCTAGAACTCGAAGAAGCAAAGCCAAGCCCAGTGCCAGGGAAGAAGCTTAACCTGCAGGACAACAAACCGCTTGAAGGCAAGGCGAAGGAAACCTACGCAAGCTGTGTAGGTAGCGCAACTTATCTGTCACAAGACAGACCGGATATAAAGTTTGCCTGCAAGGAGCTGGCAAAGCGGATCAGGGAACCGCGTGAGTGTGACATGCAAAACCTCAAGGTGCTAGGAAGGTATCTGCGTGGGACAATGCACGTAGGACACGTGACCAAGTTGGATGAACATGTGGACCCAGCGGCAGGGATTCCTCTTCAGGGATTCTGTGACAGCGACTGGGCTGGAGATAAAGAGGATAGGAAAAGCACCAGTGGACAGGTGATAGTCCTAGGAGGGACTGTCGTGGAGACCTCAGCGAGGACTCAGCAAGGCACCCCAGCTACAAGCTCAGGGGAAGCAGAGGTCAGAGCCTTAACTCAGTGCGCTCAGGATCTGGTGTTCGTGAGGAACTTAGGAGTTGAGGACTTCGGGATGTCAATCGATGTTCCGAGGCTGTTCTGCGATAGCAGTGCAGCAATCCAGGTTGCTAGGCGACTTGGTGTTGGGAAGATGAGACATGTCGATCTAGGACACTTGTACATTCAAGAACTTGTGAAAGAGAAGAGAGTGATTGTCCAGAAGATCAAAGGGACAGAGAATCCTTCAAACGCCTTAACAAAGCATTTGGCCACGGGAGCCGAAACTGAGGAAGGAAGGGGCATGTTGGGTCTAGTAACCTTGGACAAGCAAGGGCTGGACAAGCACGTTTCAAAGAACACGATGCAATCGGTTGGAGCACTGACAAGCTGGAAGAAGTGGCAGCCGCAGCAGTGCACAAGGCTCAGCACAAAGCAGTTCGTTAGTGCTGTTGGTAGACATCGGCCTCTAAGGGAGACACCTCATGGATCTTATCCCTTATGGAGCGGGTGATACCGTTGCTTCGTGGATGCCCTATCTCATCATGATCAGTTTCACGTTGAATGCCATCACAATGGCGTTGGCAGTGATCTTTTGCCTCTGTAAGTGTATCCATTTTGGAAACCGAGAGGTGATTGTGTACATGGGTACAACGTGCCCACATGGAAAGCTCTTTATGAGCCGAAAGGGACGCAAAGTCCACTCAGACCCTGGGTGTCAAGGTTTGTACAGAGCGGACGACATCAAGGGATTTGACTTTTGCAAGTATTGCTTTAAAAGCAAGACCAAGTAACGCATTTTGAGCCCAATGCGCGACCGGGTACTACAAGATACCCACTACAAGGAGGGTGCGAGAAATTCTCGAGCCTTACCTGTAGTTCTCGTGTGTAGTGTGTACTTGTACAGCTGTATAGTTAAGTGCACTACTGAAGCCCTGTTGGTACAAGCGAAAGCAGGAAAAGATAGCACTCCGCCCGTTTCGCAAAAACCGCCAGTCGGCGCTATGGGTGGTAGTCAAAATTAGGATCCGTTTTTGAGTCCCTATCATAATACGGCACCTATGATTTAGGATACCCCAAAAAGGGACCTTAATTTTGACAACTACCCATATGGTAGGGGATCCCTTTGAACGGTTACTATAGGGTTCCCGGAAGGGTATCCTTTTAAGGGTTATTGTAGGGTTCTTTGTTATTGCGAGGGCCGGGGGCTTGACGATTTCAGGGTTTGGGGTATGGCCTGCTTTAACTTGGCCTTGAATGGAGTCTTCGTATTTACTGGGTTCGTTTCGGGTTTCAGGCGTTCACGGGGATCCTGCATCTTGACGAGGCGAGTCTTTCGTCATTTTCAAGTTGAATCATTCTCGCATTTATTTCTACCCTCACATCCACCCTTGCCTATTGTACCAGCTAGTCGCTTGCATTTGCCATCGCTATCATTGTCATCATTGTGGTTTCTCATGAGAGATGCTTTTCGATTTTTTGAATCTTTATTGTCACCCTCATGCCAGAAGCTTCGTTTTCACTGTCGTCCGGATGTCCTTCGGCAGCGTCAGCCTTAACTAGTTCATCTCAACCTTCAACATGACAATCACCACCATCATCATCAGCAGTGCCGTTCCCCCCCCAAGCCTGTAAGCTTATAGACCCTGGGGCCTTCATGCCCCAAAGCTTTAACCAGCAACACCCTGGCCACGCCTAAACCCTAGACCCTACTTGGAGGTTCATGGGTAGTTTGAAGTAGGGTTATAAGTAGGGTAGCTAATACTTATAACCCATATTAGGGGCCGCCTCATATCCCCACTTATAACTACCCCCGAACCTCCAAGTAGACTCTAAACCCTATACCCTTATATAATCCCTATAGATCCCTTTAAAGGGGCCCTTAAAGGAACCCTTATGACTACCCATGAACCCCCCCTCTCCCTTGAAGAATCCTCTCCTCCAGAACTCCAGCGCTGGAAAACAAGCCGCCGCGGCGCCCATGGGGATGATGGGAGCCCTGGCCCTGGCGTCTTCGCGGTTTTAGGGTTTAGGTTTTAGGGTTTAGGGTTTTGGTTTTAGGGTTTAGGTTTTTGGGTTTAGGGTTTTGGGTTTTGGTTTTAGGGTTTGGGGTTTAGGGCTTAGGGTTTTGGGTTTAGGGTTTAGGGCTTAGGGTTTTGGGTTTTGGGTTTAGGGTTTAGAGTGTCTTCGAGGTTTTAGAACGATGCCACAAGGGCTTCTAATAGGGTTTTAGGGTGTAGGATCTATAGGGTTTAACCCAGAAACTCCAATATCCCTTAATTAAGGAATATACTGTAAATTATGATAGGACCTTTAATATGACTTAAGGTATATTCCTAAATCAAGGGAATATTGGAGTCTCCGGGAAGTATTTTCCGTGATGCAACGATCTGGCTAGTCCCCAAGCCCAGTTGCAAGAAAAGGGCTTAGGTACCGGGGTTCAGGGAGTCGACGTTTTGTAGCGCTGTCGACGGCTTTCATCTATTGGCACTGCAGTAGCCCAGATGAAAAAAACAGCGTCTGTGGGGTTTGAGAAGGATGGGTTGTGGGGGTTTGAAAGGAATCAATTTGAAGAGTTGGAAACTTTCCTAAACGGTCCAAGCTCGTCTTTGGTCAGGGAATTCAGGAACTCGCGGGTTCTGGCATTGCAAAGGCGGGTAGCACAATGCACTCGCCCCATGCTTGGTGACTTCACCTTTTTCACCACAGGACGCAACCCAAAACATCGAGGAAGGACGTGCTTTTGCCTTGTAGCTTTTTAAGAAGGCTCTTTAGGAAACCCTGTACGCCCGGCTCTGACTGAGGGGCACACTGAGTTTGGCTCTTACTCGTAAGCCTTGCACCCCGAAGAAGAGATGCCCAACAACCTTCCGAAACTCCACACTGAGCCACCAAACCGTAAACCATAACTAACCCTTAAACTGCTAACCCTCAACCTCAAACTTCCCTGGCCTTGTCAGCCCTAAGCAAGCGATCGGCAGCTCACAATCCCTAAACCCTCAGACCTAACCTACCTGTACTGGAGGCCTGGTAGACCTTGGTACAGAAACTTGCGGCAGACTAATCCTGGTTAGACAGACCCTAAACCCGAAACCCCCCTTGAACAATCCATTAAGAGAAATTCTTTGGGATACTGGCAGTAGACCTGTAGTCCTAGCTAAGAGCCACATACTCCAATACCCCTTAATGAATGAACATCCCTTAAACCATCTTAGGGATCCCATTATAACTTACGGAGTACTCCTTAAATCATACGAGGGATCCCACTATAATTTAAGGAATATTCCATAATTCATATTCGGGATCCCATTATGGTATAAGGAAAACTCCTTCACTCATATTCGGGACTCCATTAAGATTTAAGGAAAATTCCTTACTTCATATTAGGGATGCCATTGTAATTTGAGGAACATTAATTAAATCATACTAATGATACCATTATAGTGATAATTTGAGGAGTATTCCTTAAATCACATTGGGGATCTTATTATAATTTACGGACTATTCCTTAATTACGGGATATTGGAGTCTCTGGGGAGCTCTTTCGGAGGCTCCTCCTCCGCCTGGGCCGCCCCTGCAGGGCGATGTTTGGATGCCGCAGGCACCTGACAGTATCGATTAAGTACATCAGAGAAATGATAGAGTCTTACATCAGATACTGGTATATTTTAGAAATCACAGAGACTTACATTATATACTACATAATAAGCCATTATATCACGTGTATGTGTATATATTGTATGTGTTTATATATACATATGTTTATATCTATACCTATTTAAACACCATTATCAAAATGAATATGTATATTAATATCTATAGCTGAAGCTACAGCTATAGCTATAACTGTATTTCTGTCCATATCCATACCCATATCTAAATCCACATCTAGACCTACCTATACATACAAATATAGTATGCATGTATGTATATCCATAACAACATCTGTGTCTGTTTCTATTTCTGTTTCTGCAAGGGAGTTTATTTCTGTATCTCTACCCATATTTGCATTTATACCTATATCTTCATCTATATCTTTGTCCCTGGCTTTATCTTTGTACTTTTCTTCTTTATTGCTTATCCTTACCTGTATCTATATCTATATCCATATCGTATCTACATCCATATCCATATCTGTATGTTGTACGGCTCCTTATACTATTCCACGGCGTGAACCCTGTTCATCAGTTCTGGAGCAAGAATACTGTTTGAGGGCTTCAGGTAACTACTCTTGGACTTGGGAACCGCCCGCCCCCAGCACTAAATGAAACGTGTCACGTCGCCATGAGAAAATACTTCCTGTTCATACCTTCTGAAGGCCTAAATAACACTAAACCCTTGAACCGTACCTCAAACGAAGACCCTTTCAACGAAAATCCCCAAACGCTACAAAACCGAATTCCTAGAGCCTGATCCCCTGAAACCCTAATCCCACAAAGCCCCACATCCCAAGTCCCGGTCCCAAGCCCCCAGAAAGCCCAAGAGCAGCGAAGGCCTGAAGTGAACCGGGCTTCGATGGGCCGAAGAGCTTCGGTCGATGATACACCCCTATAAGGAACCCTAAAAGGAACCCTAAAAGGAACCCTAAAGGGAAGCCCAAAGGAAACCCTAAAAGGAACCCTAAAGGAACCCTTATGGTTGATGATATAAATCCTGCATTACCCACAATAAGGAATATACAATAATTCCCATAGTTTAGGGTCCTTAAGGTAATGCAGGATTTATATCATCAACAGTACTGCTCTAGGAACCTGGTTAAGAAACCCTGGCCTTAATGATTAGAAGAGGATTTTGGGAGTTCCTTATTATGATTATGGTACGTGATTAAGAAACCCTGGCCTTAATAATTAGAATAGAGTTTTGGGAGTTCCTTGTAATGATGATGGTGTAATATACCCCCAACACCTATAGAAGCCCTGACCTTGTAACGCGAAAATATACAGTAGGGATCCTGAAAAGAGCCCTAGTAAAGACCCAGGGTTTGCTTCATCAGGTTCCTCTATTCGCTACTGATCTGGAGGCAATGAGCCCCAAACCCTAAACCCTAAACCGTGCTGGAGCTGGACTCTGCTCATCTCGAGCATCGGGCCCCGCTCATAAGCCCTAATGTTGGAACCTGATTGGGCCTTTCACACCAAAATGTAGGGTTCATATAAAGAACCCTGATAAAGGTCCAAGGTTTCTTAATCAGGTTCCTACATGAAGCCCTAAAGCTTCGAACCCTGAACAACCTACTTTAGGGTTCCCCATTATGGTTTCCTTATATGAGTCCGTAAGAATGTAGGTTCTTCCGGAAGCCCTAAACCTTCGAATCTTTTAGAAACTCTCGAGGCCATGGGGTTGAGGCTTTAGGGTTGCTTTTAAACTTAGGCTTTCGGTGCTTCCGGATGGTGGTTTCTAGTTTCCGGTTGGGTTTAGGGCTAAAGGGGTTTAGGCTTGGGATGTAGTTTTTTCTATGTTTGGATGTGGGCCTTAAGGCGGAGTGGAGTGCTTAAGTTCCTGGGTTCTTTTGGTGGGCCGGAGACATTTCATGAGGGTTTCGGCTCTTTGGGGTTGCAGCATTTCGGATAGTGGGGCTGAGAGTCCGATAGTGCAGGGGCTTAGGAGGCAGATGCTTCTCGAAGGTTGTTGAATTTCAACCGTTGCTTTCTGCTGCAGTGCTTACATCCCAACTGCTCCGGCCAAAACCTGTCGTTCAGCTGTAAAAAAATCCAAAAGCTGACTGGCTTTCTTCTTGCTTCGTTCTTCCATGGCTAGCGGCGCTGTTGGATCGATAGCAATATTGCATCACCCTTCCTTTTCCGTCGTCTTCGCATCATCGCATTCTTAGGGTTTCCTCTGCCCAGAATTCCCTTTAAGGGTTTAGGGTTGAGGGGCTTAGGGGTTTAGGGGTTTAGGGTTTACCAGGCCTGACGCTGCGAGTGCCTGTGTGTGTGTGTGAGAGAGAGAGAGAGAGAGAGAGAGAGAGAGAGAGAGAGAGAGAGAGAGAGAGGGGGTTTAGGGTTCTTTAACCCGTAATGCCCAGCTCTTGACCCGACGAAGTGCATTGGCTCAGCGCGTGGCATGAAAAGAGTGCCAGCCGTCTTTAAAGGAGGGAAGACAAATCGGGGCCTTCAGGGCGACCACCCAAAGAAACCCAAACCCGAAGCTCAACGACCAAACCATCATAGTGTTTTTTTTTTGTTTGACGGGGGGGGGGGTATCTATAGAGTGGGGGAGGCTGAAATGTGAAGCTTGAGTTCCTGGCACGCATGGAGTTGGGGGTTTCAGGGTCCGAGCAGTCTGGGCCATGGCCGGGCATGACATGATACGAAGTCATTTCATGGAGGCACCTGTCATCAATCAAAATTTCACATGCGTGAGGTGCAATTTACAGTGAAGTTATTTGGGTACGGTCCCCCTGTGAGTAGTAGTTAAATAATATTCACAAGATAGATATATAGGACCCTAATAGTAGCCCTATTCTAGAGTCTTACTGTAAGGGGGCAGTACCTAAGAAGTTATCATGACATAAGGCAGTATCAGTAGCTCAAGCAGGCGCTATACCCATAGATACCCGACCCGACAGGAAGCCGGAGACCCCCTGGAACCCTGAACCTAGAAGCAGACCCAAAGAGCCCGATGTCAAAGCCTTCAATGAAGGAATATCCTTGAACCTGTAGAGGGAAATCCTGAGCATATCTTTTGGTTCGGTGTGGTCCCGCAAAGATTGCTTCACCTTGACTTTGACGAAGGAGCCTAGAACCGCAACAGTTTGGGACACTTTTTAATGTCTCTTTGTGCTTTCTATAAAGGTACCTACTCATAAATACATTTAAGGGCCCCGAAACTACAACCCTAAAGCCTAAACCCCAAACCGTACAACCCAGTGGGGATCTGGAGTCGGCACCTGGCGCTTCCCTCGGATCGAGTTTTGATGTGTCGCGTCGTCTGCGGGCTGTGGCTTCCATGCACTCCCGTCCTAGGCGTTTCGTGTTTGGCATATCATAGCATATTGCGGCATAGTACGGTTGATGATATAAATCCTGCATTATCCATAATAAGGAATATACCATAATTCCCATAGTCTTGGGTCCTTAAGGTCATGCAGGATTTATATCATCAACTGTATAACAGCTCTCTAGATTTTCGTACTTGTATTCTGGTGCCTTAGGTTTTGAGTCTCGTTTTTTTGGAGGTTCGGATGCAAAGGTTGGGGTCTCAGATTCAGGTTTTGCTGTTTAGGATTTCGGTAGGTTCCTATAGCTCCCTTTAAAGAGCCCTTTAAGAACCCCTATAGCTCCCTTTAAAGGGCCCTTCAAGAACCCCTATAGCTCCCTTTAAAGGGCCCTTTAAGAAACCCTATAGACAGTCAAGGGTTTGGGATTTGTTTGACGACTACGGCATAAACATGACTTAGAATGAGTTCCGGGTTGACCCTTCGTAGGGCCCCAAAAAGCACATAAGCAAAACCTAGGATAGGGATTTCCCATATAACCCCCCCCAAATAATGAAGCCCAATAAGATAGGGATATCCCTGCAAAATGCTTATGCTTGTGTGCTTTTTGGGTCCCAACTTAGGAATCCTTTTAGTATTATGGGTCATATGGCCTTTTAATGCGTCTCGCCTTGGACGGAGGCCTGGGCCCAATGGAGGTAGGGAAGAAAGCGGGACGGTTAGGGTTCAGGGTTTGGGGCTTACGAGGGTACGGTATAGGGTTCAGGGTTCAGAAGACCATGACAAGATCAAACTTGCAACTATGGTCAGCCTGTGTAGAGAGTAAGGCTTGAGGTTATGAAGCTTAGAATGGGTCAGAAGTAACTCTCAGTCCGGCCGTGTTGGAGAAGGAGCGCTAGCGCCGCAGATGCGTTGTTCATGCTCTCACGCAGCAGCTGTGCAGTTGCTAAGCGCACAGAGGCAGCGTTAGGGGAGGAGGGGGCATTGAGCCTAGAGGTTCAATTCCAATAGCCGTACATTTTGCAACTTAAATCCTACTGCCAAACTAGGACGAATCCACGCAACTTCGTAGCAGCTCCCTCTTCCCTTCTTATGTCATGAAACCTGTCCACTCGAAGGACTTAGTGGGTTGAACCCGGGAGCTTCAAACCTCCTAAGCTTGGAACCCTCAACAACTTCAACCCTAAACCCCTAAACCCCTAAACCCAAACCCCTAACCCATAAATTCTAATCCCTCAACCACTAGAAAAAACGCCCTAAACCCTGAACCCGAGCCTTAGGAGTCCTAAACTACACTGTAGCCCATAGGCAAGCATCCGTTGTTCAGGATCCCTGTGTTTGGGGTCGATAACAGGCTCCCCGATTTTTCCCGAGCTTTTAGGGTTTAGGGTTTAGGGTTTAAAAGTTTAGAGTTTAGGGTTTAGGGTTTAGGAGTTTAGCCCAGTGGCAAAAAGGGTTTAGAGTTTAGGGCTTGAGGTTGGCATCATCGGTTTCAGCGTTTCGTAGGCCCGACCAGCCTTCTCAAAAAGCCTAAGGGCCTCGAAGCATACACCCCTAAACCCTAAGGGTTTAGGGTTTCCTCAACCCTAAACCCTAAACCGTCTGGACGTGTCCGAGTTGCGAGAGCGTAAACCCCCCAAACCCTAAACCCCTAAACCCTCTCTCCTAAAACCTAAACCCCTAAACCCCTAAACCCTAAACCCTAAACCCCCCAAACCCTAAACCCCCAAACCCTAAACCCCTAAACGCTAAACCCTGATCTCCAATTTATGAGGGTGTGTTCGGAGAGCCCGACCGGATGCCGCCGCGAAAAGAGCCAAGCAACGCCCTGCAAACCCAGACATCTGCTTCGAGTAATTCAGGGGCCTTAAAGGGAACTCCAGAAAGTTGGAATATGGTTTCAGGGTAGGATCCCCCTTAATTTACCTTAAAGGGGTTAGGATAATCATATTCCAACTTTCTGGCTTTTACCTTAATACTGAACTACACAATTTTGGGGAGGTTCCTTTAAAGGGGCTTCTCAGGATTACTATAAGGGTTATTATGGGTTTTTTTAGTATAGGGGCCTTAATCATTACCTATACTATTTTGGTTGGTTTCTTATTGTAATTATAGTATAATGGGTCCCAAACCCCAATTCTAAAAATTAATGGGCCCCTTCTTTGTCCTTCACTGCGGCAGCTCAAGCCGCTACGAGCTAGGACCCAGGCTCCCAGTCCCAAACCAAGCCTTACACCCAACAGATTGAAGGTGGATCGTGTACTTATTGCTATCAGTTTCAGTGCTTCGTATGCCTGTAGAAGCGAGTACACCTGTGATTTTAAAGTTGTTTTCTTGTGTATAGGTAGCTATGGTTGACTGGATGCTGCAAAGAGTATCTACTTCAGATGAGAATGATAAAGGGATGTTTTGCTGAGTTCGTCGTCGTTGTCGCAGTGATGGCATGCGTAGCGCGCGTAGTGCTAGTAGTCTGCGTGCATGTGCCATGAGAAGTCTAAGTTGCAGAAGAGTTGGTTTTCCCTTAAGCCCTAAACCGAGAAATCCTAAACCCGAAACCCTCATTCCTAAAACATTAAACCCTAAATCCTAAACCTTAAACCCGTTTTCCTAAACCCTGAAGAGCCCACGGTATAAAACAGAGCCCTCACTCGCAGCCTGATGCTCTGAGAAGCTTTCTCTCTGCCACCACATCGGCCCTCTTTACTCTGTAGAGCAGGCGCTTGGCCCTGAGTCAAAACAATTCAAACTCTTAACCCCGAATCCCAAACGCCTGCTATAGGACCGGAATGGTTGTCAGTACTGTTTGGTTGCATTCCTCGATATAGTTCAACTATAACATACCATACCCCAAACCAACCCTACTCTATTTTTTCGGTTTCTCACACCCTAAACCCCAAAAATCGTAACCCCCCGGCCGGCTCTGCAACAGACCTCCTGGCCGGGAGAGGCGTCCCCACCCTCGAAAACTTCTACCGCGGCCTTTTCAGGATCTCGAACCCTCTAAGTTCGTGGGCTTAGGGTTTAGGGGTGAGGGTTTAGCCGAGTCTCAGTTCCCTGGTCGTCGCCCTGTGCCATTTGTTTCGCCAGGGCTACATGATTGTAATCCTACCGGGACATGCCGACGCGTGCCAAAATAAGGGGATGTGGGGATGTTTCTGTCCGACTATGAGATGGCAGCACAGCATGTCACGAAGCCATACATGTCACTTTGGCTTTATTCCTCCAAGCCTTCGTAGAGACTCGATTTCGTTTCGTCAAGGCGCTCCCACGGGGTTCGCGAGTTGCAACGATGCGATGGTCAGGGTTTCGAGGTTTCGAGGTTTTGGGGGGTTGAGGGTTCATTGAGGGAGTGTTGCAGATTCGGTCGTCGGTTGTTGCAAAGACGACAGTACGACAAGAATAGAGAGAAGCTGTTGGTGCCAGTGTTTCTCTTGCTACCCACTTGCTCTCGAAGGTTGCTTTACAATAGCTACAATTAGGCGGAGTTGTACCGGTAGTCGTGACGATGATGATGACAGTGGTGGGACGACGGCGGCTACTCCCCTAAACCCTGAACCCCTAAACCCCTAAACCCTGAACCCTAGACCCTGCTGCTGTTGCCAGCTCTACTAGGCTTCTGTTCTTATCGCTGCCTTGTGTTGCCAATGGCCACCGACCACTGCTGGTGTCATTGGCTTCGTCCTTGCAAATTGATAATATAGGGGCCTCAATAATTGCCAATACTATTGTGGGGGTTCCTTAATTTGGTTACGGCATAATGTACCCCAAAACCCTATTCTAGTTATTAAGGCCCCTGTTTTTCTACTGCTCATTTCTGTTCGATGCTCGTATTCCCTTGGCTCATGACTTGTTACTGCTACACGCCGCAAGCTTATTCTGTTATTTTGACAGAGAGAGTATCGGCTTCTTCAAGCGTCTTCTGAGGGCTTTTGGCTAAGTCGAAGATCTCGCAGGTCAGGGTTTAGACGTCTAGAACTAGAGCTCCAGGGTTCGGAATCACGTTTCCGGTTCCCCCCATGCTTCTGATGCTGCTGCTGCTGCTGCCGGGACTGCGACTGCTTCTAGTAGCGACTGCTACTGCAGCTGCTGCTGCCGCTCCTGCTGCTGCTGTGCCTACCACGGCTTCTCTGCGACTACCACAACAGCTACTACCGCTACTGCAACTGCGACTGTTTCTATTGCTGTTGCTACTGCTACTGCTGCTACTACTACTACTACTACTACTACGACTACCACGACGACGGCTACTACTACGACCACTACGACCACTACGACCACTACTGCAGCCACTGCCCCGACCCCTACCGCTACCACTACCGCTACCGATATGTCCCGCCGCTACCGCTGCCGCTGCCACTACCGCTACCAATACCTGCGCCTCTAGCGCCGAAATCCTCAACCACTCGAATCCCAAGCCTGTGCTATGTTAAACCCAAAACCCTAAACCCTAAACCTTAAAACCCTAAACCCGAAACCCTGGACCCAAAACCCTAAACCCAAAACCCAAAACCCAAAACCCTAAACCCTAAACCCAAAACCCAAAACCCTAAACCCTAAACCGTCACGGTTTGGGAATGGGACGTTAAAAGCTTCCACGCTCCTCTCTCAAAGCTCGGCCCTCGACATGACATTCGAACTTCTTTTTTCGACATCCTTCCTCAGAGCTAGCTACACATACATAGAGGAATATATATATGTGTATATATATATATATACACATTCATATGTATGTACAGAGACCCCAGCTAAGCACGCCGAGCTCCCAACGCCGCTTTAGGGCCATGTCCTTCTGGTGCTCGGACTGCGGCGCGAGCTTTGCACCCAGAGATTTGTGCTAACAAGAAAGGAGGGTTTTTAGGGTTCAAGTGTCGTCAGGAGAGGTTGACATGTTTGTAGATCTGGCTCATCGGGAGGCACTTCAGAGAGACCTCGTTCAAAAAAGGTTTAGGACACTAAGAGCCCAGCTGCACAGGGTTTAGTGATTATCAAGAAAGGAAGGAAGTAGAGAGGGCCCTCGAAAGGTTCCTCGAAGGTTCCAGAGGGGTTCCCGCAAGGGTTTCAAAAGGGTGGAGCCTTAGAGTGTTTGGGTTTCAATTCAAGGTTTTTGCGCGCAGGGTTCAGCGTTTGGGGTTTGCTGACTTCAGGGCTTAGGGCTTCGGTGTAGGGTAAGGTGTCAAGACTCCGAACTTTCGTCTTCAGGATGTTCTCTAGATCAGCTTGCTCGGAGAGACCAATACTCCTTAATTGAGGGATATACCTTCAATCATAGTATTACGTAAGGCCTCTTTCATTTAAGGTATATTCCTTGATTAAGGGGTATTGAGTTCTCTGGGTGCCTTGCGCAGGCATAACCGTAATATTACGAAAACTTTGTCATAGTTGGGTAACATTTTGGATTTTATGGGTACTTAAACCCAATCAGGAATAAGAATGTAAATTTTTAGTCCTATCCCAACAATGAACCAAAGTTACCCAATACCAAAAAGAGAGGCCTTTTTATTCTTAGGTTACTGGGTATCCTAGGTAATATTACGAAGTTGTCAGTCTGGGGCCCACTGGGCCTCAACCTCTGAAGCCCTAATGCCGAATATGAAAGCCCGAATAACACCAACATTGGTCGTTAGGGTTCTTGAACACAGAATATATATATATATACATATGTATATATATATATACACACATCTACACATACACATACACATACTAGCAAGAGTAACAATAGTAACAATAGCAATAAACATCATGATATAGCAAAAAATGGCTATGGCTCAAGCTACTCTACGGCTCAAGACAGAAAGGCTCAAGCCGTACTCCAGGTTCTAAAGTCCTCTAGTCTGGGCTCTTGCTATGGCTGGATTGGAAAATGGTGACTTGCTTCCTTCTTCTCCTGTCGTTAGTCCTGATAGCAAACGGGCCAGAACACAGACGGAAAACGAAGAGGGAGATCGTGATCTTGAACTTGTGCCTGAACTTCCAGATCTCACCACCAAGTCTGATGACAAGGCTGCTTTAGTCCAATCTGGTGCGCCAGAGTGGGCTCTTGCTTTCATGAACTCCTTAGACAATAAGATGGATCGATGTTACGGTTTGATGATGGGGTTTCATGAACGCTTGAATCGCATGGAGCAAAGACCAATTCCGGACGAGGTGGAGGAACGTTTCCGCAAGTTAGAAGGGATGATTCAACAGGTGCAACAACAAGCTGGCGCTTCCAATGCTCAGCCCGCCATCACATCCTACAAATCGGTGCCACCGCCTACGCAAGCTCCCGTAAATCATGGTCCGACTGGCTATGGGATTGGATCTACTATGCCTTCTTCCATGCTTACGAACTATAATCACCTCATCGCGGGGGGATGGGATGATGGCACTAAGAGGGACATCATTCTCCAGAATGCCCAAATGATCTTTGAAAAGCTCCAGCCTTCTGTGCGGCCTACTGAATGGGTTGTGTTTGGTAGTCGTAACTCCACCTGCCACATCCATCTTCCAGAGCTGCCACAAAACGAAGGCCTTCAGCGATTCCAGCTCATCAAACAGCAGATCCACGAGAAGTACCCCGCCGCTTCATCTACTTCACGGTGCATGTGGATTACCGCCAGTAAGCCCAAAGAGGTCAGACTACGCAATAGACGAACTATGAGAGCACAGGAAAAACTTCATCACCTTCTTCAATCTTTGGGTTCCAAGCTGGAGCTGGAGGTTCAATGGGGTCGTGCATTGATTTGGCTTGATTGTAGACGAGCTGCCTCAGCAGAACCGTCCCAACTTCTGGCTGATGCATCTTCACGGATCCTTGCCTTGTCTACTGACGATAGCCAACCTGGGATGCTCTATCACTTCAACCTCTCTGCAATCTCTGCGCTCACAGGCGAACCTGAGGACAGGGTGGAGCGAGCACTCTTTGGTGGTCAGTGAACTGCCCCGTCAAGCATGCCAAATTCGCAATTTTGCCAACCTCGTGTGCAACCTCTTCAACTTTGTACTTGGAATCTCGCTGGTAAGCCTGTTTCCTCTGGGGTGGACCTTGTCTTTGAGGATCATTATCCTGAAGTTCTCATGTTCCAAGAGGTTGGTGGTGCGCTTCTATCTGGGTCTGAACTTGACTCACAGAAGCCTCATGATGGTATTGATTTGCCCCCGGGTACACGGGAGGTGTTTTTTGATGACACACACGAGCTTTCCCACTTTCGAGTCTTCGCTGGGGATTGTGAGTCTTATCTGTCACAAGTGATTGCTATTGATGGCGCTATTGTGGATCACATTCAGGCCGTCCATCTGGGTAAGAGATTTTTGGCAGTTAGGTTCACGCATCTCTGTGCTAAACTTGATGTGCTTTTGATTTCACTTCATTTTCCTCATTCTGGTGCTTCTGAAGACAATTACATGCATGCCGTGAACGATCTTACAAACTTTATTCAGCTTTATCCTCGTTACGTCACTTTAGTGGGTGGTGACTGGAATGCAGAGCCTTCTCAGCTTCGCTTTGATCTTTGTTCAACGCCCTTGTCCCTACTTGGAGCCGAATTCCATCTTCCGCAAAGTCCTACCAGGATTGGGGTTCATTCTCAACGAACCTATGACTACTTCTCCAGCTTCAGACTCGGCACATATGGAGCTCCTGAGGGTGATGCCTTTAATCTCGGTTCCTCGGAGCCTGACGACCCTGATAACCGTCCGCGGGCCATCAACAATTCTGGAAAAGAGCTGGGGTCTGATCATGAGTTGGTATTGTGGGATGTCCTGGTGCCTCTTCCCCATTCTGCCTCTTCTTCTTCACGGCGTTCTTGGTCTAAGGGCCGATTGCAATGCAAGAAGTGGATGGTTAACCCAACCCTGATTCAACGTGATGACTTCCTCAAGGGCTCTATTGAGCAGTACGATCTTTCCCAGCAATGGCAGTGCATATTGCGGATCGCACGGCAAGCCTCCTATCCCATGCCCTCCAAAAAATACAAAGATTCGACTTTCCTGAAGAACCTATGCTCACAGAGGAGATCCTGTGCTGACCCTGAACAGCGTGCGAGTCTTTCCAAGATGATTTTGGCATGTCGTAGACTGGAGCGGGACATGTGGTGTCAACAACTTCTCCGAACTGCTGCTGGCAACGATTATACTGCCGTTCGTAAGTCTTTATCACTTGAGAAGCCTAAGGCTGTCTTTGATGGGGCTTATTCTGCGTATGGTGGTAAACAGTGCTTTGATGATGCAGTCGTTTCTCATATCAAGGCCAAATTTGGTACTACGTCCCTGCCCTCTAATGCTGGTCCGTCTTCACAGTCGGTAGGTACAGATGTGCAAAGTAGCCGGGCGGACGCCAAGCCTTTCACGCAGGAAGAGGTTGTGAGTCGCATACATGCCTTGAAATCTCAACGCACTGCTGGAATCTCTGGGCTATCAGCTGATTTCATCAAGGTCTACACCCTGACGCCACAAGGACTCCAGGATGTGGTATGCATTCTCAACTCCATGCTTTCTAAAGGGGCTTTGTCAGAACAGAGGCTGGCTGTCATGATGTTGGCTCCCAAAGTGTCCCAGGTGATTGGACCCAAATCTTTACGCCCGTTGTCAATGATGGAGTCCATGCATAAACTGTTTATGTCCTTGCTTGTCACTCGATTACAAGCATCCTGGCAGCCGCCAAAACACCAATTTGGTGGCTATACAGGGACACAATTCCTGGATTCCCTCTTTGTGGCTACCAACAAGCTTAATCGAGAAGCCCTTGCTGAAGATGAACACATTTGGGTATCTGCTGATGTTGAGGGTGCTTTTGATTCTGTATCGTGGGATGCGATGCGTCGTGCCCTTTATTCCTTCACCCCACTTGAGCGACATTCTGAACTGGAAGTCTTGCTGTGCGAGGTCCAAAGTTATCGAGTCTCGTTGACTTGGCAAGGCTCTGTCACTGACATACCGCTCAAACGGGGTGTGCTTCAGGGTGGTACCCATTCCTCACAAACGTTTGCCGCTGTTCTTGAGCACCTATTTCGGGGTCTTCATCAACAATGGGCGCGAGAATTCCCCAACCTCATCGATGCGTGGGTGTACATTGACGACTGCCTTCTGAGGTTCAAGAATTGGCGCACCTTGAAGGACTCACTACCTTGGATCCTGCACCACTTCGCTGCCTACGGTCTCCAATGGAATCTGGCCAAAACCACACTGGTATCAACGTCTGCCAAATTGAGGGAAGGTAAGCTCGTGTGCAGTGAAGATGATCTTGTTTCCAAGTTAACATGGAGTACTTCGTTCAAGTACCTGGGGTGTTCACTTCAACATCCGGCCCTTTACGGTGCGGATGGTGACACAATTACCGACTTCCTCGTTCCCCAATGTCTCGCAATGGTGAGAGGTGGGATACACGCCATGCGTAGCATCCTCAAGCATTGTCATTGGTCCAGAATCCACACGGGACTTGCACTGTTTGACAGGTACATCTCCTCAAAATGGCTTTGGATGTGTGCCTTACTGGAGCCGCTACGAAAACACTTGGACTGTCTTCAAACCCTACAACACACGGTGATGTGCAATGTGCTCAAGCTCTACATACCTACTTCATTATCCCAGTCCTGTGCTTATGCACTGAATCGTGTCAGACGTCGTGCAGTACGGGAGCTCTTACGTACACATCCCACACACAGAGCGTGGACGGTGACCTGGGTACAGCGGAGGTGGTCTTACTATGGACATTTGCTCCGACGGGATGCCGCGCACCAGGCACGACGAGAACTGCTCCAACCAATTCAACAACATAGACCTGGAAGGGCCTCACTTCCGCAACGATGGATAATCCAGTGCCTTCGTCATGCTCTTAGATGGCCGGATCTGGACTGCATTCACCTGCCCAACCTCTATTTCACCAAAAACGAATGGGATGCTTTCCTACCTTCTGTTCTTGAGCAACATGGATTGAATGACTGTCGAGCCTCCCCCACTTTAACCAGTGATACCTGGAATTCTTGGCGTCATCCTGCACAAATCGAAGTGGGTTGGTTTTGGTCGGTGTGGGTTTGGGAGTCCGACGGCCGTCTGCAGTTCAAATGGTTGGACAAAGAACATGGATGGATGCAATTGGGCATGGAGTTACCGGCACTGAGGGCCTTGACTCGATTTCTGCAGTACCTGCCTCTGGCTGCTTCTAATCGTGGTATGCCTTTCGCACTGATGCTCCATACGGCCTCTGATGCATGCTTTATGCCCCATTTGTTGACGTCGTTGCAAGGCAGCGTGTTTACACAGCTTCCCATTCTTTTGTTTGAGCAAGTCCCGCCTAATTGGGTCAATCGTGTGCAGAGTCTTTAGGCCTGTGGTGGTTTTGTTGTGTCGAACAACGACATAACGGCTTGCTTCTTCGCGGCATGATCGACTCGAGTCCGTGTGAGAGAGAGAGAGAGCATTATAACGTGGCACAGAACTCGCTCTGATAATTACAGGCCCCTAGAAAATTCGTGAAGCACCCGACGGTTCGGCTTAGTGGACAGTTTAGAGGCTAATGCAGAGTTCCGAAGAACGTTAGGGGTACTATGAAATCTTTTAATCTTTGGTTCCTGTATTCCTTAAGAAACAGCTAAAATCACAATTTTTGCTAGGGGTCTAAGTTCAGTATAGGAACCATGAGTAGAGTAAACAATAAATCAACACATGTAAGTAAGTACATAATAAGTGCATACAAACGTGTACACATGTATACATTGCTTTATAGTCCTTATACAGTTATGCCATAGTATGCCCCCAGACTTTGTTGTTGTCAGCCCTGCGAGCTTTGTGGAGGTTGTAGAAAATTAAACCCGAATCGGCTTTCAACCCTTAGCAATAGTCCTCGAACCCAAGCTCTGACATTCAGAAAAGCCCGTAACCTCTGCAATGCGGACCCGCAAACCGGACAACTCCTGATCTAAACCGACCCCCTCAACAGGCCCTTCGGACGATGAGGAGGACGAGGAGGAGGGGGAGGAAGCAGGGACGCCCGGGCACCGGGGGTAGAGTGTAGAGCCGTGTACAGTGAGTTGTTTATGGGCCCTGGCATTTAGGTGGGATCGCTTGCAACAAGCGTGGTTATAGCTTGGTAAAGGACTTCCAGAAGGGCTCAGAAGGGTTGTATAGACTCTACAGGCCCCATTCGGGTTTGCCAGGGTCGTGCAAGGGGATACGCGGGTTTCGTGGGTTTAGGGTTTGGCACTAGGATCCGGGGCTTTAGGGTGTAGGGGTTTCGGGGTGTGGGGTTTGCGGACATGGGAGTTTTCGAGAATTAGGGACCCCGATATGGTACCCTAAATAGTAGGACCCTTATTATAAGGACCCCAAAATAAGGTACACCTCATCTTCGGAAACTCCCATGTGTGCCAGTGCTGTTCAGGGCTCAGTTGCTAGGGCTCTGGTGTGGAACTTGTGTTGGCAAGCATTAGCAGCAGGTAGAAGTAGAAGTAGCAGTAGCAGTAGCGTCAGCAGCAGCAACAGTAGCAGGAGAACCGAAGCAGCGGTGGTCGCTGGTAGAAGTAGCTGTGGAAGTAGTAGTAGTAGTAGTAGTAGTAGTAGTAGTAGTAGTAGTAGTAGTAGTAGTAGTAGTAGTAGTGGTAGTGGTAGTAGTAGTAGTAGTAGTAGTCGTAGTCGTAGTCGTAGTCGTAGTCGTAGTAGTAGTAGTAGTAGTAGTAGTAGTAGTAGTAGTAGTAGTAGTCGTAGTAGTAGTAGTAGTAGTAGTAGTAGTCGTGGTGGTGGTGGTGGTGGTGGTTATAGTAGTAGCAGCAGCAGCAACAGCAGCAGCAGCAGCAAGAACAGTGGGAGTCTTCGTAATTACCCTTGTCGTTGCAGTGTCGGTCGGGGCCACAGGCACATCAGGGCAGGTTCATGGTAACCACGTTGACAACAGAAGAAGCTATGATGTACAGTGTGCTAGGGTCGTCGTCCCCATGGTAGCCGCGGTAGGCGTGCTAATCAATGCAGCAGTGGCAGAGCTAGGGGAAGGAACAGCAACAGGAAGACCGACCAAACGACCCTGAACCCAAAACCCTTAGGCCTTAGGCCCTAGAGTACCTGAAGTGTGGGAGGCAGGCTGCAGGGGAAAAGGCCGATGCACCTTAACCAAAAAAAACTTCAGCCCTAAAGGCAATTTCAGGAACAGCTTTCTGTTCCCTGCCCGAACCGACGGGCTTTGACACGAGCCAAGCCTCCATTTTTTGAGATGATATTGCTATCATGCCATACTGTTTTTGCTAACATGACTGTTATTATGATTACGGTTACGACTATAAGCAATGTTCTTTTCTTTGTCATTTTTTTACCACCTACCACTCCTTATTACTGCTACTGTTTTTATTGCTAGTGTCGCTACTCGTAGTGAGGTGGTGCTTAGCGTCTACGATGTGTCGCACAGTGAGAAGATCCACCTGGTGCCATCCCAAGCTTGGAACCCCTTGGCGGGATAACCTACTATAGGGTTGGGGGTTCCTGATCATAAAAAAAAGTATAATGGGCCCCGAAACCCTATTCTAAGTCTTAGACCCACGCTTAATTACGGTAAACCCCAGAAAGTTGGAAACCGGACGAAGGCCAAATAGTGCTGGGATTCCCTATACACTACTCTTAGGGATTGAGGCTATTGGGTTTCCAACTTTTTGGCTTCTACTGTAGGTCCCCACTACCTAACCTTTAAGCTTTTCGGGCTCTTATAGTTTAGCAGGAATCGGAAAGTTTTAGCCTTTGTTTGAGTGGCTTATTCGGGTAGTAAGTGGGCTTTTGGTGTACTTGGAGGTTCAGGGGTAGGTATTAGTGGGGTTACTGTAGGGTTTTAGGGTTGACTATAGGGCCTTATAATTAGAACAGGCTTTTGGAGCCCATTATACTCTATCTATAATAAGGAACCCCACAAAATGGTATCGATAATTCTTTAGGCACAAAATAGTATCGATAATTCTTTAGGCCCCTACAGTAGGGTTTCGGGTTCAGGGCTTTTGGGTTCAGGGTTCAGGGCTTTGGGTTTAGTGTCTGGGTTTGGTTTTGAGACAGGCTTTTGGTGAGTTGGGGAATCTAGGCTTCAAGACTTCGGCTAGCCTTTGTGCCCAATGCTAACCCCCAAAAATGAGCTGCAAATCGTAAATCTTAATCCTTGCAAAGCTGTAAACTACGAAGCGCCACCACAGAGCCTTCTGAACCCTGTACAGGCCTGACAGCCCATAGAACCAGTAACAAAGGAGTCGTGGCACCCGGTAAGCCACAAGCAGCGTTCGTCAGTGTCAGTCTCTGTTATCTGGTTGCTGGATGTAAGAAGTGAACGGGTTCGGGCTTTCGGGTTTGGTTGGCACTTGTAGTTGGTGTCGTTGACCGTTGGCATAGACCGTTGGGCAGTCTCATCGCTGGGAGCAACAGATTTACGGGAACCATGGGTCCCTTTGCCGGAGTGTTTCATAGTGTTTAGGGTCTAGGGTTTAGGGTTCATAGTGTTTATCACGTCGAAGCATACACCACGGAACGCCAAAAGGATTTGGAAGTAATTATATGCAAAACTACATCACGTGTGATTTTTTTATTGGTGCGAACATAATACTACCGATATATTGTGCCCTCATGTGAAGGCGGCCCTCAAATGCTGACGTGCTAGTTTTAGGTGTTACAGCATCAAGACCCTCAGCTGAGGGCCTTGTGAACCCAACAACATTTTGCAAGTCCTCACGGGTTTCTTGGCGTGGGACCTTTTGGTGGGCAAATTTCAGCGTAGGTTCGGGCCAAAAAACTTGTGGTGTCTGTGTAGCTTTGGGCTTGAATCCTAAGACCCTGAACCCTAAAACAAAGCACCCTAAACCCTAAACCCTGAACCCTGAACCCCTAACACCCTGACACCCTCATACCCTAAAACCCTAGACCCCCAAAACCCGCCCCTTGACCGGAAGCTGAATCTCGGCGAACCAGTAAAAAACCTAAACATCTGGAATACGCCGAGGATAACTATGAGAATCACCCGAACCCTGTTGGAAACGGTAAACTCAAGCCAAAAAAATTCCAAACCCTAAACGCCAGGACGAGAGTACATAGCAGTTCTATGTTTTGACGACGGGCTCGTGCAGCCTAGTCATCCCACTCAGCATAGCCTAGCCCAGCTCAGCTGCAATCTCAGTGCCGGCCCCTGCTTCGCCCCCGCCGACTTTTACGGGAAAACTTCGGTCAAAACTATCGGTCAAGACTTGCGGTCAAAACGTTGCGGCGGCCACGACCCTATGCAAGCTTCTACGAACCCCAAAGCCACTAAACCTAAAGCAGGCCTGGCGCCTCCTGCAGACTCAGAAAGGGGGCCCTGAGGAAGCTAAGCCCAGGCGAACGACGTGCTGCACAAGCTCGGAACTGGCATCTTCCATGCGGCAGTACAGGTTTGGGGTCGAGGGTTTAGGGTTTAGGGTTTAGGGTTTAGGGTTTAGGGTTTAGGGTTTAGGGTTTAGGGTTTAGGGTTTAGGGTTTAGGGTTCAGCTCGCCAAGGGTCTTTTTCGGGGGGTTGTGAGGCTTACAGTAACAGGTTTTGGGGGTCGAGGGCTGCAGGGCTGAGGGTTTTTGAAAGGTTACCATACTAATATAATACTAATAGCAATATTCATACTAATATAGTACTAATAGTAGTACTAATACTATTATTAAATGGGCTTCAACGTGATTTTCATCATTCCTTCTTGAATGGGTTTCTAGCGCCGTTGTTTCGGCTGCAGCACTGGCAAGGCTTTGTCAACATCATAATCGCAAGAAGGGGTCGTTTATTGCTGAGGGATTGATGTGCAAGGAACTTCCCATCTCAAAGGTTTTTTGTTCTCGTAGCAGCCCTGACCATCGTATACAACCATAAGGCCTTAAACCCCGAATGCTTAGAGACCCCAGAGCCAATTTTTGACGGTCCCCGAGCTGGTCATGATGCCCTAAGCTCTAAACCCTAACTAAACCCGAAACCCTCGAACTCTCACCGGTTGTTTTCTAACATTCAGCAGACCTCGAACCATATGCCTCGCCTGGATTGTCCGAGTGCGGGGCGCCGAAACCCCAAGGGAATCTTTACTTAGAGGGTCATGGGACTTAGTAAGTAGGGTTAGAAGTAAGGTAACTATAGTTCTATCTACTTATAACCCCAATTAAGGTACTCATAACCCTACTTACTAAGTCCCATGATCCTCCAAGTAGGCTTTGGGCTTTCAGCCGGGGGATTCTAGTCTTGGTGCATTGCAGTCCCTGGGTCCCAAGAAGGCGCTTTTTCGGTTTAGGAGTTTGGGAGTGGGGTTAGGGTTTCCCGGCTGACAAGATCGGCTTTGGGGATGAGGGTGGCTTGAAGTTGGCGGCTTTCGTTTCTTGGGCTTGTCAGGTCTGCGGGCTCGCGATGCGGGCTCTTGGCATCTGGTATAAAGCTTGGCTTCGGTGTCGTCTATACCTACACAGATTCAACATTGAGGCTTCAGGCACCTCTTGAGTTTCATACATCAGACCCTAAACCCTAAACCCTAGACACCGCAAGAGTCCCTAATCCACCCATGCTGGGAAGCAGCGAAGCCCTGAAGACTAGATTTGACCAGGCCCCTTTCTTAATTCCAAGGGTAAAAGGAGGGACCTTCATGAGGACCCCTAGGTATATACGCGTAATATAGCGATTATAGCCCATTATAGGGTAGGGGTCCCCATTAAGGGTCCCTCCTTTGCCCCTTTGATGAATATCCTCCCTGGTCTGAACTTGGGGCCGCTTGAAGGTCTATGGCAAAGAGTGGAGCTACGGAAAAACGCATGGCCGCGAGCCACAGTTGAGAATGGGGTTGAAGGTCAGACTGGGGTTGAAGGTTTGGGGTTTAGGGTTTAGGGTGGGGTTGGGGGAAAGATTTAGGGTGTAGTGGCGCAGGGTCTAGTGTTCCGGTGGTTGCGGCGTAAAGTTTCGGGTCGTGTGTTGCATGAAACGAGGCTCTTGTAAGTTCGCTCGTTCAGCTGCTGAATCTGCGGGCCGATCGTACTAATTAGGGCGCGAAGCTCCAGTCATGTATTTATTTAGGTAGAAACTGTTCGTGGGGCGAGGTTTCAAGTCACGAGTGCTCTGGAGACCTGCGATCCCGATACGCAAGCATCTAAGGCTTGGGTGTACGCACCGAAAACTGCCTTGAAACCTTAAAGTCTCACACAAAACCTTGAAGTCTCATGCCCTTGAATCCCAAAGACTGTTCTATACCTCACCCCGAGGTACCTCGCATGCTAAGGCGACTGTCCGCGTTTTGTATCCGGCCCCAACCCGAAACTGCTAAATCGGCCCATGCCCCCTTGAAGCACGAAGCGCCTCTGACGCGAGCCGCTCCGGAAAATTTCTTCCCTCACGCCCAGAGGAAACCTTCTGAAATACTTTGATTTTGATTTCCAACAGGGCTCAGTTTGAGTTCGCTGATGCTCCATGTTGGTTTAGGGGAGTCGTCTGTCCAGACTTGTGATCGCCAAGGGCCGAGCACGGGCATCTTCAGCTGCCACCCGAGAGGGTGCAAGGCGCCTTGGAGCGAACATAGGGGCCCTAAACAGTTTCAGGTGTTCCGTATCTATCGTCATATTCTACTGTAATATACGCCGGAAGATACGCCATAATATCCCCAAATCGAGAACCCCAAACCCCTCCAGTTCATGACATGACTTTGGGGTTGAACAGATGTGCCAGGTGGTTAGCAACCGGTGTCAGAGTTTTGCAGTCGGGTCCATGTGGGAGTTTCCGAAAATAGGGGACCCTAATATAGTTTTACATAGTAGGCTGCTCTTGGCCAAGAGCTTTGTCGTACGTACCAGAATCGCCGGCAGGCTTGTTCCATGTGCGTGTGCTGAAATCCCCAAGCGCTAATCTGAAAAACTGTCGGTATCGAAAATGTATTGCTATCGGTCACCAATTGGGCTTGGTAGTACCGTATCAGTGTGAGGCTCGTTACCATGTCATTGCTGTCGGTGCTGTTTTCGCGGTTACTGTCATGAACTGTCTCACTGTTATCTCATGATTGTTACTGTCGAATGCCCTTTGTCGTTGCTGTTTGTTTTGTTCCACGGTTAATACTGAACGAGTTTGAAGATCTTATCGAGCGAAAGCAAAATTTCCAACCAACATGCACAAGAGCGCACACACACAAACACAGAGACACGCCCCAACCAACCACATAACAAAGAGCACAGTGCCACAACTGTGCCACAACTCCCCCAAAACCTAATCCTTAACGGCCCTAAACCCTAAACCCTAAACCCTAAACCCCAAAACCTAATCCTTAACGGCCCTCAACCTAAACGGCCTGTGAGCGAGTGCGTGCGTCGAAACTTAAACGGCCCGAAAGCATATTTTCCACCCTGTCGGTGCCCTACACCCCTACTTGGAGGGTTATAAGGACCTTAATTGGGGTTATAAGTAGATACAACTATAGTTACCTTACTTATATAACCCTACTTACGAAGTCCCATGATCCTCTAAGTAGACCCCTAAACCCCTAAACCCCTGAACCCTAAACCTATCAGACTTCGAAGCACATGCCTCGCCTGGATTGTCCGAGTGGGAGCACCGAAACCCCAAACCCCAAACCCCTAACCCCTAACCCCTAAACCCTAAACCCTAAACCCTAAACCCTAAACCATAGCTCGGCAAGGCCCACAACTTCAGGGAGTCGGTCCAGATGGGCAAGACGCGCCCCGGGCCCACCGGGAAAAGGGGGGGCTGAGCCGAGGGGGCTCTTGCACGGGTCCCGTTTAAAGGGATGTTTGAGGGTTTAGTGTTTTGGGATGCCTGGGGGAAAAAAGAGGGGTTAGTAGTTTGGGGTTCGGGGTTTGGGATCGGAACTATCTGGGTTTCTATAGGGTTTCGATGAGGGTACTGGCTGGGTAGTTCTCTAAATTAGGGTACCTTTAACTGTTTGTAAGGGTGCTGTACTATCTTCGGGACCGAAAAAGGACCCTAATTTCGAGAACTCCATATCATCCTTTGTAATCTTCCTCATAGTCCCTATATTACTTAAACTGTTCAGCTAACTGGATTAGCTCGCGGTCGAAGTGCAAGCTTCCTGAACGGTTGCGAAGGCTTAGAGAGCTCCCGCAAGTCTCAACAGCACTAGCATCATTATACGCACCCAGATAGGTACTAGTCGCAACATCGCAACATCTGCAACAGCAACACTTGCAACAAGCGAAGATCTCAATAATCACATCGAGACCATAGAGACACTGTAGCGACGATATTTCCTACACATACAACACCCTACCGCGCAGCAGTGGGAACTGTACTATAAGGACGCCCACCCATCTTCGACAATGGTCAGATCTTCCATCATTGCTGATCTGATCATGTCGGCGAGAAAACGTTCGTATCTGTTTTGCAAGAACTAAACCCTAAACCCTACACCCTGGATCCTGCGAGACGGAAAAGGGTCGTGCAAAAAAAACCCTACACCCTAAACCCCTAAACTACAAACCCCTACGCCTTAAACCCTAAACCCCTAGAAACCTCAAACCCTAAACCTCTAATCCCTAAACCCCCAAAAACCCCAAACCCCCAAACCCTAAACCCTTAGCCCTAGATCCGAAACCCTAAACCTCTAATCCCTAAACCCATAATCCCAAAACCCCCAAAACACCCCAAACCCCTAAAGCCTGAACCTGTAGTCGCCAAAATGGAAACTTTTGTTCCAGGTCAAGTTAACTTAGGAATAAATAAGACCAATTAAGTATTATTACTTTTGTAATTACTACTACTACTACTACTACTACTACTACTACTACTACTACTACTACTACTACTACTACTACTACTACTATTACTACTACTACTACTACTACTACTACTACTGTTACTATTATTGTTGTTATTGTAATTTGTATTTGAACCCTAAACCCTGAACCCGATCTCCAGGCCCTGGAAGTCTTTTTTGCCCAGGCCTCACGGAGGAGGAAGTGAATGCGACGATTGAGTCGATGAAGCCGGAATGGCCCGGGCTGTGCCCTCATTGAGGGAGGGTTTAGGGCTTTTGGGAGAGAACGCCTGGCGTTGCGAGTGCTTGAGAGAGAGAGAGAGAGAGAGAGAGAGAGAGACAGAGAGAGAGAGAGAGAGAGACAGAGAGAGAGAGAGAGAGAGAGAGAGAAAAAACTGCGGGAGAAGAAGAAGACAGAGCGAGAGAGAGAGAGCGAGATAGGGAGGGATGGTCTTTTACAGGTACTGGTTTTGAAGCTCAGCAGGTGTCATGAACGGGGTTTCAAGGCCGGCGGTAAGACCATGATCTAGATCACCAGGGTACCTTCAACTTACCCCTAAGGGCTAGTGGTTCAGGGTTGAAGGATCTCGTTCTCCCACGGTGAGTTATGTAGGGGACTTATGTTTGAGGCTTTGGGGTTCGATTTTTTTTCCAGATTGTAGGGTTTGAGAGATGTAGGCCTTGGGGTTTGGGGCTCTTCTTTGCAGACGCTTTCGTATTCGAAGTCTTTTGCGTGGACACTTTTCCGATGCTTTTCTTCTAAATCTAAAGTTTGAAGTCAACCCCAAACCCTTGTCCCAAAGCTGGGTAGCATAGCCTTCCAAACTGTTCGAAATGAACCCCCTGAGCCTTGTTCCAGTCCTTAAGGCCCCTTCCTCTTGGGAGTGTCCTAAACCCTCAAACCCTAAACCCATGCAGTTGTTTCGATCAATCCTATGACTGGCCCTTTTAGCATGTTTCACATTGTCAGACTCCGAACCATATGCCTCGCCCGCTTTGTCCGAGTGTGAGCGCCGAAACCCTAAACCGAGTAGGCGGCAAAAACACTGAACCCTAAACCCCGAGCCTGATTGCAGTCATTGAGGGCCTTAACTCTAACTTCGCTTTCTTAAAGTAAGTTCTCGATAGAGATCTTCTACGAGCTGGTATTTTTGAGAAAGATGGGTTTGGGGTTTGCGTTTTTGGGATTAGGGGTAGTGATCTCATAGACTTGAGCTCAGCTGTAAAAAGGCCTTAGCGTTTCGGGATCCTGACTGCCCAGGCGGGAGTATGAATTGCTCCACCTCAACTGTACGCACTTCTCCGACGAATTCTGCAGACGGTGGGGTGGGGATTTGCGGCACCTCAGCTCAGAAACCCGAAACCTATTTCCTTGAGCCTCAAAGCCTAAGCCCAGTTGCATCATTACCCTTAGGGGGGTAGGGGGAAGGGCTAGGGGGCCTTAATGCTCATAATAAGGGTTTAAAAAGGCCTATTTACGGAAGTATAGTCCCCTACCCCCTCCCCTACATCAGTTCCACTTTGCATTTCCTGCTCGTCGTTTCTCAACTTGCGCGCTTGCAAACTCGAGCCTTGAATCTGTTCATAATATAGGGGCCGAAATTATTACCCATACTATTTTGGGGTTCCTTTTTATACTTATAGTCTAAAGGGCCCCAAGACCCTATTCTAATTGTTAAGGCACCTACATAAATTCAAGCTTTCGTTCGTGCTCCAAGCTTTCGGGAAGTTTGAAACATCACAGCATTGGAACTCTCAAGCTCCGTGTCTTGCCGTCGTTCGTTTCAGACTCTGAAAATTTCCAACCGTGGAAATTTTCAACCTTTCCAACTTTCCAGCTTTAAATTTCGGGCTCCTCGAGCTTCCACAGTCCAGCCTCGTAGGTCGGCCAAAAAGTTTACGAGAGGGGCTTAAATAGTTTCCAATACTATTTTTGGGGCTCCTTATTATAATGAAGTATAGTGGGCCCTAAAACCCTATTCTAATGACTCAGGCCCCTAATATGAGCCCTACTCTTATAGATCCCTGATAGACCCCTTTAAGGAAGCCCTTAAAGGGAACCCTATTCTAATCATTACGGCTCCTTACTCTGAAAGATCCCTTATAGGCCGCGTTAAGGAACACTTTGAATGGGAGCACTATTCTGATTATTAAGGCCCCTATATGGGAGTTTCCGAAAATTCAGGGACCCTAAAAAAGTACCCTAAATAGTAGGATCCTTATTATAAGGACCCAGCATAGGGTACCCCTAATTTGCGGAAGCTCCCATGTTAAACCCTTCAGCACTCCGAACGCAGCAGGTTGGGTCTGGAGAGGATTCCGGCGTGGGTCAGGCGGGGGTCTTCTGATCTTTCCACAAGGGTCCAAAGGATCCAAGAATCAGGTGCTCAGTTTTAGGATAGTAGTTATGTAGGTACCCCAAACCCTAAACCCTTAAACCCTAAACCCTAAACCCTAAGGATTTTGGAGAGTACATGATGATTGGATACTTGGACTTAGGGTCATGGGGCTTCAGAGGCTTGATTTTTTTTTGGCTTTCGGGTTTAGGGTTTTGGGGTTTAGGTTTTTTTGCGTTTAGGGCTTCATGGTGTGGGGCTTCGGGTACAGGGTTTAGGGCCTTACCTGTAGAGTGCAGCAGTTTGGGTCTGGGTTTCAAGATTTTCTTGAGAGGTTTCGGGGGATTCGGAGCATTTCAGGCCGTTGGTCTCCGGTTTTACGGGTTGAGGTGTAGAGCTTGGGCTTTCAAGTTTCTCAGAAGCCTAAATACTTACTTAGACCCCCAATACCTAACCTTTAACCGTTTTTGGTTCTTATAGTTTAGTAGGACGGAAAGTTTAACCTTTTAGTAAGTTTAGTCCGGGTATCCTACTCAAAACCACATTTTTTTCGGCCTCACTATTCGGCTTGGGGATGGTGGGTCCACTCTTCATCAGATGGCGAATGTTGGAAACCATTGGGGGATCTACAGGGTTCGGACTGTTCGGAGTTTGCTGTCCGTGAAGCCTACCTCAAGATTTAGGACTGTTGAGTTTGGCGATCTTCAGGTCTAGAAGGTGTGCTGCAGGGACTACCCCTAGACCCTAAATCCTAAACCGTAAACCCCTAAACTCTAAACCTTAAACCCCTAAACTCTAAAGCTTAAACCCCTAAACCCTACACCTGAAACCCCTAAACTCTAAGCTTAAACCCCTAAGCCCTAGACCTTAAACCAAGAGGAACCTGGCCCCAGCGGGTGCCTTCTGCACCGGAGGTGCCACCTCGGGCCTTGGGCTGGACTTCTTTGGAGAAGTGAGGGGTTCCTTAAAGGGTTCCTTAAAGGGATTCTTAAAGGGATTCTCAAAGGGATCTATAAGGAGTTAGGGGGTTTAGGGGTTAGGGTTTAGAGTTAAGGGTTTAGGGTTCAGGGTTTAGAGTTTAGGGTTTAGGGCTTTAGGCTTTAGGGGTTTGGAGTTCAGGGCACGAGTGCGATGTGCTTGGGGGTTCTGGCCGGGCGAGCACTAATCAGCCTGTGGAAAGGGGGTTTAGGGTTTGGGGTTTGGGGTTGGGGTTCAGCAGCTCCCGACCCGGCAGTTTTACAGTTATTTTTACACCTTTGATAAACTTTGATATAATCATAGGATGCCAAAAGGGGTTTTAGCCTATGGGGGTTTAGTAGGGATTAGGGTTCCCATAATAGGGTTCATATTGAGGAATCCCTACCCCAAGAATCTTAGACCCCCCTTTTGGCCTCCTATCATAGAACACCCACCCCTGAATCCCATAACATTGAGAACATGCAACTTTCTTAACCTTAAAGCCCAATTCCTGCATTACATCCAAACCCCAAGGCCAAAACCTAAGCCTTGGAACTTAAAACCTTTCCCTAAATCCTGAAGCCCAAACCCCAGGCCCTAAAGCCCAAACCCTAGGACCCCAAACCCAAGGCCCTAAATCCTAAAGCCCAAACCCTAGGCCCTAAACCCTAAAGCCCAAACCGTAGGCCTTAAATCCTAAAGCCCAAGCCTTAGGCCCTAAACCTTAAAGCCCAAACCGCAGGCCAACGAAGGGTTACTGGTTTGCCAGCAGAAAATCTGTATTTCTTCGCTGACAACGGCGATTTCGCCGTTGCCAGCGAAGAAATACAGGAAATCGCAATTGTCAGCGAACTGTTTCAGGTTTTCCGCCTGCAAACCAGTAACCCTTCGCTGGCTGTAACGACTTGTCGGAAACCGCCATTACACCGATTTAAAGGGTTACTGGTTTGTCGGTGGAAAACCTGCATGTCGTCGCTGACAATGGCGAGTTCGCTCTGGCAATGGCGAACAACGACCCATAGAAAGCCGTTGTCAGCGAATGCATAAAGGTTGAAATACGTAAGATAGAGAGGTTTAGGGTTTAGGGGCTTAGGGTTTAGGGTTGGGTGCAGATGCCGAAAAGCGTTTGTACGAGGTCGATTGCGCCTTGAGTTGATGGCTGGAGGGGTTTGAAATTCAGTGTTTAGGGTTTGAGGGCTTGGGTTCTTAGGTTTTAGGAGTTGCAGCCTATGCGTTTATCCATGGCACTCCGTGTTCCCTGCGCTTCTTTCGGACCTAAACTTAAACCCTAAACCCTAAACCCCCCAATTCTAAACCCTCACCCTTGGGGCCCCTTGTCCGAATCCTTAATCTCCACACCTGAAATCCGAAAATCGGACACTAAAACACCAAAAGGGGCCTAGACCAACCCGAGAACCCTGAAGCCCTACAAGCCTACAACTACATGGAGCCCTTCTGCCCTGATCCCCTGCCCCAGACGAATTCCCCTCAGTGCACTAAACTCATGCAGAGTCTCAGGCTTCTGACTTCTTTAAGTCTCTAGGATGCCCAGTAGTACCCTTATTCCCTTTTTGTAGTCCTAGGTTCCTTATAAAGTTACCCAATACCAGAAAGAGAGGCCTTTTTATTCTTAGGTTACTGGGTATCCTAGTTTAAGTCTTTAAAACATTGCGGCGCCGGGTTGAAGTTGGTCGCTGGCCTAAGCTGTCGACTCAGTGGGTTTAGGGTTTTTGGGTTCAAGGTTTCGGGTTTAAGGTTTATCAAAGGGGAAAAGGAGGGACCTTTTATGGGGACCCCTACCCTATAATGGGCTATATAATGGGTATATAAAGGGTATATACCTAGGGGTCCTTATTAAGGGTCCCTCCTTTTACCCTTGGACTTTAGGTTCGTGGATGTTGGAAGTTCGACGCCGGGTTCGTGGTCTATGTGTTTGGTGCTTGTGCGGCTCTGTGGCTTAGGGCTCGGGTATTCGGAATTGCTGCATATGGTCTGCGTCTTAGGAACCCAGAACCCCAAACCCCTAAACAGACTTACTTGCAAGGCCGAGAAAGGAGCGTTAAAACAAAGAGCCCTAAACTCCTATATCCTAAACTCTTAAACTGTGAACCCTAAACCCTAAACCCGTATCCCTAAAACTCTAATCCCTGAATTGAAGAGCCGCCTCTTTGGTGAACATTTCTTATTGAGCAATTTGTGCGGTCCTCGAGGGGCTGAGGTGTTTGCTGCGGAGCCACAAGCTGCCCAAGTGAAAGAAAAGAGGGCACGTTGCATGTGCTATAACGTATACCGAGTATGATATGATACATTCATTCATTCATTCGTTCATTCATTCGATCATTCGCCCAATCATTCGTTCATTCATTCAATCCCTCCAATCTCGTTCTGTTTGCCTGGTTCGACCACAAAACCTTCTTTCAGGTCGTTGGCTTCCGGTTTAGGATGTGGCACAGAGGTTGCGGCATGCCACGGCAACCTATCTTTTTTGGGATAGTACCTTTGACAGCTGGATGTTCCGGCGCTGTATGCTGTCTCTTGTGCACTAAACGTGCAGCAAAGACTCGACGGAGCATTTCGAGCGTTCGAGTAGCCTTGGAGGGTTTCGGGGTGTTAGGACTTCGAGTTGATGTCGCAGGGTTTAAGTTTGAGGGTTTGAAAAAGGTCTTGGGCTTATCATTAGGGGTTAGGCTTTAGGGTTTCGGGTTTAGGGTCCAAGGGTTTGAAGGGTTCAGACATGGGGTTTCAGCTCAGAGTCTGGGGAGTTGTGATTTAAGGTCTTGGCCTGTGACCTTTACGTTAAGCCGCCGAAGGGTGGTGCACCAGCGCGATTCTGTCATTTCCCAGGCAGGTCGCTACACGTGCGCACTGCCCCTAAACCCTAAACCCTGAACCCTAAACCCCTAAACCCCTAAACCCTAAACCCTAAACCCTAAACCCTAAACCCTAAACCCTAAATCCTTAAGCCCTAAACCCTAAACCCTAAACCCAGAGGGCGCTCATCAGCAGCAGCAGTCGAGTTCAGACGTGTCGCTCGGATAAGTGGCTGCTTTGTGGGTGTGGCTCCTACTTGGAGGGTCTTTAGGGGCCGTAGTAAGTAGGGAGTAAGTAGACTTATAAGTACCCTAAAAGGGACCCTCATTGGGATTATGGTACTTATAAGTCCCTAAAATAACCAGTTACTAAGTCCCCCGACCCTCCAAGTAAACCCCAAGCAGGCATTGTCTACATCAAGAACGTTGGCACGGCTCCCTCCGTCCTGGCCGCGGCGAAGGCATTGTGATGGCTTTTAGTGTCAGTTCCTTGGGAGGGTCGGCTGTAGTTTTTCGGCTAATCTTTGGGTTTAAGGTTTTTAAAAAGGGCTTGGGGGTTGTTCAGTAGCAGAAAGGGCCTGGGGGTTTAGCATAGGCTTGGTTGCACTACTATCTACATACACGACCTGCCAGGGTGGCTCCAGATCAACCGCCTCGTTATCTCAGAACCTTTTGACTAACGTTCCTTACAAAATGTATATAGTAGGAACTCTGATCAAGCGATCCTTTGTAGCCTGCATCAACACAGTGGCAGCTCGCACCACTGCTACTGCTGCTACTGCTGCTCCTCCTCCTCCACCTCCTCCACCTCCTCCACCTCCTCCACCTCCTCCACCTCCTCCGCCTCCACCTCCTCCACCTCCTCCACCTCCTCCACCTCCTCCACCTCCTCCTCCTGTTACCACTACTACCACCACCACCACGACGACGACTAGTACTACTACTGCAGGGACTCTGGCGTGCAGTCATGGCTGAAACAGGATTCACAGTCTCGCAACCCTAAACCTTAGGCGCCTAGCACCCTGCAGCCTAAATCCTCGTTGATGATCAGTGCATTGATGATCAATGCTTTCGTCTGCTTCTATTTTCTTGCCTACAAACCCGGTCTCAGAACGCAAAGCCTTCCAGCAGCGAAATCCCCCAAACCCAAGCCCGTAAACCTCAAACCAAGGAGCCCTAAAGCCCCAGGCCCTTAACCTCAAGCCTCAAAGCCCCTCAACCCTCAACGGCCTTCACACCCGAAACCCTAAACCCTACATGAGCTTCCCATCCAGGCCGGGGAAGTGGAGGTGGAAATTCTGAACATCCTTCAACGTGGGAAGGAGCTTCGACAGGCAGATGACAAGTGGGTGCTACATATACTTGTATATACATACGCATACATGTGAATTCCCCAGTAAAAGCATGAAAAAGTAGATATACGAGTACAGGTTCACTCAACAACAAGCTGTTCACGTAGTTGTGCTTAGATCAAAATCATACACACACACAGGTGAGTGCGTGTTTGGTCTGTCTGTCTGTCTGTCTGTCTGTCTGTCCGTCTGGCTGTCTGTCTGTCTGTCTGTCTGTCTTTCTGTCTGTCTTTCTGTCTTTCTGTCTGTCTGTCTGTCTGTCTGTCTAACTGCCTGTCTGTCTGCGGGTGTGTTCAATATGCATGCATGTCTGCACGCATGAATGTCTTTGTGTATAGATGTTTGCCTGAGTGTAGGTAGGTATGTGGTTAGGTATGTATTTATGATCGCTTGTATGCGTAACTAAATATAATGATGTGCAGGTACGCATGTATCTAACGTAGTGTAACGTAATGTAGTGTAACGTAACATAATGTAACCTAATGTAACATGATGTAATGTAATGCATTGTATGCATTGTATGCAATGTATGCAATGTATGCGATGTATGCATGTTTGCATGTGTTTATGTCTGCACATATGCATGCATGTATGTATGCGTGTGTGTATGCATGCATGTATGTATGCATGTATCACAGCTGTCTGTCGGAATCCCGGCCGGGTGCCTGATTCGGTTGGCTTTACCGTTCAGAGCTTGGGGTACTTCTTGGAGCTGTGTTGTGCCCCTCAATTGGGCTTAAGCCCAACCCTTTTAGTACACCTTACTGTACTTGGAGGATCGTGCGACTTAGTAAGAAGGGTTCTAAGTGCCTGATTGGTTGTTATAAGTAGATATAACTATAGTTACCTTACTTATAACCCTACTTACTAAGTCCCATGATCCTCGAAGTATGGTAAGCCGGAAACGATCTTGCCTCGAAGCCCACTGAGCCCAAAGCCTCGAAGCCTGCAACCCGCATAGCCCCCGACATTCATCTGGGAGTCGCAACTACTCGCAGCCTCACTCCAGCAAAGCAGACACATGAATGTTTACATGTATGTGCATAAGCAAAAGTATAAACATAGACAAATGCATGTATGTATGTTTTTGTTGTGTATGTATTCATGTGTATATATATATATACACATACATATACATGTATATTTGTGTACACATACGTACATCTCTCTCTCTCTCTCTCTCTCTCTCTCTTTCTGTATATTTTTCTCTGCAACATCTACCCTGCAACTCTCTGCGGGCCAAGCATTATCTCGAAGGCGAAGCCCTCGGCGCACTACCACTTCGGGGACTTCACGCGCGGGCTGGTGCAGATCGGCCGGGACCGTGGGAGGGAGCAGCACCTCTAAAGCGGTTTCTATCATGACGGTGGTTGTCAAAATTTAGGCCCTTTTTTGGGTACCCTAAATATTAGCTGCCGTACTATATTAGGGACCCAAAAAGGGACCATAATTTTGACTACCACCCATGAAGTCCTTTGACTTCTATCTGTACTTGTAGTACGCTTGCCGCACTTGAGACAGAGGGCTGTAGTAAGATTCCTGCTCCTCTCTTCGTTGGGTTTACGGTTTGACTTATTGTGGTTCGCTTGGGCAGAGTCCCCGGTTCTGTGCTCAGTGGGTTGCTGGCATTCATCAAGTCCAGGTTCGAAAGTTCAGCAGCAGAAGAGGCCTAACCTCCAAACACGTTGTTGGCGAGGACGTGCGCCACACCGATCCCAACGACAGGCCGGCGACCACGAAGGTTTAGGCCCAAAATAGCATTGGTAACTACTCAGGCATCTATATCATCATGTCGGGATATGTCGGGTGTAGTGCCTGCAGTTCTTGGTGGATAGTATCCTGCATTCCCTTGAGCTGTCTGAGCTATGAAAAGGATCTGTGACAGTGCAGTATTTTGTGGCCAACGCTTGATTTCGTCCATGAGCAGCCAGATTCAGCCGTAGGCTCCATAAGTTGAAGAGGTTTTTCAGGGCTCAGGACATGGGGTTGTGGGTTTAGGGGTGACAAGGATGAGGTACCCCGGGTTACTCAGGCTCCCAATCATGCTTTCTCGGAGGAGAGAGGTCAAGTCAGAAGTAGCCCATGTAAAGCTTCAGAGGGGTTTGACGTGGTTTTAGATATGCACATGAGCACGTAGACTAGGGTGAATAGCATTACAGCATAGTTATTGAGAAAAGGCCCCAAATCCCCAAGAAAGAGAAAGAGGAAACGACAAGAGGAAAGGACCACGTGAAAGCAGAAGCCCGCCCCCAACGTCAGGGAACAACAGAAGAGAAAGCCAACGCCAACCTTTAACCGGACACCCTAAACCCTAAGATCCTAAACCTCACGCCGTGAATCCTAAACCCGAGTCCGTAAACCCTAAACTCTGAATCTCAAGGCCTGAACCCTAAACCCGAACACCTAAGGTGAACCCAAACCGTAGCCCGAAACTCGCGTAGACCCTAAACTTTAAAGACTCGCTAAGCCCCCAAAACCCGAAGATCATGCAGCCAGGGGTTCATCTCCGGAGGCCCTAAACCCTAAACCCTAAGAAAACTTAGTAGCTGAGTGGATACACTTTACACTTTTTGGGATAATATTACCCACTATAAATTAAAACTCAAAGTGTACACTTTTTAGGGGCTTCTGAACTCAGCCGCTAAGAAAAAGACCCCAAAGATTTTGCAGCCAGGGTGCATCTCAGGGACCTGATGGCGGGAACCAAGGCCGTGATCCTGCGAAAGCAGACGCCCAAGGAGGAGCATTTCAGGGGCTTAGTGTTGGGGGTTAAGGGTTTTAAGGTTTGGTCTTGCAGTTTTTTCTGTTTCGTTGCTACGGTTTCATCACCTTGAGCTACCACGGCGTTTTTTTGGGTAGCTCCGATAGCTCCGATAGCTCCTGTCCTTTCTATGGGCTCGGAGTGCGACCCTAACAGAAGGGTCGGCCCTCTGAACGCAAGCCCTACACCCTCACCCCCAACCCTAGCACCGAAACCCTAAACCCTAACCCCCAACCCCCAAACCCTAAACCCCGCAACTCGAAACCCTAGACCCGAATATCCAAACCCGAAGACTCTAAACCCAAAGCCGCAGACAGGTCCTGCTGTCACGTGTAGGTTCGGCTTCAATCATCACACCCTACAGCTTTGAGCCCGATGTCTTCGAATGTTCAGGGCTTCTTATTGGGGATCCTTAATGGGAAGATAACCGAACATATCAACATAATATTAATAGTGTATGATAACAAGAAAGAACACTAAAACTAGTTATAGCAGCAACAGCAGCAATATTAATTATAGCAACCATAGCAATCACCGCGATAATGAAATAGTAGCAATAAAAGCAGTAGTACCAATATCAAAATCAGTAGCAGCAATAGTAACAGTAACATGTTAACATGAATAACAATACTGACAGAACAACACAAATATCAAGCATAACAACAGTAGCAACATTAACAATAATGAACATAATCAGAACCATAACTCTGAGAACAAAGTAGCCGTAGCAACAGTATATAGTACCAAAAACTCTTACAAAAAAACAGTAAGAAGAGCAACTTCAACAATAACAGAAATAACAGTAATAGCAGTAATGGCAGTAATGACAGCAAAACCATATTAACAATATCAATTCAGTACGTACGACTCAGAATAAAGCACTAACAAGACTAAGAGTACCAGAATAATAGCAATACCAAACTTAAAATGGTAGTCAGTAGGAATAAAATCAACACTGATGGTAGCTATTACACTCGCACATATAATAATAACAGTACTTCAGTACTGTGTTCATAATAGTAACAATAGTAGTCATCACTACAGCCATAATCAGGAGCCATAAGGAATACTACCGGCACTTATTCAGGCTTCCACGTGAGGTATTTAAAGCTTACACCCCAAATGCTAAATCCCAGGCCACCCTTAAAGGAAGCCATGGGAACGGAACCCTTGAAGCAGCCGTTAAAGCTTTGGGGCGTCGTCTTTCGGGTTGAGATGTTCAGATGATTCAGATTCAGAATGATTCTGTGGGTGTTGTCAAAATTATGGTCCCTTTTTGGGTCCCTATTATAATACGGCACCTATTATTTAGGGTGCCCAAAAAGGGGCCCCGATTTTGACAACTAATAGTAGGTGCAGTGAAGGCTCGTGGCTTAGTTTTGGGTCCCGAAGAAGACCACGACGACCACTGCAACAACTGCCAACCATTCCCCTGAGCCTACAGCCCTCAAGCCGAGAAGCCTACCAACACACTATTGTACGGGTTCCTTAACATGGTTATAGTATAATATACCCCCAAACCCTATTCCAATTATTAAGGCCCTCATATTGACCTGAAGCCTGAGCCTCAGACTGCATCAGCCTCTGGCACTGAAGTCGTACATTTTCGCAGGAATCGCTCCTCACGTTGCCGTGAAGCGGTGCTGCTGCTACGACAGCCTAGCTTCCTCAGCACGAACTTGTTCAACCCAAGGTCAGGGCTCAGGGTTTAGGCTAAGATGAACCCCAGAGCCTCAAGTGCCCTTAAATATCATGTTTTTTGGATCAAACTCATACTGCTCAGGAGTTTTGTGACTATTTGGTTCGCATCTTTTTTGGGGGCATAGCTTGCGGTGCAGGTTCGTACCTCCAGCTCGTTTTTGTCCTGGGGGCATGACCACGAAGAAACCTGAGATCCCCAAGCCTGAATCTACGGCTGATGATGTAAATCCTGCATTAACAGGACCCTTAACGATTGGAATTATGGTATGTTCCTTGGGTAATGCAGAATGTCTATCATCAAGCGCATTGCTTCCACACTTACACCTGAAACCCTGTAGCCTACTGAATGCAAAGCGTGCAATTGCGAGACCTTGCTTGGCTCTGTAGGTTGGAAAGCCTAGCGATCAAGCCCCGAAGCTTGCTTGAAGGATCTCAGGCACATGTACTGGGCAGGGTCAACTGTACATGAGCTGGGGTTACAGCTGTCTATCTATACTTACCATGCCTTTAAACTCACTTCGGCGTTGACAATTGCTACAGGGCCGAGGCAAAACCCCAGCAAACCCATAAAAGCCGAAAACTTTTCGGAAGTGAGACTCAGATGTGGAAGGCTGCAGGTCTAGAGTCGAGAAGGCTGTGGGCTTAGGGTTAGGTGTTGAGGGTTTGAGGTCTAAGGTTGAGTGTGTCCGAACGACACCGACATGTTCAGCCCCAGCTCCCAAACCTAAGCCCTTCACCTGCATCTCAAACCGCAGGGACCGAAGGTGTCGATTTCAAGCGCGAATGGGCCCTTGAGGTAGGACATGCCTTACGGGCTGCACGCAAGATGTCCCAAGTACAGTCTTTGTATGTACGTATGCATGCATGTATGTATCTTTACATACTTACATATACACATACTTACTGCATCTAGATGCACGATAGCCAGTGTGGGCCCGAGCATAGCCACGGATTCCAAGCGCCTTATTCGGGAAACCAGTTGGACAACTAACCAGTGGTTTTGGGGTTCCCTTGGCTCTTTAGCTCCCTATTTAGGAGGGACTATCATCATCCCTGGCTCCCTAGCTCCTCCAATATAAACGGTTAGACAAGTTTATGTTCTGGGGCTCTTTCCTAGTCACTGAGCCAGCAAGACCAGGTCAGCCTCAGGAACGGAACCCGGGGGTCTTGACCCTAGACCCTACTTTGTTAGGGTTACGGTTAGGGTCAACACAAAATATTCCAAGCCCAATACATCCTGAACCGTAACCCCACCATCAACAATTCCTGTACTTAAACCCTAAACCCTAGACTTTGAACCTCAAATGGGTGGAAACCTCCGGCTCCCAGGAATTTGCCCTAAGGCCCCAACTAGCCTGAATCGAGCCGCGATCTTCCCTCGAGCCACATAGTCAAAACTCAAGCACCTCTCTACTGGACCCGTGCAAGGGGTTCTTTGGCTGATTTTGGGTTTTTGGATGTTGGGGTCTCAGGTTTCTGGGCGGTTGATCTTGTACGTAGAGGCTTGGATCAGAGCTGTGCTGAGGACGACACGCAAGGTCATAGCAATCATCTTCGAGGCTTCTTCGGAGACAATAAACACCACACCCTACAATAAACCCTGAACCTCAAGCCCCAAAACCCCCAAACCCTGAGCCTAAGCCCAAGCTCCTACAAACGCAATGACCATAAGAGTCCCACAGAAGGGCTCACTGGGCTTTGGAGTACCATACTTTAATACTTTCTTGGGACCTGCACTTACAGGGAACCACCTACAAAATAAAGGTCTATGCTTCTTTCTCCGTGGGTACTTCAAAGCCCAGCCCACCATGTCGTCTCCGAAGAAGTGTCTCACGGTTAGTTTCCTGCAAACCAGGGCTTATAGAATCCTATCGTTGCAGCAATCCTGCAGAACTTTTCTTCGCAGTTCCCCGGTGACAACCTTTCCATGCAAACTTTGGCTCAAGGGCTGGAAATTGGGATTGCGCAGGGTGGTTAAAGCAACACCCGATGTAGCACGGTTTGGGGTTCCCTTCGTGGGTCCAGGTTCCTTTGAGCGTCAAGGCATTCCTTGCTGCGGCCTTAAGTTGGAGCCTAACTAACAAATTAGAATGTGCCTTTGGGGTATCTTATACTTTAAGTAAGGAACCTAATTAGGCACGTTTGTTACACACCGGGAACTGGCCCCGTGCTGCAAAATTGCCAGCACATTCCTTCTCCCCGAATGCTGTCGCTTGGCTTGGCGTGGCGGGCGGATTGCTGCGCAGCACAGGTGAGGTTTACCTTGCTTTCGGCGAAAAGTCTCACTGCTCCGTGATCTGTGCGGCAAGCCTGAAGCCCTGAGGCCAACCTTAACCCATAAACCAAAGCCATAAGGCATTCAGAGCCCTGAAACTCCTGGCCCTTAACCCTTAAATCAAATGCGGAAACCCTAACCCTGGAGTGACTGCCTGCTTGGACTCCAGCAGCGTACTTGGAGGATCATGGGACTTAGTAAGTAGGGCTATGAGTGTCTTAATTGGGGTTATAAGTAGATATAACTACAGTTACCTTACCTATAAGCCTACTTACTAAGTCCCATGATCCTCTATGTATGGACCAGTTGTCATGGAGCCTTGCCTTCTGCGAGTTGCGAGAGGAGCTTCTACTTAGAGGATCATGGGGCTTAGTAAGTAGGGTTATAAGTAAGGTAACTATAGCTGTATCTACTTCTAACCCCAATTAAGGTACTTGTAACCCTACTTACTAAGTCCCACGATCCTCCAAGCATTACCGGTCCTCTCCTGTTCTCCTTTGCTTGAAATACGGAGAGACAGGGGAGCTCACGTGAAGGATTGCTCGTGTGCGGTTCAGGCATGTTTGCATAGTGCACCAGGAATGCTCCAGAAATTGTAGAGGGATGCCAAAGTTGTTTTTGGGCATACTGCTTGATTCGGGGTATTATATGCGTTTCAATACCAAACAATGCCAAGATAAATGCTGTGCAGGCTTAGGTCGCGCTGGGTCCTGAACCCTAAACCCTTCAATCCTTAAACCCTAAACATTTAAACCCTTGCAACCCTGAACCCTTTTAACTTCAATCCCCAAGCTCTAAATCCTAAGCCCTAAAACCTTAAACCCTTAAGCCCTACATGCTCTAAGCCTCAAGGGTTTACGGCTTCTGTTTAAGCTTCCGGGCTTGGCATGGTTCGCTCACTTCACCCAGCATGGGTCCAGCCACTTGTTTGGAACATGCCCCCCAATTGAACATGTTAGGTCAAAACTCTTTTTGGTTTAGTTCCTAGCTAACTGTGCTGAGCTCTTACCCATGTTACATTATAGGCCGACACGTCACAGACCCTAAACCCTAAGCCCTAAACCTTAGACAAGCGAAGAACCTCAAAAAGCCGAAGCTCTAAAAGAAGTTTGATAGACTCTTTCTGCACCCTAAGCCCAAAGCCCTTAACCCTAGGCCACCCCAGATGCCCAAAGCTTCAGACCAAAAGCCTTCGAGGCTTCGGGTTTTTGGGTTTACTTGGAGGATCATGGGACTTAGCAAGTAGAGTTATAAGTACCTTAATTGGGATTCTAAGTAGATATATACTGTTAACTATAGTTGCCTTACTTATAACCCTACTTACTAAGTCCCATGATCCTCCAAGTAGGGCATATTCCTAGAACCGAAGCGCCCAAGCTCTAAACCCGTTTTTTTGTTTTATTCAACGTGCCTTTACGGACACGGTTTTCCCACTCGCTTCTCTTCTCACCGAGAACTCCGACCCTCAACTCCATATCTTGGATGATTTCGCAACAAAGCCCTAAACCTTACACCCTACTTTACAGCCCGAAAGCCCCAAGGGCCCGAACCTCTAAGCTCCTGTTTCGGCCCGAGCTTATCGCCACTGGGTTGGACGTAGACCCCAACAGCCCAAAGTGGGAAGAGCGTTTTATTTGCCGAACATGTCTGTCGGACGCCCAGGTCGCTCTAGAGCTTACAGTTTGAAAGGGTTTAGTGATCTGAAGCGTTTTGGGGTGTTTGGTGGGTTTTGAACTGGGCTTTGGAGCTCCATGCTTTAATACGTTTTTCGGGACCTGTTACTGAAAGGGAGCCAGCATGAAATAAAAGTCTATACTTTTTCTCCCGGGTTACTTCAAAACCTGGTGAAAGAGTTGCATGTGTTCAAGGGTTTTTCATGATTTTGGCTAACCAGTGGTTTTGGGGTTCCCTTGGCTCTTTAGCTCCTTATTTAGGAGGGACTATCATCATCCCCGGCTCCTTCGCTCCTCCAATATCAATGGTTAGTCATTGGGTTTTATAGGGTTTGAGGGCTTCGGGTCTGCGACTTCGTGCCCAGGGTTTAGGGTTGAGGGCTCAGGGTTAAATATAGGGGCCTAAATAATTACCTATACAAGGCCCCTCCAGTAGGGTGTTTCGATCGAGGGTCGAGAAGATCGGGTTCTTAGGCCTAAGCTTTCTCGCAAGGCTCAGCTTAAGGTTTGAGCGGCAAGACAGAAGCCCAGAATAAGTACCAAAAAAAAGGTCCGTCGGGTTCCTTCTTACAGTGATACTATGCTCTAAAACACCTTAATCTGCCCCAAAACCCCCTGTTCCAATTTATGAGGCCCTTATATTGCCGCTTGAAGTTTGCGGTTGCGGCTGGCAAAACAGGGGGCATCTTATCTTTTGTGGTGATAGTCATGATGCAGATGGTCCAGATGGTGATGCAGGTGCCGATGGAGGGTGTTGCTAGGTGTTGCGCCGCCATGATGTCGTGACTTCGACCGCTGTATTGTGTCGATTTTGCGCTCTGTGTCTCTTGTGCTTGTTCTTGCTGATCACCCGGGTCTGAGCTCTAAAGTCCAGCGTTAAAAAATTGAATCGCGTCCCTGGTGGGAATACCTAACAGTTGTATACCCTTATGTTCTCCATAATATAGATATCATAAACTACGGTATAGGATACCCTAAACCCTAAAC